TGAGAGTCACACAAAAAGGAAAAGTAAACTTTCACATTTCTAATGGCGGCTTTTGTTGTTTCTTCTTTATATTTTTTTTTGTTTGTTTTATTTTTTTCTATGCAAAATGGCAATAAATTTTCTTTGATTTAATTTCTTGAAATTAAAATATTTCTTGGCCGGCCGCCGTTCGTCTTATGCCGTTGTCTCTGGCTAGATTATTTCATTATATTTTATGCCATTTCATTTGTTATCATTTCCCAGTGTCTTCCGCATTGGAAGATTAGCTGCGTGTCTAATCTCCGGATTCTTTTTTCGCTCAGCCGTAGCGCATTATCACTTTCCCTCCATCTGTCAGTACCTTTTGAATTTTTACTAAGGTGAGTTGGAAAATGAAAGCCCTCCACTCCGCCCTCGGAGGGTATTGTGATAAAAAGCCAACAAAACGAAATCAAACAAAACGTTGCATCCGTTTTGAAAGCCATTTGCATACCAATAGATACATATATGGATATATCTTCATAATAAATGTGTGGCAGGTGCAGCTGCAGCTTAGCCTAAAAAACTGCAGCTCATCAAGTTTCTTTTTTATTATTTCTTCTCCGCCAGATGAAGCCCGACGGTGTTCGGTGTGAAGTGTTTACATTTTCCTTTCCGACAGCCGAGACTGCTTAATATGCAAAGCATTTTTATCGACCAGGCCAAAAAGCGGTTGACCGCCCAACGACTTAAATGGCCTTAGACTCCATCCACTCTATAGTCTATATAGTCGTATGAATAACATTGGAATTATCATTGTTTGGTGGCTAAAACCGAAAACAGAAAGCTCTGAGATTAATGGCTCATCGCCTGAATTCTTGGCTAATTGATAAGTGGCAAGAGGATGGTTTTTATCAGTTTCCCCGTCTGGTAATCCCCGTTTTGGCAGCCGGTTTGCTTTCCGCCTTGCAATTGGCAAATAATCGCTTATGGAATTCCATTTCGTATAAACAAGATATTTTATGCAAACACACTTTTTGGCCAACAATTTCCTATAGACTTGAAATAATAAAAGAAGAAAACATATATGCTGCCAAAGACGTTTGCGTAATCGGCGGTTATAGACATTTTATACCCATTTTATACCTCGGAGAGGACAAGGGTATATTGGTTGTCTGTGAATGTATGTTACAGGGAGAAGAAGTGCTATTTTAGAAAAGTTTTAATACCAAGCTATGAGAGAGGTTAATTTATATATATAAATTGATTTCAACAATATTGGCTTCTTTTCAGAAAAGAAATAGACCTTTTATCGTTCTTGTCTACTTCAGTAGCTTGTTTTCTTTTTAAGAAAATATTTATTTTTTAGAAAGGTTATATACAGAATCAGATGAGTACCGGGTATCGTATAGTCGAGAAACTCTATTGAAGGCGACCTTATTTTTTATTTACCCTCGACGTGTGATGAGTGTGCGTGTGTGTGGGCCTCGTATTTAATATTTTGTTTAAAAAACCTTTTTGCAATGGCAAATAAAATTAATTTTGTTATTCTTGCCGCGTGTGCGGTACAATGTGACAACTAGAGAAAACATATATACTTGGATAGCTACCTACCTACAAGGTATATAAAGTATGAAAGGGAAATAAGAAGCAGAAGCCATCAGAGATGAAAATGGCTAACGAACGTACCAAAAGCCGCTTAAAATCCATTTTACGATACCGCATGTGAGGCAGAAGAAATTGTTTTTTTTTCGCTGTCTCTTACCTTTATGTAATCGCTCATTATAATTGGCATTTGTGTGTGACAAAAAATGGATAACAAAAAACGTGACAACAGAGGGGAGAGCCACGTATGGGAGAGGTGTACAATTGTCAGGTGCGAAGAGGCGGTAAGACAATATTGCGGCTGAGTTTTTTGTGCAATCCCCCAGCCCACAACCCACAATGAACAAAAAACTTCGATCGCTGAACGATAAGCCAGCGCATTCATAACGCATCAAGCATACGCAATGGTGTCCCGCAGCCGCAAGAAACATGTGCACTGATTTCGCGCTTGCCCAAGTTTTCTGTTTCCCCAACAAAATAATAGCTACTCATTATTCGAGCCAGATGTGAGTCAAAGTACGAAAAGCGGCTTAAAATACCATTCCAGATTACACGAATTTCGACAAGTATGGTACTTGGACGATTTTCTAATTGTTTTGTAAAGAAAACAAAAGTGAGCTATTTTTATACCCTGGCAAAGGGTATAAGAAATAGGAAAGATTTCACTGTGGGCCATATAAGGGAAAACCCCATTTTCAAGGGATCCCATCAGGAAAAATGGAAAAAAATCTGAAAAAAATGTTGTCTCAAAATTTTTATGCAGAATGATGGCGAATCGATCTAGAAATCGTTTAAGATACTCCGCTTGAGAATCGGATGAGAATTGGAAAAGATATAGCCATCACAGTGGACCCTATAGGGGAAAACCCCATTTTCAAGGGATCCCACCCCGAAAAATGGACAAAAAATCTGAAAAATATTTTGTCTCAGAATTTTGATGCAGAATGGTGGCGAATCGATCTAGAAATCGTTTAAGGTACTCCGCTTGAGAATCGGATGAGAATTGGAAAAGATATAGCCACCACAGTGGACCCTATAGGGGAAAACCCCATTTCCAAGGGATCCCATCAGGAAAAATTAACAAAAAATCTGAAAAATATTTTGTCTCAAAATTTTTATGCAGAATGATGGCGAATCGATCTAGAAATCGTTTAAGATACTCCGCTTGAGAATCGGATGAGAATTGGGGAAGATATACCCATCACAGTGGACCCTATAGGGGAAAACCCCATTTTCAAGGGATCCCACCCCGAAAAATGGACAAAAAATCTGAAAAATATTTTGTCTCAGGATTTTGATGCAGAATGGTGGCGAATCGATCTAGAAATCGTTTAAGGTACTCCGCTTGAGAATTGGATGAGAATTGGAAAAGATATAGCCATCACAGTGGACCCTATAGGGGAAAACCCCATTTCCAAGGGATCCCATCAGGAAAAATGAACAAAAAATCTGAAAAATATTTTGTCTCAGGATTTTGATGCAGAATGGTGGCGAATCGATCTAGAAATCGTTTAAGGTACTCCGCTTGAGAATCGGATGAGAATTGGAAAATATATAGCCATCACAGTGGACCCTATAGGGGAAAACCCCATTTCCAAGGGATCCCATCAGGAAAAATGAACAAAAAATCTGAAAAATATTTTGTCTCAAAATATTTATGCAGAATGATGGCGAATCGATCTAGAAATCGTTTAAGATACTCCGCTTGAGAATCGGATGAGAATTGGGGAAGATATAGCCATCACAGTGGACCCTATAGGGGAAAACCCCATTTTCAAGGGATCCCACCCCGAAAAATGGACAAAAAATCTGAAAAATATTTTGTCTCAGGATTTTGATGCAGAATGGTGGCGAATCGATCTAGAAATCGTTTAAGGTACTCCGCTTGAGAATTGGATGAGAATTGGAAAAGATATAGCCATCACAGTGGACCCTATAGGGGAAAACCCCATTTCCAAGGGATCCCATCAGGAAAAATGAACAAAAAATCTGAAAAATATTTTGTCTCAGGATTTTGATGCAGAATGGTGGCGAATCGATCTAGAAATCGTTTAAGGTACTCCGCTTGAGAATTGGATGAGAATTGGAAAAGATATAGCCATCACAGTGGACCCTATAGGGGAAAACCCCATTTCCAAGGGATCCCATCAGGAAAAATGAACAAAAATCTGAAAAATATTTTGTCTCAAAATATTTATGCAGAATGATGGCGAATCGATCTAGAAATCGTTTAAGATACTCCGCTTGAGAATCGGATGAGAATTGGGGAAGATATAGCCATCACAGTGGACCCTATAGGGGAAAACCCCATTTTCAAGGGATCCCACCCCGAAAAATGGACAAAAAATCTGAAAAATATTTTGTCTCAGAATTTTGATGCAGAATGGTGGCGAATCGATCTAGAAATCGTTTAAGGTACTCCGCTTGAGAATTGGATGAGAATTGGAAAAGATATAGCCATCACAGTGGACCCTATAGGGGAAAACCCCATTTCCAAGGGATCCCATCAGGAAAAATGAACAAAACATCTGAAAAATATTTTGTCTCAGGATTTGGATGTAGAATTTTGGCAAATCGATCCAGAAATCGTTTAAGGTACTCCGCTTAAGAATCGGATGAGAATTGGGGAAGATATAGCCATCACTGTGGCCCATATATGGAAAACCCCCATTTTCAAGGGATCCCATCATGAAAAATGGACAAAAAATGTAAAAAATATTGTGTCTCAGGATTTTGATGCAGAATGGAGGCGAATCGATCTAGAAATCGTTTAAGGTACTCCGCTTGAGCATTGGATGAGAATTGGGGAAGATATAGCCTTCCCTGTGGGCCATACAGGGGAAATCGTTAGACTTAAAAATCATTTTTTTTCTATACAATGTCAAACAATATTATCTATTTTGAAATTTGTATAATTACTTGGGTTTATTATATATAAAATAAATATTTTCAAACCTTGTTCTGATATATCTAACATATGCATAAGTATGTACATTCCTCTATTATCTGTCTTATAAAGAGACTGTATAGAATTTTTTTCAAAATGTTTAAAAATATTCAGTTACAAATTAGACGGCAAGGCGTAAAGCCACCTAAAGTTCTTCTTTAAAATTTGTTATCTAATAAACTCCTATAAACATTTACATAACTTTGGAGAGCGTATTTATTTAAAAAAAAAGTGCCTTAGAATCATTCAAAATAGTATCATTTTTTCACTTTTTCTTAAAAGTGAACTTACTCCTAAAAATGGGTGTAGACAACCGGAATATCACTGATGAAGACAAGCTAGCTTATCAGCCATAATTGCTGTGGTTAGACACGCCTTCCAATGGAATGCCCAAGCTAATTGCTGGCACCCAATTTGCATGACAAGATTTTCACGAGCTTTCTCTTCCACTCTCTGATTTTTTTTCTTGTTTCTTTATATTTTTCTACAGGCCTCGAGGCAACAGCAACATCAGAAGCAGAAGCAGCAGCGGCAACCCCAGCCGCAACACCTGCACCAGCAACTTCTTTGCTGACAGCTTCTTGGATAGCCGAGTACGTGATCGTTTTCTGGCCAAGATCAGAGCAAATCAGCGCCATGGCGATGTCACCTTTTGTCTTGGATGCGGCTGCGATCGCCCCTTCTCGTGATCTCAATGGCAATGCAACAGCAACTGGCAGTGGAAGTGCAAGTGCAAGTGCAACATCAGCATCGAATTCGCCGCGAAAAACGAAAAAGACAATTATCAATTGGCTGGTGAACAGTGACAACAACAATCGGTTAACGTGCGATAACCCCAAAAGTAGTAAAAGCCAAACAAATCCAAATCCGAATACGAATCCGAATCCGAATCATAACCCTAATCCGAATCCGAATCCAAATCCAAATAATAATTGCAGCTGCGAGTCGCGCGCGTTTCGCGATTTCCGCGGTGTCCAAACCCTCCGCTTGTTGTGGAGCAAGCGCATCAAGAGTGCCAGCGAGGACCACGCCCACTACAGTGCCCACTCCCACGCCCACGCCCATGGGGCCAACCCCACATTGGGCACCCTGAAGAAACTGAACAAGAGTGTCAGTTGTCTGGTGAATGTTTTCAATAATTCACGAGACTTTTCCACGCCGGAGAAATCGCTGGCCAAGCGCACGGCCAGCCTGCACAACTTGCAGGACTCGAAGCACCTGCTGCTCCAGAAGGAGAAGGACAACTTCTACAAGTACAAGAACGCCGAGCAGGCCAGAATGCAGGCCAAGTTGAAGCGCGTCAACGACGAGGCGAGTGCGACAATAGCCGCCGGCGAAAGCCGCGAGAACCGCAATGACATGGAGCTCCTATCAGCCGTAGATAAGACTACGGCGGAGCAGGGGCAGGCGGAGGATGAGGGCGAGGTGGAGCCGAATGCGAATGTGGAGGCGGGTGACTGGCTGGAAGAGCGAGTGGAGCTACGAGCGAAACGGGAGCGTAACGCCGCCAGCGAGTTCAGTCTCAGTGCGACGAGCGGCAGGAGTGGCTGCGGCAGCTCGGAATCCATACACACCTCCACCTCCTCGACGGCCACCGCTGCCACCGTGACGTCATCGGCGGGTCGTTCCGGTGGCCGGCGCAAATATAGCTTTAAGACGCACGCCGGTAAGTCCTATCACCAACACCACCACCCCATCCGCCGGGTGAGCAATATGGACGCCCATAGCAGTGCCCCTAACAGCTCCAGTATGGTGGCCAAGCTGACCCAACAGTTCAACGAGATTATCCAGAAAGATGCCCGACTCCTGGAGCAGGTGAAGCGCAACAATGGCGTCTGGCTGTCACGAGGCACCCACGTCTACAAGGTCATCGAGCGGGAGCAAGGCAGTGCGGAGGAGAACCGCATCTCCACTGTCCAGAGGAACATCAAGAAGTTCGAAAAGCTGGAGAAGCCTTCGATTCCCCAGAAAACCGAACAGCTGATGCGGAAACACCGCGAGCTGATGGCCAGCAGTCCCCGGGGAAGTCTCAATCCTAAGGGTTCCAGAGTCAAGAGGAATCTCAAGCTGCCCGCGGGATGTATGGGAATACCAGAGGAGGAGGTGAAAGCGCCCACGGAGAAAGGCTGCACCGGTATTCCCGAACAGCCAGCTAAGCAACCAAAAGACAAAATACCCAAAGAGGAGGTGGATGCGAGATCCAATGAGGAACTGCATCTAGTTATAAACAAAGAAAAGCCAGAAACGGAAGGAGAAGCTGACGATTTGGAGCCAGAGCAGGAGGAGGGTTTCAGACAGAAGTGGAAACACAAAAAGTCCTCCATCTACGAAAAGCTAAGATTCCCCTTCAAGGGACGAAAGTCGGCCAGTCCCTCGCCCACCAAAGGACGAGCCAAGGAGGAGGCACCAATCGTAGAGGAAGTCACCAAAGAGGAGCCCGAGGCAGAGCCTCTCAGACTACAAATTCCCAAAGAGGACACCCCTGTGAAGGTGGACACCAATGGTGGATTCCTTGTCTCCCCTTGCATCGAGGCCGATGCGAAGATCCTTGATGCCCTGGAAGAACTCGACCACAAGCTGAAGGTGCTCAGTCATCCAAGTGAGATGTCCACATCCGGAGACGGAGAACTCCTGATAGCTGCCAACGATGACTTTGAACAGCGCATCCTGCCCAATAACTCGTTCGTTTTCCAGTCGGCCAACAAGCAGATCTCCAACAACCAGATCCTGCTCAACCAAGCGGTGAATGTTACCCTGGTGAATGCCATCGAGGGCGAGCAGATGATCATGGAGCAGAAGCAGCTGGTGAAGATCAGGGAGCTGGAGGAGGAGCTGCTGGAGCAGAAACCAAAGCAGACACTACAGGAGGAGGAGCAGGAGTCCATCTACGAGCCAATCACCCTGAACAACACTGAAACCAAGACTGAACCCCAGGCTTCCAGCCTCTATAAGATCGCTTCCAAAAGCCAGGAGATCGTGGAGGATATATACCAAACACTGGAGGAAACCAAGCCAACTAACTGGCTGGAGGGATACGAGTCGATAGCCGGATCCCAGGAGGCTTCCGCCTTGAGTTACGATGGGTATGAGTCCTTTGCTCCTGAGGAGGTACTCACCACACCCACTACACCCTCGGCAGGCACAGGCACCCTGGGCCGGAATACCCGTGACCAGTTGCCAGAGCTGCCCAAGCCCAAGAGGGTGCTCCACACTTCTCCCATGCCTCACCGACCAGCTCCACCCAAGCCGGACGTCAAGGAGTCCGAGGAGGATGAGAACATCTACGACACCATCAAGGGCTGCTATGAGTCTGTCAACCTGAAGGCATCCTCAACGTCCTCCTCTTCATCCTCCAATGGAACAGTAACCCTCACCACAGATGCCATCTCCCTGACCTCCAACTGCTACGAGAGTATCTTGCATTACAAGAAAACGAGGATATCGACGGGAGGGAATCAGAATCAGGCAACCAACGGAGGCAGTTGCATCCAGCTCTCGAGCAGTGGCTCCACCCTGACCATCTCCTCGGACCACAAGACCAACAGCCTGTACGAATCCTCACTGGCGGCAGCCGGGTGTGTGATCTACGGAAGTGCCAGCGTCGGTTGCCGCTCCTCCCTGGGCAGCAGCGCGGGGAGTCGGGATAGCGGGAAGCCCAGGGACAAGAGGTCCTCGATAGCAGGGTCCAGCGATAACAGCGACGCCTGGGTGGACATTTCGGATGGCGAACATGGACCTGCGCCCTTGGAAACAGCCGCCACCGAAGCCCAGTTCATTGTGTAAGTATTTGTCCTTTTTTTTATGTTTTTAAACTTTCAGGAAAAATTAGAAAAGGTTAGTTAGTAATTACTAATCAGAAGAGTTAGGTTCTAGATTATTTTCAATTTTAAAATATTAATAGTACTTAGGACTGTCTAATCAGTATATTGATATCAGCAATCAATAATTCCCGCAATCTGCTACTTTTGCAATTTTAAATATCAATTTTCAATATCAACACTCGTAGGTCAGGTTAAAAAATATAAATAGTAGAAAAGTATACATAAAATATATATATAATAATAACAAGAAGGTATTTATGATTTTGTGTTGTTTCCTGTATTTTGAGAAAACGATAGCCAGCGGAAGAAGATTGGAACTTCTGCTCCCTGTATTATACAGAGATATACAGGGGAAGTATATAGTAAATTCTGCGTAGATTGCTTATCAGTTTGTTTGGGTTTGCCTTATCTAATCGGCTGAGAAAACGACAGCCAACTGCAGGGGAAACCAGCCCACTGAAGTTGATGTTGCAAGGGTTGCTAAATGGTTATATACCATATAGTATTTATATCCCTTGCTGCACATGGGTTGACACCAAAACCAATACTATCAATCAGGTCAAGGTGGCTCGCCTTAGGCTTTAACGTTTATAAGACTTTAATTAAATTCAGAATGAATTAATTTATTTATTTTTCAATTTAGAATGTTGTTATATTATTCAAAATTGAGTCATTCAAGTATTTTACGCATTTCTTGACGCAATCTCGTTTAAAAATAAACAAAGAACCTGAGATATTGCGCCAGAAAGTGATGACAAGTTCAGCAAATGACGTACATTTAGAATATATATTTTTTTGCAAAAATCCCGACGTTAAGCTATGGCTTATCTAAGTTTTGTAAGATATTATGAGACAATTACGTCTCATCACAACACCAAGTGATAGTTGGGGGTCTTTTGTTCTCCCAGAATACTATCTCTTAGGCCTTATCGCCTTTAATTAGAACAATGTCACGCTTTTTTAAAATTTGAAACCGACCATTCCCAAGTTGCAACACTCTTCTAGTGATTGGGCCCCTCCACTAATTGAAGCTCTGACCTACAATTTCTTTTGTTATCACTCGATAAGAGGGTCGCGCCTCTATGAGGGAAGCCCTTAAAATCAGTTCCAAAGCAAGCACTTCAAGACCAGTCATTGGAGATCCCTCAAGGGGAATTATTTTGATCGATCGTTTTTAGGAACTATGAAGTACTCAATGAAAACTATTTTAAGACAATTAAATGAGTAGTTCTTAAAAGACTTAATGAGTATCTTGGACCTTTTTACAGTGTTCGGGAAAGATTCAAGCCGCATCGCACACGCAGCCCGGATTGGTCGAAACGCATCAGAGACAAAAGACTGCAGCAGAAGGCTAAAAGCTGTATAGAAGGTGAGTAATGAAATTAATTCTTTAAAAAAAAGAACTAAAAACAAAGCTAGTTGGTAATTATTTCCTTAAAAGAACGAACAAAAGTGCTCTGTAAGTAATGGTGAATTTCTTACAAAATATTCATGGGGATTCCCCTGCCTGAAAGCTTTCAGTGAAGCTTTTCCAACATAGCTGGTTCGTGTCCCAGCTAGTCTCTCCGATCTTACCATCCACACACATGTAACTGTTTACTGGCTCCCACAAACTTGACACCGTCCAACCAATAATTACTGGCAACTGGTTAATTTCTATGAATGGCCCATCAGGGCCACTTAGCCGTTTGGCTTTTTAATAAATTTGCATAAGCGATCGCCTGGAGCGGCGTCTGGCCGCCTCGAAGAAAAGGCCAAAAGTGAAGCCAAACACGACTTCGGCTAACAAGGCAAGCAGCTAGCAGAGCGAATAATTGCAGACCCCCCTTTTTTACAAATGAGAGTGAGAGTGTGGGGCTGAGCTGGGATTACATGAGCAGGTCGCGCAGGCGACGAGTTCCACACCCGAGAGAAGCTCTCGATGCCCATAAAGTGGACGGAATGTGCAATTTACGTTGCTTTCGGGGTAGTATCTGCTCTCAGTATCTGCGCCTCTCATTCGTTCCACATCGCTCAACTCCAACGGTCAGAAAAAAGATACAACGCGCTCGCTTGGCGGTTCCGAATAAATTCGTGTGATAAATGTGAATATCTGAGTACATAACTAATGATGTTGCTTGGGGGGCAAATAAGATACAAATGGGGGAATATGTGAAATTTCAAAAATAGGAAATGCACTGCATGTGCATCCAAAATTAAAGAAGAAGCTCTTCGGACACAAAGATACAAGAGTGCATACGACAAGATACTCGAGAGTGCAGTTTGCATTACAAGTTTTTTTTTTTGTGCCTTTGTTGCTGTTTTTGTTTGGAAACCGATGCCTTATGTCTGGCCACCCCCTCCCACTACCCCTGATGGCTGGTGTAGTTATTATAGTTTTTCAAGCCAGCGATGACGAAATTGTTTAGCGAACACGAAAACCAGTCTAGAAATATAAAACGCAAGCCGCACAACCTTGAAGCTGTCTTAAAGAAACCGAAAAAAAAACACAAAACAAAACAACGGGCCAAATCGTAGGTACATCATCGCAGTTTTTTTTTTTTTTGGCCAAAAAGGAATCGGTTTTCCCCAATTCGGCGATGACTTTTGCAAAAAATTAAAGAAACCCCACAACATTATCTATTGCAAAAAAGACAGACTTTGTGCAATGTGCAATTCCATTTCGAATACAAAATACGAAATTCGAGTGCGAAAAGTGTGCGCATGCGCATAATCCTACAAAAAAAGGCTTCGCAATGCTTGCTCTCTCACTTTCAGAAAAAAAAACCGAGTTCAGCGAACGCAGCTTGATTATCGGAAAAATATCTTGTAATTGTAATTGTTTCTGGTTTTATGGGCGAAACCCACCAACCGGCAATGCCTGCACTTGGCTCTTAATGGAAATTCTCAGCTTAACTTTTAACTTTTACCCGCTGGCACGTTCAACTTTGGCTCGTTAGTTGTATTTTTTGGTTTTAGGCCTTTTTTTTTGTTGTACCCTGAAGCCGACACGCAACGCCAAAACCCGCGGCGAAAGTGTCGTGGAAACTTGGTGGACTGCCGCAATGAAAATTTATGAGTTGGGTGACTATTGCATGCCGGAAGATTCCACTCTATGGGATGATCTTCGGAATGAATGCACTATTTTCAATTAGATGACGAAGAGTGAAGGCTTTTCCTATTATAAGTCTGGCTATAGAAACAGATTTCCATCAGTAAATCAGGTGTTTTAAGTTCTTTTCTAACTACCTATGACTTGGAAAGAAAATTAACTAATAAAAGTCATAGTATGATATCGACAGAGCTACGATGATATTTCATAACCCTGACGCTGCTGGTGACTATCAGCCAATCCAATTGAGACAATGACATCGTTTGGCACTTAATAATCTTAACCTTAATGCGTCTGGCAATCAATCAACCGTTCGAACCGTTGCTCCACCGGATTTCTTCCAGCTGCACTGTTAATTGTTAATCATTTGTGCGTGAAGACTGACCGCCCGGCCTTGCACTTGCTGCATTCCCATAAACAAAGACCCCAGAGATCATCTTGTCTTTTACATAGCTACTATATACAACCAGGGTTTTAATACTTGTGAAATAGTATTCATACTACATAGGTATGTAGCTCTGTTTCTTCTTTGTTTCCCAAAGTATTTGTGGGCTAATGAAGTAAACCATTTCCGTATGGGGCTTTGGTCCGGTATAATATCAACATTCACTCTACACTCTACACGCACAAAGACAAAAGCCGAAATTCGCTGAATTTCCCCCAGAGAACATGCAATATCGGTATACAAGCCATATATGTATTCGAACTGAACCTGAAACCGGTAACTTGAGGTGCCAGCTCCTGGCTGGCTTTCGTGCCCAGAACCACCAGCCATATAAGCCTCCTATAACTTGTATGTACAACCCACGCTCAACAAGTGTTGGCGCCGAAAAGTATCTCGTTCCGTTCAGAAATCCACCTCTAACCTACACAACTATTTGAGACATTTTCAATGGAAATTAGAAATAAATTACTCATATATCTAATCGGCTAGTGGCAATTGTTTTAATTTGCTGCAAAACGTCATTTCCTTCCCTCGAATGGGGGACGGGGGCATTCTTGTGTGCTATTATTTTGCCCGTTACTGTATTTACGGCATAGCCAGATACAAGCTCATATTCGTGTTCATACAGCAGAGCTTAAGCTTGGCTTTTATTGACGCTCTCGAACCGGTCTGGAAGCATTCGCTGCGCTTGCCTGCCTCCCCAACCACGTACCTACTACGTATACGTAATATTCCAACTGATTTTATCTGAGTTCTACGGGGTGGAATGTATACTCGTACTAGTCTATTGAAAATGTGCTAATATTGTGAGTTTCGCAGGGTATACGGTGGGCGGCAGCACCTGCTGCTTTAGCTGCTGTGCCAGTTTGGAGTATGGTATTTGATTTTCCAACCATGTATGTTAATCACAGCTCACATTGTGCCCGGTGTGACTTTGTTGTCTGCATTCAACCATGATTCCATTATAATTTGCGCTGTTTTGCATTCCCCGGCTTTTGGGGTTTTCGCTTTGATTTTATTTTAGTTCGTTTTAGTTTAGTTTATAGCTTAGCACCAGTCGCCAGGGAGCTTTATGTTGTGACACTTGAAGAGTCGGTTTAATTAGCATATCGAGGAGGGTACACTGGGCTGGATTGGTCAATCAGAGAGGGGGCCAGGCAATTGCAGCTTTAATTGCTTTCAATTGAGGCAACGGTCCAGCATTCCCAAGAACAGCAACAGCGACAGCATCTCCGGGAGTTTCTTCTTCTGATTCTCGTTCTTAATAGGCGTCTGACCCCAAAGATGTGACAAGATGTCGACCATTAATCCCAGCAATGGCCAGCGTCTCAGCTGCACCGGCAGCCTGAACAGCAGCAGCAGCGGTCATCCCTCCGACCCGGTGACCCTGCCCCGCAAGAGGCGCTCCCGGGCCGTCGGCGAGGTGGCGGTCACCTGCCAGCAGCGCAGCACCACCAGCGTCTACCTCAACGGACCGCCGTCCGCGGAGCCAGTGCGCCCGGCGCCCGAGCCCATCTACCAGAACGAGGCGGCAGCCATCAGCCAAAGCTGCAGCCACGCCCACCAGCGGGCCAAGCTGCTGACATCCATGCGGGCGTGCCACGACGAGCGGGGCGAAAATTCCGGAAAAGTCACCATGACAGTGAGCACTTTTGTAGGTTCGTTCTGGTATAGAAATATGATTTAATCTTAATTGTCTAATTATTTCAGGGCCTTGACTTTAGGTTAAACTATTTATTCATTAAGCTATTAAACTTTAAAATAATAACTTCACTTTTTTTGGATCCACACAGATGACTCGGATCATTACTACGAGACCCTGTCGCCCTTCAAGGACAAACGCCATTCGACGCAGCTGGTGCGACATCACCAGGATGCCACGCAAGTGCGTTCCACGCGCTCCTCCAGCCGTCGCAGCAAGAACCACTCCGTCTCCGCCCATGCCCTTGGTGAGCACGTGGTCATGTCGGATGACTACGACTCCTTTGAGACGGACAGTGATGAGCACGGCGAGGAGGAAACAAGCCAAAGGCTGCGAAACGTGAGTACTTTACTCATGAAGGATTCAAAATGGATTCGACTTAACCATCTTGGAATTGCAGCAAAATGACAGCGGCGTGGACATGCGGAATCATCGGCTTCCAAAGCCACCGGCTGCCCAAAACCAGGTCTACGAGTTTGTCCGCAAATTCTTCTTCTCCAGCAAGAAATCTCCAAAGAGCAGCCAACAAAAGCTGTACGAGAACACTCCGGCGCCCACTCAGTTCTACGTAGAGGGCGGCAAGCGAACGGAGGATATCTACGAAAGTACGGATTATGGTCCAGAGCGAAATCCACCTCCGTCGAGCCACCTAGAGCCGCCGCCGGTTCTCAGGAAGCAGCAGAAGAACGGCAAGAGTCTGCGGTCCCGGCTCCGAAAGAGTCTGGTCGGTTCCAGCTTCGACAGCAAACAGCTGTCCACCTTGTCGGCCACACGCAGCACCTTCTACGTGGAGGATCCCGAGGGCCTGATCCCGGAGCTACATGGCTCTGGGGAAATGGATTCCGGCTTCTCCGAGAAGACTTGCACCCCCACGCCAGAGTCCCAGAAGTTCTCTACGATGGCACGGAAAGCCAAGAAGGAGGCAAAGGCCGCCAGGCGCCGCACCACCATCGGACTACGACCCCACGACCCTCCACCGCCCCCGCCTCCGATCTCGGGCAGCAAGACGCCCACCGAAACCGGGGAGCGGGAGAATGAGCGCGAGCAGGAGCCCGGTCAGACCACCTCCTGGTACGCTGAGTGTGGAGTCTTCAAGCAGGCTACCAGTGCTGCCACTGTGTCGCCCCGAGGCGACGAGCCGGTCACGCCCACGCCCAGCGCCCACGGAGGCGTCAGCTCGTGGTACGCTGAGTCTGGCCTCTACCAGACCAGCGGCGTGTCCGTGGCCAGCTCCAGCGGCAGCTCGGGCGTCTCCACGGGCAACGAGGCCGGTCTAGGCGATGAGCTGCCCTCGGAGCCGCATAGTCTGTTCTCCAACGAACCGCTCTACCAAATGTACAGTGCCGCCAAGCTAGAGGTACCTACCCTTTAATCCTCTCCTGCTGCTGCTGATATTAATCGGTTGCCTTCTTTCAGTCGATCACCCGCGACCTGGAGGCGCACGAGAGTTCCACCGACGGCTACGAGGAGATTGGCCAGCACGCGAAGAACAAGCCAGAGCCGATGGCCAAGCCACGGCCCTCGGCCCTGCAGTTGGTGGAGCCCAAGAATGGGCCATCGCGAACCCTGTGGAGCGAGATACCCGAAGTCATTCAGTCCCACATACTGCGTGAGTATAGCCACTGGGATGTAGGATGAATACGTCTTTATATTTTAAGTTTCAATTTTAAAATGGGATTATGTCAAACATTCGAAGCACATAAGCTGACCAGGATTCGTCCTCGGATTCGGAACTATCCGACGGGTCGAGCTCATGCCACCTCCCCTTATGGTCCACGTATATGGGGTTGATCCGCACCTTCTCGTCGCTGTCCCTTCGATCTTTCTGGTACACTTCCCCGCTGCGTTCCTCGGTCAGTGCCTCGTCTTTGAAGCTCTTCAGGCTGACGAAAGTGCCTCTCATTTTGTCGTGGTATCTCTCCAACGTGACCAAGTCCTTGAAGTGCAACGTGTTGAGGTTCGGCGTCAGGAATCTCGGCACCCTGCCACTCTGGAGGTGATTCTCCAAGGCCTTGAAGGCAGCTATACAGCAAGTGTCCAGCTCTTTCGGCAGTCTGGGAATCTCCTGCAGTATCACGGCGCGGATGGCATCGTCCAGTCCTTTTATTTTGATGCGCATGATCTTTTCATACTTATGGCACGTCGACTGGAGCAGGCGCTGCAATCCTCGGGAGTGTGAGTGGGCAGCCATGAGGCTGCGCTCCAATTCCGGGGCCCAGACCATGAAGCTGCGGGGTTCAAATGGCGTTGTCACCTGGGGCACTGCGTACCAGTGATAGGGCGGCAGATTCAAGTCGCCCTCCGTCAGCCAAGGACATGGTAGTGGCCACTCCGAGTGCTGAAATTCGATCACCGGCAGCCAAGTCACCTTGACACCACTCTTTGGGGCTTCGTCCTCGGAAGTGGATGCATCAAAGTGCAGACGGAGTCGAGACTCCAGCTTTGGAGTACTGATTCCCTTCAGCCAGTATTCAGCCAGGAGATTCCGAAACACAAACCCCTGGTACACAGTCGGATGATGCACTTTGTCGCCGGCATGCAACAGTACAAATCCCGGACGCGCTTCGTCCCTAATTGGAGTCAGTTTGAACGGAAACTTTACCTTAACAAAGACCTCGTACTCATCTTCCTCAACTCTCCGGATCATTTGCTGGGAATTGCCTAAAATGTGTGATTAATTTCAAAGTAGATTAGAGTATCCCAAGATTATGCTTGAAACTTACCCATGGGCACCAAGCTGAAACGAGCTCCGTTGGAGCCATCGATCTTGGTGAGCTCCTCGCGAATCTCTTTCTGCAAGCTCAGCACATTTTTTGGAATTCCAGCTGGGGGACTATCTCGGAGCACCAAAGTCCTCAAGGCGGTATTCAAAGTTTCGCATAATAACTTGCTCGATGTTTCGGATATGGTGTCTTCGGGAGAATTCAAGAGTTTAGAGTTTAAGAACAGATGGAAGAGCTTTCGATATAAAAGTCTTCTATCGATAGTTTAAGATTCTAAAAATTTGCTAAAATTTAGAACCAAGTTCACGATCACTTTCAAAACGATGCTCATGCGCAAAGGCGACCGAGTTCTTTGAATTCCACTTCAAGACTGTTTGTAGAAAATCAAAACTTGGATAAAGTGTGTCCCCTTCTATACATACATATGTATGTATGAATATAATTCCTTTTTATACCCTTGCAGAGGGTATTATAATTTTGGTCAAAAGTGTGCAACGCAGTGAAGGAGACATCTCCGACCCTATAAAGTATATATATTCTTGATCAGGATCACCTCCTGAGTTGATATAAGCATGTCCGTCTGTCCGTCTGTCTGTCTGTTTCTACGCAAACTAGTCTCTCAGTTTTAAAGCTATCGACTTGAAACTTTGCACACACCCTTCTTTCCTTTGCACGCAGTATATAAGTCGGAACGGCCCGGATGGGCCGACTATATCATATAGCTGCCATATAACTGATTGATCGGAAATGGTATAACTTTGGTGTTTTTAGAGTTAGAGAGTTCAAATTTGACATGAGAGCTACTTTTGGCAAAATAATACGACATGCCAAATTTCATAAGGATCGGCCGACTATATCCTATAGCTGCCATATAACTGAACGATCGGAAATGACCCAACTTTCGTGTTTTTGAAGATAGAAAGCTGGAACTTGGTACAGATTATATATTTGGTCAGTTGATCCGACCTACCAAATTTCATTAGGATCGGCCGACTATATCCTATAGCTGCCATATAACTGAACGATCGGAAATGGTATTTGGTAGAAATATCAACTTTCGTATTTTTGAAGATAGAAGTTTGGGACTTTTTTTAGATTTTGTATTGTAATAAATTGGATTATATATTCCTATTCCCATAAGGATCGGCCAACTATATCCGATGTTTGCGATATATATCCGGTTTTAACTGCAAGGGTATATAAACTTCGGCTCCGCCCGAAGTTAGCATTCCTTTCTTGTTTTATAAACAAAAACCGCCAACACTTGTAGAAAAACTACGTCTTAAGTCTTAAGTACCCTGGCAGTCTGTTTTTATTTGGGGATGAATTTGAGACTCCCGCTTTTTATTGCGTTTTTTATTGGAAACCCATTCCTCAAATGGTCTGGCGTCTTGTTTCCTTTTTTTCTGAAAAAAAAATATACATATATTATATTACTAAATGCCTCTAGAAACTCTAGAATATGTATAACTCTTCCGCAATTTCAACTAAACCCACATTATTGCAGCCACCTTGACGAGTCGAGAACGAAATCTTCAGGAGGCCAAGTTCGAGATAATCACATCGGAGGCGAGCTACCTAAAGTCGCTCAACCTGCTCCGGCGCCACTTCATGAACCACAGCGCCTTTATGGACACCTCCGTGCTGAGTGCCAAGGACCGGAAGGCCTTGTTCTCCTACATTGTGCCCGTGCACGAGTGCTCGGAACGTCTGCTCACGGAACTGGAAGCCTGCTGGCAGGACAACATCATGCTACTGGGACTTAGTAGGTGCATCTATGAGATTGCCGAGCGGCACTTTCATGTCTATGTGGCATTCTGTGAGCACCAGGGTCGAATGGACCGGACGTTGCGCCGGCTGAAGGAGTCCAAGGATTCCATGGCCTTCCAGCAGCACTTGGAGCGACTGGAGGCCAGTCCCAACTGCTGCGGCCTGAACCTGCACTCGTTCCTGATGTTGCCCATGCAGCGGATCACCCGCCTGCCCCTGCTCATCGACGCGGTCTTCAGCAAGGAGTCGCCGCTGAATCGCGAGGAGTACGAGAGCTGGAAGCTGACGCTTGCCCTCGTCCAGAAGCTGGTAACATTTTTTAAACTCTCCATGTAGAGATTGCAAAACCTAATTTCCATGTTTCGTGTCCTTGCAGGTGGCCCAGTGCAACGAAGCGGCCAATCGGCGGGAGCAGGCCTACGAGTTGGAGCGTATTGCCAGCCAACTGGAGTTTCCTGGTCACGTGCGGGCTCTGGCCATCGCTCCGGTCGGAGTGCCGCGGGCGGGAGCGAAACCCCGCTACCTGGTGAAGCGTGGCGAGCTGACCCACCTGGTCTGGCGGGGGGAGGACGCCAAGTTGACCTTCGGTAAGCGCCTAACGAAGGTCAGCATCTACGCCTTCCTCTTCTCGGACCTGCTGGTGCTCTGCAAGCGGCGAGGAGAGTCCAGCTTCAGTGTTTTCGACTACTGCCCCCGGAGCATGCTGACGCTAGCCGCCGGCGACTCACTGCCCCAGCTGCCCACCAAAGACCTCAAGGACCAGGTTGGCAAGAACCTCATCCTGATGACCCTGCTGGAGAACTGTGACCGCAAGACCATCGAGCTGGTAAGACCTATTTAATCGCTATTAAACCCTTCTCCGACTAAGCTCATCCACCAACCCACAGGTCTTGTCCTGCCCCTCGGTGTCCGACCAACAGCGATGGCTGCAGGCCATGCGACCGCCGGAGGCTGAGACGCCCGGCGAGAAGCTATACGAATCCTGGGACTGCCCACAGGTGGTGGCCAAACACAGCTACGAATCGGACGAGCCAGACGTTCTCCAGCTGGAGCTGGGCGACGTTGTCAACGTGTCCCGCAAGCTACCCGATGGTGAGTACACAATCCGTGTTCTGTTATCATTTAAAACTAATCCGCCTCCCCCTTTTCAGGCTGGTACCAGGGCGAAAGGATTCGTGATGGCGCTGTCGGGTGGTTCCCCGGAAGCTATACCGAGGAGCTGAACTCGGCGCACGTTCGAGCTCGTAACCTGAAGCAGCGCCACCGTCTACTCACCTTCACGGCTACATATCTGGAGGCCCAGAAGGCCAAGTGAACTGGCCACTTCCTGACCAGTTGCAATTCCATTTTCATAGTCCGAATCAGATTCTAAGTGAACTACCATAATAGCCCTTTAGTTTTAGAGTTAAGGAAATGTGATAATTGTTTAAATATCGATGTATATGTTAACGAAATCGGGAATCCTACAAAATATATCTTCCCCTTTAAATAGTCAATGGTAATTGGTTTTTTTATTTATGAATTCTCTTAGAAATCTCTTAGAAATTCCAATAGGTCACCCTGAAAGGGGCTTAAGCTCATCAAGTCCATAGATTTAAAATTGACATTATCAACTAGGAATGGTGAACATCTGCCCACCTTCAAGCTCCTCACCAAAACCTCAAGATGAATTATAATACTAACTCACAAGTCATGCGAGCAGCTCATCCAAACCTTTTATTTTAATGCCTTCTTGGAGGAAAGAGCCTCTAGCATGCCCTGATGAGCCTGGGAGTGATGATGACTGGCCCAGTTTGGAGCCCAGACCATGAAACTCCTTCCATCAAGGTGTGTTGTTACCTTTGGCACTGCATACAAGGGATGATGCAATTAACCCAATCCACCTTCTCTACTGTCGTCTTTGTTTTTAAAAAAGATCTCTTATTTGGCAGATAAGATCAAATATATATCACAAATATCGGATAAAAATATAGGATATAGCGGATATCGAAATAAAACCAATTTATTAGAATATATGTGAAAAAAGTCCCATGCTTCTATCTTCAAAAATACCAAAGGTGGGTTGGATATAGTCGGGTTGGATATAGATGGGTTGGATATATAGGATATAATCGACCGATCCTTATGAATTTTGGTATATAGTATTATTTTACCAAAGGTATAGTCCACAGAAAATCCCAACTTTCTAGCTCTGAAAACACCAAAGTTATTGCAGTTATTTTGCAGCTAAAGGATATTGTCGGCAAGGAACTAAGCGCTTTCCTGATCAAGAATATATATTGTTTTTAAAACAATTCATAGCTTAGCAATTTGATAAAACCAATTAATAAAACGTAACATTATTCTGTTAAAAATTGTTGTATATTCTTTGCAAAAATATATATACATATTTTGATTTGTGTTTCGATTTAGTTTCCTCGAATGCATTATAAATTATTTTAGTAGCTGCACTCCATCCCTATGGTATTGTAAGTGTATACAATTAATTCTATGATTATATTACTGCTGTCATAAATTATTAAATCTAAATCCAAGCACTACAAAGTGTACAAAGTGGATGGGGGCGGGATGGGGGCAAGATATGCTTTGGCGATGAAATCGAACCGATAGCAGTCCGTGTCGAGTGCTGCTAAGCCGGAGTCTTCATAATCATGGTTGTAATCGCCAGCCCATTCCAGCCCATCTAAATCTAGTTCGAATAATTTACAATACTTCATGTGACCGCGATGAGTGGATGTGATAAATTTTCGATGAACGATGAACGACCGACGAACGGCTTGCATCAGTCGATTAAAACTACATACTATAAGTATGTGGGATGTGAGATGGTATATGGGTATGTGGTATGTGGTATGGGGATTTCGATGGCTAAGGCTAAGCTATGGCTCACTAATTTATCCTGCTTTTAAGCGCTAGATTCATACACGTATAAATATATATCACAAATCAGTGAAATGAAAATTCGCTGGAGTATTTGCTTGTTTTGCTTTGGGATGATGCATGAGCTGGTTGGATGAGGATTGGTTCAGTTTTCAAAATGGTTCGATGTTTGGCAATGTCTTGGCTTGTCATCTGAAGCTAATGCCGCACTTGCGACTGATCTTGGGAGTATGTATGTAGGCGATGGACAGCAATAGCGGCACATCGTTCTCGGAGAGCTGCAACGGCGTCGTGATGTCGCTCAGTCGGCAGGGATCCGTTTCCAGCAGGAAGGCTGCCAGTGTCTCCGATTGAAGATAGATTTCCTGGAGCTTTGATTCCAGAAACGATAGACACTGAAACCATCAAAGAAAACTGATATTAGAGAAGCCTTTTGAGGTTGGACACAAAAGGGTATTTACCTCATAGGCTGGTATTCCGCCAGCGTGCATGGCCTGGACTGTCTCCAGCATGCTGGACACCAGCTGCGACATGCCCACCGGCGAGCTCTGGCCGCCGGCATATGGGAACTGTTGGGTTTGCGAGGAGATGAGACGCACATCCCACTTGTCCATGTCCGCCACAATGGCTATGTTCTCCGCCGGCTGCGAGATGAGTGAGGCGGAGCGTGCTGCCAGTGCCAGGTCCTCGCGGAGGTCCATCTCCCACTTGTTGGGCGGAGCACAGGTGCCCTAATAGCCGAAAGAAACTCTCATTAATATCCAAAATAATTCCATTTTCAAGCTTGAGACCTACCTGCAGGACCATGTCTGAAACGTAGTGATCGCTGACACTGAGCAACAGCGATGGAATGAAGCCCGCCCTCAACTGATCACCTGGCGAATCGTCGTCCTGCGGCAGCTCCTTGATGCCAGGAACTGGTAGCTTCAGCAGTTGCTGTGTCACATTTACGGCCGCACACTTTGCGGCCACTGAGGAGACAGAACTACGTCCCGAGGGCACCCTCTTGGGCTGCTGCTTGCGCACATACGTGGTCTGCACCTGACTGGGAATCGTCGGACTCTGCGGCTCCACCGTCACCGCCGACTTGAGGGTATCAATGGAGGCGGCCGAATTCACGGACTGCAATGCCATGGAGCTGGAGTTGCCGCTTTGGCTGTAGCAGTGAACTTCGTCCGTCTCGAACTCCAGTTCGGTGGCGTTGGAGGGCGTCTGGTTCCAGGTGGCACTACTGCAGATTACACATCTTTCGCCGCTGGCCGGCGTGGCATTGGGGGTGGCCGGATTGGGAGGCAGGGCAGCTGTGGAACTGCTGCTGGCTGCCAGCGTGGCAGTGCTGTCGCTTCCCTTCAGAGCCGCCGCTTCGCTAGCCTCCAGCTTGGTGGCCTTATCCATCAGCAGGTCGTAGTTGGACATCACAAGGTTCTTACTCTTCATGTAGTTGGTGGCGATCTGGGGATATTGCTCAAAGTTGAACTTCATGCCGGAGTGCTTTTTGTTGTCGTGGGTGCGCTGGTGCTGGGCACACAGCACCAGAGTGGTCGGCTTGGCCTCCTGATCCGCACTGAGATCCTCGCTGCTCTTCTTCAAGTTGATCAACGGCTCATTGTCGCCCAGAACGAACACCACGCCATTGCCATTGTCGGCGGATTGTTGCCGGCAGATGCCGTGCTCCCGCTCTATGAGCTTGTGGCAGTGGTCGAAGTGGATCTGCTCCTCCAAACTCACGTTCTCCTTGATGGGCTCGATGCCCCAGGTCATGCGATCGCTCTTGCCCATGCTGTTCTGGGTTATAAGATCCGAGAGGGACAGGTGCGAGGCCCGTCGCTCGTGGGTCAGAGGCTCAAAGTCCCCTGCTGGTGCCTTGATCAGCTGATCCGGTATCCCCTCCACCGAGTAGCTGCTGCAGCGGCGATCCAACTTTCGGTTGATGATACGGATGCCTTGCTGCAACTTGGCAAAGTCACTGAGGCTCAGACCTTCCTTAACGCTTGCCATGTTCCAGAATATGTTCTTCTTGGGCGGCGCTTCCTCGTTCTCCTCAAACTCGATGGCCTCGATGGCGCCATCGTCCACGGAGCCAGTGCCCACGGAACCGGTGGTGCCGCTCGACTGGTCCTCCTCCATGCACAGTTCCACATTGTCCGGCGTGGTCACGGTCAAACGGATCCGGCCGTCCTTTCCCGTGTGAAAGTACTGCTGCGCCTGCCGCGCCAGCAGGGTTTTCTTTTCAATTCCCGTGTCCATCAGATAGTTACCGATTCGCAGCTCCTGCTGCACAAAGTGCGAGTCCCGGAAGGCCAGCACAGTGGGAATCTCGTTCTTCTTCAGGGTCTGCATCCCATCGCCGGAGTCTATCACCAGCTCCCCCTCCAGCCCGTACTCGTTCAGGTCGTTTTCGGTGTCGCAGTCGTCGGCAATGGCGTTCAGGTTCTGTTTGCAGGTGGCGGCTCGGCTAAGTCCTCGCATTTGAGTTGGCGGACTCTTGTGGCGCTCCTGGCTGCCCTGCTGGCTCTGATTCTGGTTCTGGGAGACCAGGTCGTTGATCAGCTGCTTGTTGAAGTCCTCCCGTTTGGCGGCACGACGCACCTCGCTGCACCGAATGAAGTACGTGAGCACGTTGAGTAGCTTCTCCACCCAGAGCTTCTCCGCCCCACACACAATGGTGCGCGCCAGCTTGGGCGGCATCCCGATGGCGCCGTACAGATCCCCGAGCTGCGCCCACAGGGCGTTGTAGGGATGCTTTTGGGCCACCTGCTGCAGCTTCGCCCGCTGCTCGATGGCCGCCGAGGAAGCCGACGAGGAGATCTCCGATCGCCGGCGACCCGCGCTGTTGAATGCCGACACTGTGGCCACCCAGCCCAGGTGGTGCGTGAGGATTCCCGTCAGCATGGTGCTAATGAAGCTGTAAGGAATGATGAGGCTTAGCTGCAGAACTGAAAGGATGTCCAGCGGTTGAACTTACAAGTTGGAGTCCTTGGTGTCGGCAAAGGAGAGCAGGTCGCACAGTTCCTTGATGAATCGCTCGGCCACCGTCTTGGAGTACTTGCTGCCGCTGGTGGTGATGCTCAGCCAGACGGGGGTCTTGATGCGCGGTGCGGTGAAGAGATCGCTGAACCACTGCTGTGTGTCCTGCCAGGCCTGAAACATGATCTGGAATAAGCGGGAAAAGTGGTGGTCAGTCCCAAGTCCTGTTTAAATCCTAAGACCCCAATCCTCACCTGCAAGAAGTTCTTGTGATTAATGTAGGCATGTTCCGTGCTGGCCCTAAGCCGGCTGAGCATGGACTCGAGCAGGGCAATGTGCTCGCTGCAGAAGAGCTCCATCTCCTCCTCGAAGGACTCGCTCATCGAAATGCACACGGCCAGGCCGAGCTTGGCCCGTCGGCGGAGATTGGCCTGCCGCCTGCCCATCTCCGGATTGCTGCGCGTCTCATTCGCGCTGTAGCTGGCTCGTCGGTACTGCGGCGGAGCCATGCCACCGCCCTCGCTCCCGCCGCCGGCGCCCACTCCCCCAGCTGCCGGTACTATGGGGTAGTTGTCGCTGAGGAAGCCGATAAAATCGTTCTTGGAATGCTCGTTCTCGAATGAGGTGCGCAGGTTGCGCGAGATTCGTCGCTGCAGGCAGCCATCGCTGGCAAATCCGTCTAGGTAGGGCGAGGAGCCGGAGTAGCAGGCCGAGTCTACGCTCAGTTTTCGCAGTGCATCCGACTGATCGGACAGGACACTGCCCAGGCTGCTGCGCGTGGAGGAGTACTGGTACGACCACTGATCCCCGCCAGCTGCACTGCCACTTCCACTCGCGGAGTAGCCCGAATCCGTGGCCGTGCTGTACGTGGAGGAGAATCGCGGGCCACTGGAGTCGACCGAGTGGATGGAGAGCGACTGCTGATCCGCCGGCGCCGCAGGCACATCCAGCGGTGGCGTCAAGCTCATCTGACGGCCCACACTGACGCTGAATGGCATCGAGAACGAGTTCATCGACAGCCCGTCCATGGAGCCGTGCTCGCTGCAGATGGAGGTGCGAGGTGTCGCCAGGCTGCCGGTGGACAGAGTGGAGTAGGGCGAGTGATCCGCCCGAGATCCGGACACTCCATTATTCGTTGGCGTCAGATAGACCTGAGAGCATAGGATGCGGGCCGGTTCCGGCAGCCAGTGAACCTTCAGGGCCGTGCCGCAAAAGGACATCGGCAGCGATCCAAACACCATCTCGCCCAGCGGGGTGATGTCGTCACCAGTCGGCCGATTGTGCTGGATAATGATTGGCAGAAGATTGTATTATGCCTGGGATGGAGGTTAACTATTAGTGGGTCTTACCTTGAAGCCATAGTCGGCACACACTTCGATAAAGTTGCTGCCATTGGTGGAATGTGCCTTGGCCTGAATCTTGCCATTTTGCAGCGATGTGTACTTTTCGTTTTTAAGGAACTTTCCCCCGCCGCCACTCACCGCCGCGGATGAGGAGGAGGAGGCTGTGGATGCCGATGCTGATGTGGTTGACGAAGCGTCCCTGTGGGTCACCTTCTGCAGGGCGTTCGAGTCGAAGAGCAGCCGCCGGCTGTCATCCTCTTTGTAGAGCAGAACCCGCACCTGGCTGCCCTCGAAAGGGAATCGACTGCAATGGAGAGGAAGAACATCACGGATTAGATACTAACTAGTGAGTGGTACTAGTTATTAGTCTTATATGTTAGAGAAAGCACAATTCTTCTAGCTCTCTATTCTATTCTATATATAGCCATCCGATCAGTCGGCACGTGACGGCATTACTCATCCATGCCATAGTCTGTTTGAAATTGTCTTGAAAATCTCCCTCTCTATCTCTCTCTCTTTGTGTGACCTTTGAACTGCCATTGAAAAGTAGCCATTGGCGGGGTGAAGATGTACTAGTGGCTAGTCACATGACGGCAAACGCGAATGTTAAATTAAACCAATTTATTTTTGGCATGGTTCTATAATTGGATGATCTAAGTAGGTGTATCTATACATCTATAGTCGGCCAAGGTTTTTTAAACATTATTGAATTTTTAAATATTATTATTCTAATATTCTAATTAAAATTTAGAACCACTTGGGGAAAGTACTCCATTTTCAAGATCTAGTATTTAAGATTTGAGCTAATTTTTAGTGGCTTTATAAACGGCTTGTCTAAGTAGCGCCAACTTTCCTCCTCAAATTAGCGCTATAATTAACAATTAGCCCAAATGATGATAGTTATGGGGGCGGGGCAGTGGGCGGACTAGTTTTTAGAAGCTTAATAAATGTTTTACAGCCCAGCGATAAGACGGGGGGAGCACGCACTCCGAGATTACGAGGTAAGTTTGTTTTTTTTTCTATTTTTTAGTGGGCTGGTCACGAGTTCCCACTGATACTGGGCACTGGGATACTGACCGTCTTGACCGGTACTGGCGGCCCTTTTGTTGTTTCCCCTAACATGACCACCTTACTGACCACCAAACTATATTTATAGCCAGTGCTTACTTGGATTTGAAGGGCGGCGGCGTATGCATGCGACAAAGGGTAATCCCACTGTCTAGTGGGGAGTCCTACTTCTCCAACTTCTCCAATCTTGGAATTTCAAGGAAAAATATTCACCAACAAGCCAGTAGTAGCTACCACTATTTTTAGTGATTAGCACCGGTCTACTTATTTATTTATTTACATGAATACCAAAAACCGTGACTCAAGCTAGAGTTCCCGATAAAAATAGTCCCACAATGGTTTAGTTATTTTTTTATAAATACTGGATATATAGTATTCTTGGAAGTACTTGGAAATATCTTGATTTTTTGAGGAGTGGAACTATATACGGACTATACGGACGCGTCGATATCTTTATGGCTACGATGCTAGTCAGCAAATGAAGTTCAAGGCATTCGCGAATCGCTCGCCGATCGGGAAACTTGGGAACTGACGGCCCGGCCGTATACTGTGGAACTGAAACGCCCCAGGTCCCGTGCCGTGCCGGCGTGTCGGCGTGCCGGATGAGAAGGGTATATAGAGAGAAGAACGAGACGGGGACACTACTCACTACTCGCATATGCATTATAATAAGGCCCGTCCGTCCAATCGATATATACATATACTGATGTACGAATGTACTGCCCATGCAGATAATGATAATACAAGCAACGATCCTAAACGAGGCGATTCTACTTGGTGGAATGGGCATCCAATTTGGAGCGTTGCTCACATGATCCATCCATCCAGATGGGAAGATCTCTAAAAAAAACGAGCATATCCGAACCCGAATACGAAGAGCATCATGTGGCCACCAGCACCCTGAGGCCATTTGTTTCTTGTCAAAGACTGATGTGTTAATATCTTGTTTTTGTTGTTATTGTTGTTATTGTTGTTGTTGTTGGTAGCCCCCAATCACAGAAAGAGAAAGGTACAAATATTTGGCCAAAAGTCAACAGACAACGGATGAATGATTGTTTGATGGATTAGTTGAAAGGAGTGTTTTGCCAAAACTTAATGGGGGGAATTTAGGAAACACGACTAGCACCACTTTCCCTGATGGTAGAATACTCTGCCCAGCTGGCTAATTACTTGAATTATACTTAAGACTTGTTTTTTGTTTTAAATATGATAACAGATAATATTAAATACATTATTTCCTGTAGGATTTTTGGCTTATGACTATAGATATCTCCATGGGTAACACAAGGTAACCACTGCCGCCTGCTGACCTGACCATGTCCGGACCGAGTCCGGAGAGAGATCAGCTTCGGAAACAATTATCGAATCGCCGCTAAGTTGACTTATCGCCAAGCAGGGGCCAGTGGTGGAGGCACATCGCGTTGTTTATTCTGATATTTTTCGCTTTTATTTTCATTATTTCCCCCTGGTCTCAGTCTGGGAGTGGGTATGGGGCTGGGGCTGGGTCTCGGTTTGGCCCTGGGGCCGAAGGAGGAGAAAGGGAGCAGAATGAGGGGCATTCACTTGGATCACATGCTTTTTCAGCTACGCAAGCAAAACAAAAGCAAGCCACAGCCACAACTACAGTCACAGTCACAACCAAACAATATTAAGCAAATAAACACACGCAGAGAGAGAGACTCACATAAGTACATCATGCATACATAATGAACAAAGGCGTATCTCTAAAGATTACCATACATACATATAGAGGGGGTTTCGGGTAGTAGACCGACCACCCAACCCAACCCCACTCTTTTTTAGGGCCCTGCACTATATATATTTTGATTGATATGGTCAGGTGTATTAATAGCTTGTGGGTGGGAGTGGTGGGCCAAGTCGGTGTGGAGTGCCACTCAAGTGGCTGACAGGTGTTATCGGGCTTTTGCAGGGATTATGTTTTGATTAGCCCTTCGGATACTAGCCATTGGCTGATTGATTTGCTGATTGGTTGAGGAATTGATGGCCCAAGACCAGGCCAGGCCAGGCCAACAATAATAATCAAATTAGAGGCTCTTAATGATCTTTTATAGTTTTTTCTTTCAGTGTTCTTGTGGTGTGAGTGAGTGAAAGAGAGCGTGGCAAATAAACACACAGATTTCCAAAGCGACGACAATAATAAAGGCAAAGTCAAAAGCAAAAGCAAAAGCAAAGTCAGAGCAAAAGCAACAACCAGTTGCTCCATTCAACAAGTCACATGACCCAACCAACCAACCAACCAACCGACCAACCGACCAACCGACCAACGATGGCGATGATGGCGACGCTGGAAATGATGCGAGATGCCAGATGGATGGTTGGGGGTCGGTGGTATAAGCTTATATATACCCTATATACCCTGGAGAAGCTCTCGGAATAACAACAGGCGCAGCTGCCCAGTAAATTGACTATCATTACCACTGGGTTACGAGATTATAAGCTATAGCTATGGGTATTCCAGTTAAATATTGAAACAAACGACCTTCAACCCGTCCTTTTGGGGAATGTCAAGTTCAAGGCTATTTGCCAATTCTCTTTCCAGGCCAAGAAAGTGAATTAATTTCCCCAAAAAAAAAACGAACTCTAAATGCTCTCAAGTAGGTATACATAAATAGCCAATTCTAAGGATTATTTTCAGATTATTTAGGAAATCAAGTCACTATCAAGTATAGCCAGTGATTATAAAAGATTAACTTTAGAATTTCTAATCTATTCATTGCCTGGAAACAAGGTTAATACATGGATCGGTTTACTTCCAGTTAGGGTATAATGACATTACTGATAAATACAAAAAAAAAAAAGAAACACTTGAGCACTCGAGCAGTGCAGACACACAAGACTTGTCGCTCACAATACTAATGAGCAAATGACGACAAAAATATCGAGTGATTTTCATTGTCACTTGAGACCAATGCAAACAGACCCGGACCCGGGACTCGGTCTCGGTCCCAGACCCAGGAAAGGGGAGCACTTGGGGGCGCAATCAATCAATAAAGGCGGCAAGTGTTAACCGATGGAGCTGATGGAGTGTCACCTGGCAAACACAACGTGACTCAGGCCGACCGGGCAGTCCCACCTCCCATCGGGCCTGAAACTAAATACCAACCAGTGAGATCACTACAGATGGCAGACCGAGTCACCAAAAGCCATTCATCTTTTGGCAAATAGCGACTTCCGTCATCAGCAAGGAAATACTACTATATGGTAATGAAATACCCCAGCAGAATCATTAATTCGCTTGAATTTCATTTTATTAATTGGGTTTTACATAAACAGAGTCACGGGTTTAGGGTTTAAGGGAGGCTGACCTTGCCGATAAGACCGAACAAGGGAGCTCATTGTGTGCTCCAGATAGAGGGTTTCCGAGGCAGATTTCTGATTGGGTTTCCAGCCATACCATAATCTAGTATTATTATCCATCCGAGGCTTTTATTTGCCCTGTTCCTATAATAATTCCATGAAATAATCCCAGGTGTTGTTGTCATTGGCTATAAGGCCTATGGGGGTCTCTAAAGCATCAGCAAATAGGGCCCATGGCTCGTAAACCCGCCCAGGGGCTATTGAAAATGATTCGAAAATGGTTGAACCACCATAAGGTGTCTCGTTGAGCTTCTGTTAATGGAGCTCTCGGCTTAGGCACTTCGAGGTGATTACTTTGTTTGTATTATTTTATTGATGAGGCAGGAGGAGGGCTGGGGCTGGGCATGGGGCTACAAAACAAAGGCATTTTTCGTCAACTGATAATGCCAGCAGACAGCGAAGCGCTATTGCCTACACTGAGAAATAAACTCCCACTTATAATAGTTTGAAAAAATAATGCTAATCTCAGATAGTCTAAAATGCGCAGTATTTTTTTAATTCAAATCCTAGACAGATAAGCTATATATTAGATCCGAACTAGAAACAAAAAGATTCTCCAAGTGCAGAGCTATCGGAGAGGCAACTACAACAACTGGATACGACGACTACTCACTACTCATATGACTGGCCAGACCACGCGACTTCGCACATGAAGCACCAGGTTCGCCACCTCGCCACCTCATCACCTCATCACCTTAGCGAGCTGCCACTCGAGAGCTGCTGATGATTTCTGTTTGCACATAACTAACTATAGTCTTGATGATGATTACATGAAAGCCTAACCAGGAGGAGGATGGGGGGTGGGTGTATAGACCACTTGACATGTGGCCCAGACACTCTGGCACCTACCTGGTCTATTACTCTATTACGTTACGGCCCATGTAACACCATTCACACCTGCGGGAGACAGCCGGGGGTTGCGGTTCGGGCCTGTTCGTTGGCCCATTTGATTGATGTCCGGCCGGTTGGAATGTTTGGCCATTCAATTGGCGGCCAGTTATCATCAGAAACTATTAATGAAAACTCATTCGCTCCCAATTTACGACTCATTTGGCGTGGCAGTAAGCCCGGTGCAAAGGCTCTAAGTGAATTCATCCATAATGCCTTTTATATTTATTGTTATTTATTTAAATGGAAATAAAGATTGATATGTGAGATATCTGTGGGCGCTTTTGTTTGATCGCCAATCAGACGGATATCGGATTATTGTACTTCACACGTGCCTATAGCCCTCACAGGGCATACAGGCCCTGTTCATAATGGGATTGTTGGAGCAAAGTTTTCCACAAAAGGTGCTAATTGTTTGGATTTACGTATCTGGGGGATCTGGTCAGTGGCCAGTTTAAATGTCTGATGTCTGATGTGGACGGGGTGTATGAAATCACAGTTTGCATATAGCCAGAAATCCCCAAACTTATCGGGGAATTAATACCACTCCGCTAATAACAACAGGCTATATGTATTTTTGGCCTGGCTGGCTGGCCATATGTGGATAGATGGTGGTAGAGATCTACTGCGAATCCGAATGACTTGCGAATTGGGTTAAGGAATGTGTACGCCTTCGGAGGCACATGATGCCAGACGTCTGGTTTTCGGATCATGCATACATACTCTTATATGTACATACATATGTTGGATACAAAAAAAATTGACAAAAAAAAAGTGTCATGTGACCAACTGGCAACTGGCTAGCAAGTGTCTAAACATGGTCATGGAACGGGAACGGGTACGGGAACTGGATGTGATTCACCTGCCTGGGACACAGGTTGATTCATTTTAACGCCTCCTCGATTCGCAGTGGGTGTCGAAATTTCCAGCATTTCTCAGCTCCTCAGCTCCCCAGCTATCTAGGTGTTTGTAGACCATTTCTTTTCGGCCCAGCCCGGCCCGCCGGCGAATATGAACGATAAGTGGGGAGGTTCAGGCCGCATCAGATTCTGTCGTGGAAAGTTACCCGACCGGCGTGCTGCCCGTCCCGTCCCGGCCTGGCTGGTAATTTATTGCCGTCACCCACCAACTAAATTAAGCAAATAAACAAACATTTTAGCCGTTATTAGTGTAAACGTTTGTTTAGTTTACATAGAATTCGAAAAAAAATAGAAACTGACCTAGTACAAAGATAGCGTCATAATTGGCGCGGGTGGTGGGAGTTACTCGGCTGCCACCTGCCTCCCACTTTACAGGTTTTCTATCAGTGGGGAGGTGGCAATAGAGGAGGCAGGGGAGGGGCGTCACTGATCAAAGTGCAAAAACCCCAAAAGCTCACGGCGCTTAATTAGCAAAGTAAAAAGTTTCTATCACGTGATGGCGCTGGTGCTGGTGACAAGCACGGCCATAAATGTATATACCGGGCCCCAATATTGGTCAATATACACTCGAATCTGACAATTTCACCATTACGCTCTATATATATTTTTATTAAACGTTTGCTCGGCGTCTGACCGATAAGGCGCCGATTAATCGAGTGAGCGCAGCGCCCCAGATTACGGCCCCAAAAGCGTCTAAGCCATGGCCAACAAATTATATGGGCCAACGCAGCAAGTTCACCCGTAATGGATCATCAATCAGGAATTTTCCTTTTCAAATTATTCGTGTTTATATCTACATATGCGATATCAGCGTGACATTCAAAATAAAGGATTTCGCAATTTAAGACCCAGTTTCCTTTTCCGGTCTAGCTCAGTCATAATACCATATTTATACTCATAATTTCCATAAAATATTTAAATCAGTTCTCAAAATTCCCCTTTATTTCCATCCGATAAGATTACTTTTAATCGATAAAGATTAGGGATAATCAAGAATCACGTACGTCACTAATTAAATTAGCCTGACATCGATATATCGTATAATCCCTGTCACTTACGAAATGGACATGGCTGTCTCCAACAGTTAACCGTTAACCTAGCATCCCATCCCCATATTCAATTGCTCACAATCACAACCAAATAATAAACAAACAACAACAATAACAAAAAACAAAAAAAAAACTATCAGAACCCACGCACAAAGCTCGGAAAGTGTCAAAAATCAACATTGTAAATGAAGCGTATGCAGCGGCATAAATAAATAGTGAAATAAATAATAATGAAATGAATTAAATGGAAAGCTGCGGGGGCGGAGGGTGGATAGCAGAGAGTAACAAAAACAATGCGCCGCAACAACAACAATATATGTATGACATAATAATCACGAGAGCAGGCCGCGACCGCCGATTAGCAAGTCATGTGATTCGCTTTTATTTACATTTGCGCCTGACGTTGCGCCGCCGTGGCCCCCTCTCCCGCCGTCGCGCCCCCCTTTTGGGGCCCACGATCTACGCCCACCGAACCGCCAGCCCGACCCAAGTCTAAAGCAGTGCGAGCGAGAAGCCGATAGCGCACACGAAGTGATAACGAAGACGGCCGAATGGAGCTGAGCGAAGAGGCGAAGAGAGTATTGTGGGGTCCCAGTTATTTGCGCGCGCAGCTCAATTGATGGGTGCGAAAGGGAACTTAATCGTTCTCGCCTGCTCTAACACATGCACATGTGGGGCTATGGGTGGCTCGAGCTCATGACTACCCAATGCACTGCTGGGGGTGGACAAAGTTGGTGATGCCTTTTCTTTCTTTCATCCTGTGTTGTTTTGGTTCTGTGTTTGTTGTTATCGATAGACAGTGGAGCTGCAGTATTGTACATATCTATTAAACGAAGATACTGATGGCCTCATTAATGATAATAGATAATGCATATATTTATTATAATATATACTTTTTATTAAAAATATACAATATATTTTTTTTAAAAAGAAACTCCTAAAGAAAACTCCTGCCAGCTGTAATCCGCATCCTGTCCCTTCTCAAAAGACATTGCCAACTCACAATGGTATTAAGCCCCTAGCTGGGGTGGCCTATTGTTCAGTCCTAAGAAAAGAAAGGGCCTTGAGACTAGGACTCTTCCAGCTGCTATAGATAATGCACCAGATTTGCATCTGCTTCTTCCTGCTTTGGCCAATAGATTAGCAAGCGGCCTACGTGACGCTCGACGGCTGTCTGGGGCTTGCCAAATATGTTTGCTGGGTTATCGTCCTCGTTTACGCTTGCCAATTTGCGTACGAACAAAGGGAAGAGGAAGCGCAGGTAGAACGATGGGTCAGGAGTGAGTAGGGGGAGTGGCCGAGTGTGAAACGCATCATGAGAGTGACTTTCGTGCGGTGTGTGTGAGTGTGAGTGTGTCTATGTGTGTTTTTCCAGCTGCACCCCTTTCTTTTGTTGTTGCTTGCGCTTGTAGTAGTACCTACGACTAATACCGGGTATTAGAAACTCTATTGGCATTTAAGTAGGGGGGTATAGGGGGTACATGTATGCAGTTAAGCAGATAAACACTTACCTTAGATAATTTCGCGAAGTTTGTTTTGTAGCTTTTGCGGACGACGAACTATTGCCGCCGCCGACTGAGGGGGTGGCAGCAACGCCGACCGCAGCAGAGGCGTGATTTGTACGTGCCGGCAATGTGGGTGCTGTTGTTTGGCTATTAATTAACGTTGCCGCAGATGTTGTTGTTGTTGCTGTAGCTGCCGCTGCTGCTGGTGGTGTTGGTGCCGACGGGAAGAAGAGTTTATTCAATAAGGCCATAATAACATACAGTGTGCGCAATCATTTAATAAACACATCTGGCCAATGTCCGAACACAATTTATTGAAAATTAAAAATATTGAAATGGAAATCGCTTTAGGAAATCACACGCACACACACATAAACACACACGCGCTTTTCGCTTTCGGTGGAATGTGTTGGCGGAAGAGAGAGAGGAGAGAGAGAGCGGCGACGGCGACGAAGGCTTTGAGGGGGAGGCGTTACCGTTACTTGACCGAGAAGGCGGATGCTGCACAATCACAACTTTCGCTTTGCACTTTTCTTTCTTTTGCGTTTATGTATTTTTTTTCAGCTGCTTCTTCTTCCTTGCTTTTTGGCAAATGATCTCTTCTGATGCACACACACACACACTGATGCACACACTTTTGATAGAAAAATAAAGCTATTTTTGCTGAACGGCGGAAATCGCTGCTTCTATCCGACAAGCGACACAGGTTCTTTACCGTTTCACCGTTTCAACGAAATGAGAACCGAAACGCTGGCGTCCGCTTTAAAAAGTTTTTTTTTTCAGAGATTGTATGTACCTCCGATTTTGTGTGTGAGGGCGAGCGTCGTGGAGCCCGCCGCCAGAGTGTGTGTGTGAGAGCAACGCTGCTGAACGCTGCTTTTTGTTGCTAACTTTTGCTAACCTTTTCTTGAGCTTGGCTTGGCTTGGCCAATACACACTTTTTTCTTTTTTTCGTCGCCTCGTTTGTTGTCATACATCGCACTTCCCACTTCCTGCCCACCTCTTTTTTCGCCGTTTCTCACTTATTTGCTTGCTCTTTTCTCACTGTCTCCACTTATATTTCAACTGAACACTTTGTGGCTTAGGTTGTTTGCGTTTTCGAGGTGTTACATTCTGGTCTAAAGGTTGGTTTCGAGTCGAGTTTCCCGAACTCTGTTTGGCCTTTATTTACAATCACAAACAACAGACAAACACAAACGTATTTTGCAACGTGAAGTTGGCCGCAGCTCCGAGGTGCAGTGCTGCAAAACGCTAGGGACTTTCAGGGAGTCTTGCTAAAAGTGCAACAGCCACACTAACGGATATTCAAATTTTGAAATTAAATAAAATAAAAAAAATTTCTTAAATAATAAAAAACTATACTATTCTTAAGGTTATATCCATTTAAAATCTGTTTTGATAACAATAGAGTCCTCGGGTGAGAGATAGGATGTTGATTTTTAAAGATATAGCATTTACATGGAAAATATTATTAAGTATATGCATTTTTCAAAGTTTTAAAGGACATTCTCAAGAATATTTAAAAAAAAAGATAAATGTATGATGAAATTTATTTCGTTGGGTGTAGAATTGATCTACAAAGCTTTTAAGGTATTAAGCTAAAGAATCAGATATTTATTTGTAAAGATATATTCGTCCGAAGGTTATATGAGAAAGCTTTTAAATAATTAAAAAAAATAATTTTTTAAATTCTGAGGCAAAAATCAATAATTTTAATAAAATTAATAAGTCCAGGTTTAAATTTTAAATTGTTGAACTTTATTTTTGTTGGCTTACATATATATACTTCAAAATTTTAGGCCCACTTGCGAAGGAAGTGTGGGAAATTGGTTTCGACATGAATAGAATTCACCATTTTTATAAATTCATACGATCTGGTTGCTTTTGCTGACCCTCCTCTTCTGGATAATCCCCTCCTTATTTTTATCATCCTTTTCTGTATTTGTTTTTTTTTACTTAACTTTAACTGGAACCGAGCGAAAGTAGAAAACATTCAAATCTTAAACATTAGCGTTAAATATTCGTTCGCCTAGGAATTCCGATATTGAAAGGGTTTAAGAGATTTTGATCAAATAGAACATACATATTAACCATATATAAATGAAGCGACTTTGAGTCGCACCTTGGAGAAGCTTACGATAGTTTCAATTGTGTCTCATCTTTCGATCATTTCTTGTGTTTAGTTTACTTATGTTGTTAGTTTCGTTTAACTGGTTGCTTGCGTACGTGCGTGCGTGTTTATGAATAGAGTGTGTATGTGTGTTTCTGTGTTTGAAAATAAGTCATGTTTCTTTTAATGGATTGGCGATGGTGCATCCTGCCTGTCTAATCTTTGCAGGTGGACGTGTCCATGGGGCTGGCCGGCTGGATAAAGGCCGGTGCCGCCGAGCTGGGCGGATTGGTTGGAGTGAAGGCTGACAGCGACGAGTTGCTGCTGCTGTTAACCAGATTGCCGCTGGACGAGTTATTCAGACTGATGTTCATCAGATTGGACGACGACGATGAGGCGCTAGAGTTGCCCGTAAACTGGGATAGCAGGCCACCGCCCGCCAGAAACGTGGAGCTACCGCCACCAACGCCAGCCGTAGACATCGATCCTAGGCTTAGCCGCTCACCGCCCAAATTCGATAGAAAGCCGCCAGCGGCATTCCCAGATCCCGATGCCGATGATGAGGAGACAGAGGCGGAAGAGCCACTGGGGCCCAGCATGCCTAGGAGCGGGTTTGTAGGGGTTAGCACGTTTGGTGCGGAAGTGTTTAGGCCCAACATGGGCGTTGGCAGTGCTGGCTTAATAAAGCGCTCGCTAGCACGACGATTCTGCAATTAGGAAACAAAATTAGCACGCAACAAAAATTAGTCCAATCTGAGGCACTCACCACAATTTGTCCGCAGGCGTAGCAACGGTTCTGACCGGCCGTGCCTGGACTAAGTGGCCGGCTGCTGGAGGGGCTGTGGGAAACTGGACTACTAATGGTGCGCTGCCTCTGAGCGCTAACTGCCGATGCTGCGGCCGCCGCCACCGCCGCCGCAGCTGCTGCCGCTGTTCCGGACATCATGCTCTCGTTGTAGAAGCGTTCCTCATCCATTTCCAGCGAGGATTCAGACTCGGAGAGGTGTCGGCAGAGCGCTTCACGGCGTTCGACTTCCTGTTTCAGTTTCCTCTGAAGGCGTGCGTTCTCTTCGCGTATGGACTTCTCTTCCAGGGCAAACTGCTGCATCTTGATAGTGGTCTCCTTCTGGGCTGCGGCCAGATTAGCTCGTAGACGAAGTACCTCCGACCGTAGATTCTGGATGTGGGCACTCAGGCTCGTAGCCGTATCCCCACCATTCGCATGAGCATTGTTGGTAATGTCGCGCGGCGTGGTCGGATCAGAAACGGGTTGATCCAGCTTGATCTGCAACGAACGCTTCTCCGTTTCGAGCTTGTCCATCCGTTTCCACAGCTTGTTGACTAGTGCCTCTTGCTCCTGTTCGAGAGTGTTTTCCAATTCAACCATCTCGCGGCGCAGCTGCTCAAGATTGGTCTGCTTGTTGTCCGTTTCGGCTTGCAGCTTCTCAATCTTGCGCATCAGCTTATTAACGAGGCACTCCTGCTCCTGCTCCAAGGTCTGCTCGAGCTTACACTTCTCCTGACGCAGCTGGTCCAGCTTGCGGGAGAGATCGTTGGTCAGACACTCCTCCTCGCGTTCGTAGTGATGCGCCAACGTCTCCTTTTCCTTCTTCAATGCCTGGATCTTCTTCAGCAAAGTGTTCGAGATGTACTCCTCCTCCTGTTCGGCTTTTGCTTGCTGTGGTGATTGAAAGAAAAGGGGTTTTAAGTAAAGAATGTTTTGAGAAAAAGGTGTTTATATTGAAATGATACTAACAATGATAACCGAGGCCTGTTTGAGGCAACGATTCTCCTCTTGCACCACCTTACACTTGGTTTTAAAGGTGTCCAGCTCAGCTTTCAGCACTCTATTAAACGGAAAAGTTATCGGATTACCGAAAGGAATATATGTATATATCGCATTTGTTACTCACTTGTTCTGTTGGGTTAACGACTCGATTCGCTTTTGGAGCTGCTCCCTAGATACTGGGCTTGGAGGAAGCATGGTGCCTCCGTCCAATGAGCTCTCCGATTCGCAAGGACTCTCCATGCCTGGAAATGGGAAATTAATGGGAAACTGACCCATTGACGTCAGTCATTAAAATGCTTTCACTTTTTAAGCATATACAATTTTACAAGTCAAGAAATAATGTATGCAACACTCTTAGCTATATGTGGGGCTGTTCTTTGTTGCTTTCCCCGTTTTTTCTTGGCGAACAAAGAATAAAGAGCTCGGTGGCTGCTTTTTTGGCCCTGATCCTATAGAAAACGTTTAACCTTCAGCTGTGATTCGTGATTTTTGATTTGCATCTGGCTTGATGCATTTTCGGAAATCGATAGAAGGGCAAGGTCGGAGGCTCGCAGCACCACCACCTCCCACGGCCGCCCAACAACCACCCACTTCTCCTACCCCCCTACCACAGTTGCTCCCAGCCCCCTCCTTATGTTTCAAGCCGGTTCAAAAAGACCAGCTTTCAGTATTGTTAATTTTATGAATATTACCTGGCTTTGGGTTCAGTTCGACTTTGAAGACTTTTCCTCTTCCTGCTCCCTGCTACTACTGCTCCTCCTTGGCTCTCCTTTCCTCGCGGCTCCGCTCCTCTCTGCGCTTCGCTGCTGCTCCTCTCTGCTTCTTAGGCTTTTCACCTTCGCCCAGGTGAACACTTGGACTTCAATCGAACGATTAATTGTGGCCAGTAGAGCTGGAGCGTCTGCTTTTAAGGTGAACAGAGTGGCGTGCGACACATTTTGCCCGATCGAAAGTAAAATGAATCAAATATCAAATTGCGAAAAATTGCAGTGCAGAAATGTGACCGTATACTGAGTGAAATGCCAAAAAAGCGCTCAATGGAAATGCCGCAAGTTTTTGGTATTCTAAGACGACAGCAAGGTTTTAGATACTAAAAACGGGAACAACTTCTCTATAATAATTAAATGACATTACCCACTTAAAATGAAATAATTCGTTTTTATAGAATTTTCAAATAAAATTTACTTAACATTTTAGTTTATTTATTTAAACATTTTTTTAAAGTGCAGATGGAAACCATGTTAAGAAAAAAATACTAGAAGAACAAAAACTATCGATAACATTAAATCGATTAGACCGGCCGATAAAAAACATATTAAAACTAACACGTGCAGCGCTAAACAACGGCTAATATATTAATTCGTCTATTTAACGTATTTAAGGATGGCCGACGACTCCGGCCAGGACAAGCGGAAGCAGCACCGTGCCCGGCAGTCCGGAGTAAAGGCTGACAAGAAAAAGGTTAAGGCCAAAAAGGATGGAAATCAAAAGGAGCCCGAACTCACTGCCCGCCAGAGGAATCCCAAGGCATTTGCCATCAACTCGGCCCAGCGGGCAGAGCGGAATTTCCGACGAAAAGAGGATCTCACGGCTAAGAAACAGCACATTCCGGTTGTGGACCAGACTCCGGATGAACCGCCTCCAGTTTTGATTGCCGTTGTGGGGCCGCCAAAGGTGGGAAAAACCACGGTGATCAAGAACCTCATCAAGAGCTTCACCCGCACCAATGTGACGGATATCAAGGGACCTATAACCATTGTCACGTCTAAGAAACGGAGGATCACGCTCTTGGAATGTAATAACGATGTAAATTCTATGATCGATGTGGCCAAGTGTGCCGATCTCGTCTTGCTCCTTTGCGACGCAAGCTATGGCTTCGAAATGGAGATCTTCGAGTTCCTCAACATATGTCAGGTGCATGGAATGCCCAAAATCATGGGAGTCTTGACTCACCTGGACATGATCAAGAATCCCAAGCAGCTCCGCAAAAGGAAGAAGGAACTGAAGCATCGTTTCTGGACTGAGGTCTATGATGGCGCCAAGTTGTTCTATCTTTCGGGATTACTTCATGGAGAGTATCTCAGGAACGAGATAAAGAACCTGGGACGTTTTATTTCCGTTATGAAGTTTAGGCCTCTTCAGTGGCGTGGCGCGCATAGTTACCTGCTGGTGGATCGCCTGGAGGATGTCACGAATACGGATAAAATTCGCAGGGATCCGAAATGCGATCGGGATGTTGTGCTATACGGATATGTACGTGGTGTTCCCTTGAAGCAGGAGCACATGGTGCACATAGCCGGCCTGGGAGATGCCCGCATTGATGAACTCAGCACCATACCCGATCCTTGTCCCCTTCCTGGAACCGAGAAGAAGCGTAGTTTGCTGGAAAAGGAGCGGTTGCTTTATGCTCCGATGTCCGGAGTGGGTGGCATCGTTTACGATAAGGACGCTGTCTATATTGAGCTTCAAGGATCGCATTCCCACAAGGAGAAGGAGCAGACCGCCGAGGCAGCGGAGCAAGCGGAACTGGTTAGCAAGCTCATTGACAAAAAGGCCACTCTGGATGAGCAAATGGAGCAGCAGGAGTTCCGTTTGTTCTCCGATGCCAAGCCTATCAAGTCCCAGGACTTTCGCGACGATCAGGATGAGGATGACGGCTCCTCCTCTGATGATGAAGATGAAGAGGCCGATGATTCTGGTCTGGATGCAGCGGACAGTGATGAGGAGCAGGATGAGTTCGGTGCGGATGATTGGCGCGGCGAAAATAGCGACGAGGAGGAGCAGGAAGATGACTCGGATGCCGGCTCATCGGGCGACGAGGAGTACCAAAGCCTTGGAGATGTCCAACTCGCCAACGATTCAGACTCCGATGATGAAGAGGCCCGCGTCCTGGCCAGCAACATGAGCTGGAAGACCAATCTGGCGGAAAAAGCTCGTGATGCCTTCTTGCAGCGCCACTCGGAGTCTAAGAATCTGATGCGGCTCGTCTATGGAGTCTACAACCAGAGCGAGAGAAGCAAGCAGGAAGCCGAGGAAGATAACAATGAGGACTCCGAGGAAGAGCTAGGTGGTCTGTTCCGAGTGGCGGCCAAAAAGCAAAGCCAGCAGCAGAAGGACAAGGACATCAGGGATAAGGATGAGCGCTGCTTTTTTGAATATCACGGAGGTAAGTTGGGAAAAGTACTTCCTTCTCTAAGGACTCATGTTTACATTTTTTTAGACACCACACGCGACTGGCTTTCTGAGGATAACAAGGAGCTGATCAAGAACTGCTTTGTCACCGGCAAGTGGAAGGCTAGCGAGGATGCCGAAAACCTCCTGAAAATGGACGACATGAGTGATGCCGAGAGCGAGGTGTACGGCGACTTTGAGGATCTGGAAACGGGCACACAAGTCAGCGGAAAACCCAAGCCACAGGATGGAGAGCAATCGGAAGAAGAAGCCTCCAAGCCGGAGGATGCTGCAGCAGCCAAGCGGAAACTAACCCGAGTGGAGGAGGAGAACCTAACAAAGGCTGAACTGATGGCCAAGAAACTGAAGCTTAAAGCCAAGTTCGATGCCGAGTACGACAACAGCGGCGAGGGTAAAGGTGAAGAGGACACCGGGCGCATCACTGGCGATCACGGCTTCTATGACGATCTAAAGGCGGAGGCGCAGCGACAGAGCGAGCTGAACAAGAGTGAATTTGCTCATTTGGACAACGAGTTTCGCATCCAAATCGAGGGCTACCGGCCAGGACTCTATGTGCGCCTCGGGTTCAAACAGTTGCCCGCCGAATTCGTGGAGAATTTCGATCCCAGCTATCCGGTGTTGGTGGGCGCCCTGAACATGACCGAGGAAAATGTGGGCTATGTGAACTGCAAGGTGAAGAAGCATCGCTGGTACAAGAAGATTCTGAAAACCGGCGATCCTCTGATCATTTCGATGGGTTGGCGTCGATTCCAGACGGTGGCCATCTATGCTAAAGTGGAGGATAACTTCCGACAGCGGTATCTGAAGTACACACCTAATCACGTTACCTGCAGCATGACATTCTGGGGTCCAATCACTCCTCAAAATACTGGTTTTCTGGCCCTGCAGACCGTGCGCCAGGATCAGGAGGAGATGCGCCGATTGGGATTCCGGATTGCAGCTACAGGTTGTGTTACGGAACTGGACAAATCCTCACAGATCATGAAGAAGCTGAAGCTGGTTGGACATCCGTTCAAGATTTACAAGAAGACTGCGTTCATCAAGGACATGTTCAACTCCTCCCTGGAGGTGGCCAAATTCGAAGGAGCCAAAATCAAAACAGTATCCGGAATACGTGGTCAGATCAAGAAGAGTCACCACACCCCGGAGGGATCATATCGTGCCACTTTCGAGGACAAGATCCTGCTCAGTGACATTGTTTTCTGCCGCACTTGGTTCCGTGTGGAAGTGCCCCGATTCTATGCGCCAGTTACCTCCCTGTTGCTGCCTCTGGACCAGAAGAGCCAGTGGCAGGGCATGAAGACTTTGGGTCAGTTGAAGCGAGAACGCGACGTCCAGAATGCCGCCCAGCCGGACAGCATGTACACCACTATTGTGCGCAAGGAGAAGATCTTCAGGCCCCTCAACATCCCCAAGGCTCTGCAAAGAGCACTGCCCTACAAGGACAAGCCGAAATTCGGTCCCGAAAATCCCAAGGCAGCACCGGAACGAGTGGCGGTGATTAACTCACCGTACGAGCAGAAGGTGGCCAAGATGATGAAGATGATCGAGACGAATTACAAGGACAAGCGGCAGCGGGAGCGCCAGGATATGAAGAAGCGGATGAAGAACTTCCGCGAGAAGAAGCGGGAGCAGTTGGCGTCCAAGGAGCGACGGCAGAAGGAGCTGCGCAAGAAGGTGTCCAGGGCCATAAGCAAGATGCGGGGGAAGCAGAATGCCTAATATTTTAAACTATTGAGTTTTATAAATAAAAAATTAAGTATAATAAAATTGTTAAAAAAATAATCTTTAAATATTTTGTTAGTTGTTGAACTTTGGACTCCAGGTCCTAGCCTAGGTGAACAGGACCTAGAGGTCTCAAATCTATCCTCATCATTACCTGGCAGTGTATCCATGAGATACTATCCACATAAACCTCCGAATCCATTTTTTAAAAACTCCTCAGATATTATTTTCAATTAAAATTTACTCAACACCCTTGACTTCCGTCGCTGGAGCAACTGCAGCCTCCACTGGAGCACCAAATCTGCATAAGTTTGCTTAGAGGCTGCTGCAGTTGCTCCAACTGGACCGGAAGCATCGGGCTCTGCTTGAAAAATATATATATATATAACTCAACACCGCTTAGGTACTAACTTGAACTGGACAATAGTTGTGTGTGTTGGGGGAACTAGAACGAACAGGGTGTGCTCTAGTCCTGGCTCTTATTGTCATCGATCGTCTTGAGGGCCGCCAGAAGAGCATGCTTCCGGCTGCCGGTCATGTGGCCACTGGCCGCTGCTCCACCGGCGATGCTGTTGCGTTTCTTGGACGCCGGATCGTCACGCATGTTGCTGCCGCTGGCCTGACGGCAGAACGTCTTCAGGAAGCTCTCGCGCTCCTTGTAGTCATCGGAGATCTGCTTGCGCAGGCTGGACATGTTCTCCTTGAGGCGCGGAGCACGGATACTGCTCTCCTGCGACTACAAAGGAAGGGCTAGGCTTAAGAAGGATTCTCTGTAAGATCTGTAGGTGTAGTCTTACCTCATCGCTGCGCTGAGTCTGCTGGCCGTCAGTTCCATCGTCGTCCTCCTCCGGGGACTCCTCCAACAGATCTCCCTCGCTACTCTTGGCATCCATGTAGTTGGTATAGTTAACCAGACTGGCATCGTTGACATTATCATCGCTGTTTTCCTCCGGCTCCATGCCCTCGGCACATATCTTACTCATAATTCCGTAGGCATCCTCGTCATCATCATCATCACCAGCCGGCTCATAATCCTCCTCATACTCGTAGTCCACGGACTTCAGAGATTGCTGCTTACTCTTGGACGTGTTTGCGGATGACATCTTGGATAGAGTATCCGAATCACGACGCTTGCTGACTGGCATGCTCTCTGCCTTGGGAGGGGCCACCACCGCTGTAGCTCCCGATCCCAGCCTGCTGCGGCCAGTCTTTCCTGTGGCCAGTGGAGTTTTGCCCTGGGCCGAGAGCACTTGGCTCAATGTGGACCGGCTCTGGGTGTGGTTCATCTTGGCCTGGCTGGTAGCCGGTGGCAGGGTGAGTTTGTTGCTCCGGCTTCCGGTTACCTGGCGCTCCGGCTGAGCCGGTGGAGAATTTGGCGCACTCTTCTCCTCCCCGTCATTATTTTCGAAATCAAAGAACGAGTCGGATTCCAAAACATCAGTGAGACCATTGAACTCGCACTGATTGTTCTTCTCGATCGCTTTGTCCAGCATCTCCAGGGACTTCTCCAGCTTGTCGATCTTATCCGGCTCCTCAGCCACTCCGCTAAGCTTGGTCCGGCGTCCTGAGGTTAGTGGGTTTACCTTGTCGGTACCAAGCTAAGGGAATATTTGGAAATAAGCTAGAAGCTGTAGAAGATCTGTATACTTACTGTGTACTCCTCCAGCTTGCGGTAACCACTGACCTCCAGCTTGGCTTTCTCCAGCTTCAGCATCACCTCCTTGCACTTCTTCTGCTCGTTGAGGAGCTGCTGGCGGAAGTTCTTGGCTTCCAGTTGTACTTTGCGTGCCATCAGCTTCATGTCGTTATCCTTATCCTCGAGGCGCTGCTCCAATGAGCGCAGCTTTTCCTGTAGCTTTTGGCGCTCATCAAGATTTCTGCGAGAGATTTAAAAAATTATTTAGGGATCTATAATATCTTTTAATCACAACCACCCACTTGTCCTTGTTGAGCTGACTGTAGTGCTTGTTCTGGTCGCTCAGCGACAGAATAACGGCCTCCTTCTGCTTGAGCTTCTGCTCCAGGTCCTTGTTAATCGACTGGAGGTTGCGATACTTTGTCTGCCATACCCGGAGCTCCTCGGCATGGGAGTGCAGTAGCTGGGGCAGCTCTGCATTGTTGGACTCATATTTGTTCAGGGCCGACGACTGGCGCTTGTGGAGGGTGCGGAGCATTCGGTTCTCATGGGCTAGATTCGCGATCTCGGCCTGGGCATCGGCCAGTTGGTTCTGGAAAGTCTTGGCCCGCAGATTTCTGGCCGACATGACCCGCTGATGGATCTCGCTGTGGCTCTGATTCACCATGGACGGGCCACGAATGCTACCGTTACCAGATCCCTTCATTGCGCCTCGGTGGGCCGGCAGCTGCTTTCGTTGGTAGATCAAACTGGCTGATTCCCGGGAGCTGGCCGAGAACAGGCTCTCGCAGCTCTTTGCAGAAGCTCTGGAAAGGGGAGTAAACAAAAATTGAGAGAGCGGTTGGGGGTTGGTGGAGTCACTACCCACGCCATCAGATTGCTGGTCGCCGCGCGGGGTGCTGAGCTTAAGGAAGATGCCGGCTTGCGCGGCGATACCATCTAATGTTCTACAAATCCTTTGGTTGTTTCGGTAGAATTCCCACCAGCGGACTAGCTGCTTATATTTTAGATGATATCTTGGATGTTTAGTGTAAAGAGAGAGCCGGTGCCAGGGGATGTCAAAATCGAACTGGAACTGAAAACCCTGAAAAGTACCTGCTGCTGTGGTTACGCTGTTTGATGTTTATTTATTGTTTGTTCGCCGACTGCTGCGTTGCCCCGTTGGGGGTTAAATCCACTTCAGTCCTGGATGGTCCTGGATCAGGGGGGCCCAGGCAATAGACCGTTACCATGGAGACAGCACCTGCCTATCGCTTATCGAATGGGGGAAGCCCATTTAAAAGCTTTTGATCTGATCAATTAATTATATTGGTTAGAAAAAGTATAAATGAATAATTTATCAATACTATTTTGTATTAGGAAATAAAGTTTATTGTTAAATATATTATAAATTAAATAGTTCTTATAAAAGATCTTAAATTAAAAGTAGATATGATGGTTTTTAAAATCCTTTTGATCATAGTCTTTTAAAATCCTTCTCAAGTTTATCTTTAAATTATTTTTTACAAAAAACACACATTTTCTATCAGAGGATTATTTAAATAAGAATTATTATTTAAACTTAGACCGTTAATAAGTTTTCAAGAAAGTTATACTTTAGTATTTTTTAAAAGCTTGTTAACCCCTTGACGGTATTTTTCATCTTTTCCTCGAGCGGTCACACTGCCCTTACCCTCGTGTTCGCCGACTTATTTTGAAAGAAAAATCCCGATTTTCGTGAATTTGGAGCGAATTAGCCAGCCTAGCTTAGGAATCGGTCCTTTTGGGGAACGTGCAGCGCAATGAGCACCGAATCGGCGAAGCCGGCCTTGAGCCAGGAGGCCATTGTGGCCCAGTTCCAACAGCTGCGAAATGAGCAGCGCAACTTGGCCAACAGTCTAAACACCCTGGAAATGGATTTACGGGAGCACAAGTGAGTCACCAATGGTCGAAAAATGGTCATTGGGAGTGGTTCAACTAAAGCAAATGAAATAGTTCCCTAAAACATGTTGAAATATCATAGTAAAATATTTTGTATTCCCGCAGAACTGTGATAGAAACTCTGGAGTCGGCGGATCCGGAGCGTAAGTGCTTCCGTCTGATTGGCGGTGTCCTCTGCGAACGGACTGTTAAGGAGGTTCTACCGCAGCTGGTGGAGAACAAGGACTTTATCGCCAAGACCATTACCATGGTCACCGAGGACCTGAGCAAAAAAGGAAGCGAATTGAACAAGTTCAAGGAGGATAATCACATCAAGATTCGGGGCGAACACCTCGGAACTGAGGGATCAAAGGGTTCGGATGCTGCGGAGAAGGCGGAGAACCGCAACGTCCTGGTCTCCAACTAGGAATAGGCACTTCTCCTCCGCCCCCACACGCCGATAAGTGCACCGTATTTATTGTGTCTTTGTGAAGAGGAGAGGGAACTATGCCAGGATTCGCGAACAATAATCCGCGATAACGGAACAGTTCTGATGTTGTATGTAATACTAGCTGTAAGGCTCAGCTCACGACACACCCAACAAAAAAATGGCACCAACACATCCAATCCCATCTCCACTTCCCTCATTTAACATAACCCACTCTGGCTACGAAATTAAAGAGAACCGCTAACTTGAACTTCTGTAAACGGAAACGCTAGACTTGTTATTTGGTTCACTTTCTTCAAGGTTGTTTTGTTTGGAAAACTATACGATATTTATTTATTTTTTAAGAAAATAGAAATACTCTTAAATCCCTGCTTACAATAGCCATTCAAGTGTTTCTTAGAAGCAACATTACACTAAGAAGTTGAATTAGTTTTCCAACTTCATTCGAAGTCTTCTGGCTTGGCCTCCTCACGATTAAAGTCCCTTTTTCCGCCGGATTTGCTTAGTAGTCGGATGTTGGTAATGCAGATGTCGTGGGACACGGCCTTGCACATATCGTAGACCGTCAGTGCAGCAATGGAGACAGCTGTCAGAGCCTCCATCTCCACGCCAGTTTGACCCGAGCAGCGTACGGTTGCTTTTAGATGAACGGATTGAGTGCTCTTCTGTAGGACGGCCAATACCTTTACGGAGGATAAGCTGATGTTGTGGCACAAGGGTATGAGTTCTGAGGTGCGTTTGGCTCCCATGATGCCTGCCAGCTGGGCTACCGTAAGGACATCTCCTTTGGCCAGTTCATTAGCGGCTATTAACTGGGTTAAATGCTCGCCCACTCGGACAGTGGCCTCCGCTTGAGCTAATCTGGTGGTGGACGCCTTTCCGCCCACATCCACCATTTGGGCCTTGCCGTGGGAATTGACGTGCGTCAGATGACTGGCATTGCGGACTTGCAGCCTGGCAGCAGGATGAGTCATTTGATGAAGTAATAGATGAGGATGATACGGAACTGCACCTGCAATGGGAGAGAGGATGGAGAGTGTGGTGTGTCTACTAGCCGCCAATGAGGATCATGGGCCGGTTCTCCATCTGCGACAGGTTGAGCATGCCTGCGAAGGAGGACCATGTTCTGAGAACTTTCTGGGTAGACAACTTTGGGATCTTTCCACTCACCTGCGTGCTGCTTCTTTTTGCGTTGAACTGCCGCCGCAATGAAATCCACCAGCTGGTCCTCTGTGACGTCCTTCCTTCGCATGGCGTCCCTCAAGGAAAACTCCTTATTCCCGAACAGGCAAACCTTGATGTTTCCATCGGCTGTGAGCCGTAATCTGTTGCAGGTTCCACAAAAGTGTTCCGTCATGGAGGTTATGAAGCCCACTTGACCCTTGAAGCCAGGTACGGCATAGGCTTTGGAGGTATCATTGGGTCCATTGGGCAGAGCTGCAAATTCTGGCCATCTTTTACGGATTGCGTTGACCGTGTCCTTGTAGGAAATCAGTCTCTCCGTGTGCCACTTGTTTCCGGAGAAGGGCATGTACTCTATGAACCGCACATCCACCGGACGATCCTTGGTGAACTCTACAAAATCGCAGATCTCGTCCTCATTGAAATCCCGCATTAGGACGCAGTTTACTTTGGGCGTGTAGCCCAACTGAACCGCCAAATCGATGCCAGCTATAACTCGCTCCCATCCTTTTCGGCGGGTGATCTTCTCGAAGCGATCCTTCTTCAGGGTGTCCAGGCTGATGTTCAAGGAGTCCAATCCTGCTCTTTGAAGCGGTAACAGCAGCCGGGTTAGAACCAGGCCATTGGTGGTGATGCCAACATGTTCCAGGTGGGGCAGAGCCTTCATTTGTGCCACTATCTCCACTATGTCACGCCGGACAGTGGGTTCGCCTCCGGTCAGACGAATCTTGCGTACTCCTTGTTCCACGAAAATCCGAGCCAGGCGAAGGACTTCCTCGGTGGTCAGGAGATTTGCCTTGGGTTGCAGGGGAACTCCCTCAGCGGGCATGCAGTAATCACCTGAAATGGAATCTTCCGATTAAAGTCTGTATAATAAAGTTCACCCTAAATATGTTATCAATTATTTCAAAATTTATGATTGTTATTTTTTTTATTAAAGTTCAAAGAACTTAACTAAGATGACTTATTATGGAGTTGTTCTCTTAAGGTCTTTTATCACTTTTGAAATTTTTGAATGGAACATTCTAGAATATATTAAGAAAATATTGGCATAAACAACTTAATCCAGCAAATGTTGATTTAAAATTGATAATAAACGAGGTGTTTACTAAATAATTGATTACAATTCAACCCCTATATTAAATTAGAACATTTATACTAATTTTAGTAAATTAAAGGTCAAATATAGTAACTGAAAACCTATTTTCCTAACCACCATTGTACATGTGTCGGACACGAATTTCGCAACAAAAGTCAATCAAGGTAGGAATCCACTTCAGGGCGGGCTTTATCAAACATGTTTGTGGTAATAACAGGGGTACCACTGATAAGGATGAAAAAATGGCCAAAACTATTAAAGAAAAGAAACTTACATCTCAGATTACAGCGTTCGGTGAGGGAAATCCTCAGGTAGGTGTGGTGCCTGCCAAAGGTGTCCGTCAACGGGGAATTCTACAAAAAATCCAGGCTATAGAAATCGAATCTAATTTGGGGAAAGGGGTGCTCCAAATATCCGCTTACTTTTTGCTGATCCACCTGTTGGATCGGTTTCTCCAGTGGCTCCAGTGCCGCAGCCTGTGCCAGCTTCAGGTAACCGGTTGTGGCCTTCTGCCGGACACCTGCTCCGCCCCCCAAGAGCTCCCTGTTCTCCTGCCGCAGCAGTGTCTGAATCGCGTGTCTCGCCAGTAGCCGCATTTTAGGTTTATTATTGCTTGATTGATGTGCTCTCGGCTAAAATGTGTTCCAAGCGAATACAATTGAATGGACTTACGTAAACCGGCGGTTCGAGGGGGGTTTGGATGGGTAACGGCAGGGAATCAAGTATCACTCGAGCGATGAAAACATACCGATTTCGGACAGCTCCCTCTGATAAGCAATTACATATGCTCGACGCACGCCGTTCTAAAATACCGCACTCCGATTCCGACCGCACCCGGCGAGTGTTGTTTATAAAATAAAAAGTCAACTTGGTGATCATCTGGCTAAGCTTCTAACGCAGCTTTTCGCCAAAGCTTTTTTGTGAAAAATAACGCAAACTTTTCTAATAATTCCCAAAAATGGAGGGGAACGGTGTGGAGCCCACAGAGCTTTAGCCTCTCCATATATTGGAAATCGCTTACCTAAGGCAAGATATATACAAATTTTATGCTGCATCGCAAGTTTTAAGTTTGCAATATTTATTAATTTATTTTCATCATTATAGATTTTATAAATTTTAATTTTAAAAGCAGCTTTCGATTTTTATAGACCCCTTCAAAAGGATATCTTCTTCAAGAAGAGGGCATCCCCTTCAAAAATGTCGAAAACGTATGGAAGCCCAATATGAGCCAATGCGAAGGCTATATCTTCACAAATAATCATCCGATCCCTAAGCGGGATATTTTAAACGATTTGTGGATAGATTCTCCATAAATCTGCATCAAAAACTAGATGCAAAATATTTTTGAAATTTTTTGTCATTTTTTCTGGGTCATCCCCTTCAAAAATGTGGAAAACACAAGGGAGCCCAATATGAGCCACTGCGAAGGCTATATCTTCACAAATAATCATCCGATCCCTAAGAGGGATACTTTAAACGATTTGTGGATAAATTCTCCGTAAATCTGCATCAAAATCTTGATGCAAAATATTTTGAAAATTTGTGTCATTTTTTCTGGGCCATCCCCTTCAAAAATGTGGAAAACGCATGGGATCCCAATATGAGCCACTGCGAAGGCTATATCTTCGCCAATAATCATCCGATCCCTAAGCGGGATACCCTAAATGATTTGTGGATAGATTCTCCGTAAATCTGCATCAAAATCTAGATGCAAAATATTTTTGAAATTTTTTTTCCTTTTTTCTGGGCCATCCCCTTCAAAAATGTGGAAAACACAAGGGAGCCCAATATGAGCCACTGCGAAGGCTATATCTTCACAAATAATCATCCGATCCCTAAGAGGGATACTTTAAACGATTTGTGGATAAATTCTCCGTAAATCTGCATCAAAATCTTGATGCAAAATATTTTTGAAAATTTGTGTCATTTTTTCTGGGCCATCCCCTTCAAAAATGTGGAAAACGCATGGGATCCCAATATGAGCCACTGCGAAGGCTATATCTTCGCCAATAATCATCCGATCCCTAAGAGGGATACTTTAAACGATTTGTGGATAAATTCTCCGTAAATCTGCATCAAAATCTAGATGCAAAATATTTTTGAAATTTTTTGTCATTTTTTCTGGGCCATCCCCTTCAAAAATGTGGAAAACGCATGGGATCCCAATATGAGCCACTGCGAAGGCTATATCTTCGCCAATAATCATCCGATCCCTAAGCGGGATACCCTAAATGATTTGTGGATAGATTCTCCGTAAATCTGCATCAAAATCTAGATGCAAAATATTTTTGAAATTTTTTTTCCTTTTTTCTGGGCCATCCCCTTCAAAAATGTGGAAAACGCAAGGGAGCCCAATATGAGCCACTGCGAAGGCTATATCTTCGCCAATAATCATCCGATCCCTAAGAGGGATACTTTAAACGATTTGTGGATCTATTCTCCGCAAATCTGCATCAAAATTTAGATGCAGAATATTTTTGAAATTTTTTTTCAATTTTTCTGGGCCATCCCCTTCAAAAATGTGGAAAACGCATGGGATCCCAATATGAGCCACTGCGAAGGCTATATCTTCACAAATAATCATCCGATCCCTAAGCGGGATATTTTAAACGATTTGTGGATAGATTCTCCATAAATCTGCATCAAAAACTAGATGCAAAATATTTTTGAAATTTTTTGTCATTTTTTCTGGGTTATCCCCTTCAAAAATGTGGAAAACGCATGGGATCCCAATATGAGCCACTGCAAAAGCTATATCTTCGCCAATATTCATCCGATTCCTAAGCGGGATATTTTAAACGATTTGTGGATCTATTCTCCGCAAATCTGCATCAAAATCTAGATGGAAAATATTTTTGAAATTTTTTGTCATTTTTTCTGGGCCATCCCCTTCAAAAATGTGGAAAACGCATGGGAGCCCAATATGAGACACTGCGAATGCTATATCTTCGCCAATAATCATCCGATTTCTAAGCGGGATACTTTAAACGATTTGTGGATAGATTCTCCATAAATCTGCATCAAAAACTAGATGCAAAATATTTTTGAAATTTTTTGTCATTTTTTCTGGGCCATCCCCTTCAAAAATGTGGAAAACGCAAGGGAGCCCAATATGAGCCACTGCGAAGGCTATATCTTCACAAATAATCATCCGATTTCTAAGAGGGATACTTTAAACGATTAGTGGATAGATTTATTGCGGATCCATAAATCCCTTTCAAAAAGTGTGGAATCAAAATGAAATTTTCCCAGTCGTAAAAAATTGTATCTTTTTTTAGATCCCCTCTGAGCCTCTACGTCACTGCTTAGAAAGACCCCTTTGTTTATCTTTTCTCTTTTTGTTTAGCTATGTATGTAGCCTGTCTTCGCTCTTTCTTCTTTAAGGGAGTACTCTAGTTTAAAAAGAAAAACAAGAAGTATTTAAATTTTGTAATAATATGTCTAAAATTTAAAATTTCTATTTATTTTTGGAGGTGAACTGCCTCTATACATCCATACTGGATACCTATTCCTTCTTAAGTCTAGACCAGATTACCCCCTTGAGAGGCTGTTTTTCCGCACATACTGGTGAATTCTCCGGCACATGTTTATTTGAAATTCGAATAACCCTACATCTGTAAATGTACCATAAGCAAACGATAGTCAGTCGAGCTCGGAAATCCATTCAGTACAGAAGTCATGCGTAGTGCTCAACGGTGGAATATAAAGCGGGCCTCCGTAATCCTCAGCGTCGCCCTGCTGCTCTATGTTTTTGTATTCTCCAGCGGCTATCACAAGTACCAGATCGAGGGTATTATCGAGCGGGCGCAACCGGAAAAGGTCTGGGAGTATGTGGCCGATTTTAACAAGATGCGCCTTCTAAATCCCACAATGTGAGTTCTTAAAAATATTCGGAAATTTAAAAAATTGTATCACATATTTTATCTATATTTTAGCATTGATTTTAAGATACTGGCGGATCATGGACACGCCCACGACTGGCGGTATACAGTGCAGTACACGGAAAAGCTCTCCCATTGGCCACATTGGCTGAACACGGCCATTGCTAAGTACGTGGTCACCAAGACGTTGCCAGGAGTTACTCCGGTGGGATATGGCATTCATTCCACCCATGAAACATGCTTCTTCAGTGGATTCTACTGCTGTAGGTTTTTTATTTCTATGAAAGAAATCTTCTCCGCAACTAAATCTTCTGAATTTCTAGTACGATCTATCAGCGAATTCTCCTTTAGGAATTCCAATGGGAACACCTTTGCCCAGGAGAAAATCCAGTACCAGTGTCCACCGCTTTTGGCCAGCATGTGCCGAAGAGAACTGGAATTCCAGCGCCAGGCAGTGATGTATAATCTTACCCACATATTTAGTAAGCAGAGTACATAGTTAGGGAGAATTAGATGTTATCTTCAATTCGAATAAATAAAAAGAATTCAACTTTGTTTCAGAAAAAATCTTTACGATAATCGAATAAAAAAAATTGATATATTTTGTCTTTAACCATTCGAATATTCGGTAAAATAATATAATACATTTTCAAAGTTTCAAAATCACTCGAAAAAAGCTATAAACTCAATTATTATCATTGGGATAAACAAAATAGAAATTTATTAAAATCGACATGTCATCTGTCGAATAAATTTATTTTAAGTTTAATTAAAATTCAAAGAAAATTAAGGTTTCAAATTGCTGTCATCAATATTGCATGGTGTAATCTTTAAAGCGTGCACAAATAAATGAAATTTAACTAAATTGGCTAGTTAATAGCTGTTTGGCTTTACGATTTTTAGTTAACATTCTACCACGTTTATGTTACAACCTACTGAAAAGAAGTCTTTTTTTTTCCAAGTTGCTGTTAACTTTTGCTTGGCTTTTGATTAAATGAGTTTCCTAATTTTACGATCCGACAATAATAAATCAATCAATATATAATATCCGGATCATAAAAATTAGGCTTCAGTTCATTAATAACTTATCATATATATGAGGACATCTTTAAAAGCGTCCTTTTAAAACATTCCATGTCATTTAAAAAGATCCAATCGCTTTCTTCTAGTGGGCCCCGATGGTCCCCCACTTCTTGACGATCGCGCTCGGCAAGCTGCTTCGCTTGTGGATGGAGCTACCGGAGTACTGGGAGCGCTAACTGATTCCACAGAACTGGTCTGTGAAGTCCCACCGAAGACAGTGCCAAACCAGCGAGTTAGCTTGGTGGCCTGCGAGATTTTTCCTCCTTGTTTTGGGGATTTGGGTGACTTGCGTACAGCTTGCGATGCGGAGGTAGTACTGCGATTTGGTTGGGTTCTTTCCTGGGCAATACCTGAACCGATCAGGTATTTTGTAATTTTATTTGCCTGGATTGGCTTGACACTCTGCTGCTCTGTCTGAACGGGCGAAACATCGCCGGAAGAGTTCAATCGCATGCGACTGCCAAACTCTCCATTGTTGGTGATCTCGAAGAAGTCCTCCTCGAGCAATGTTTGCCTTCTCTGGGTTACAGTGGGTCCATTGCTCTGCTTCTGTGTCTGTGGCAGTGTGGGCAAGACTTTGGGCGTCGATTGTTCCAGCTGCGTTTGCTGGCGTGGCTCAAACATTTTCTCAAGGATATCTAGGCAGGATCGGTCTCTTTTCTTCTTCGGAGGAGCTGCACTTGTTTTAGCGTGTTGCTGTTGAAATTGTTTCACTTCAGAGCCAAAGATCTTGAATCCTTCAAAGGGGGTTGATGCGGGAGGTGGTTGAGCCAAGGGAATCTGCGACATATCCGATGTAATGCTGAATATATCCGGAGACTTGTTGGATTTCCTCTTCGGAGGCGGCAGACCTACAGAAAAACTAGACGTCGGTGGCGATGGCTCCGGTTTTCTTTTGCGCTTTAATGCCTTTGTGCGGCGGCTCTCCGAAGGACAGTTTTGCGAACTTTCATCCAGAGAGCTGGATATGACCACAGTCTCTCCTGGTTGATTTCCTAGCGGAACATCAATTACTTCCGAATCACTCAATAGGTTAGCCGAAGGAAGTCTCAAAATCATCGGAGTCTGTTGAGGGGTTAAGGGTACTCGAAAGGTGGGAACTTCTAACATGTCCAGATTGTCAGGAAAGCGCTGAGCACATTGCATGAATTCGGAAGACAGTGAACTGCCGCTTAGGATTTGAGGAGTAGGTGTTACATGTTTGATTTCTGGTTTGGTGGTTGGGGCTTTGGGGCGCCCCCTTTTCCTTTTCGGAGTTTCAATAGCCGGTGGGGCGTCTGGTTTTTCTACATCTTCCGTAGCTGGCTCCTTAGTTGGCTTTTCCTTGATCTCCTTCTTCACTCTGGTCTTGCTTGTCTTGGGTGTTTGGGTTGCCTCGACCTTGATCCGCCTTGGAGTGTTTCTCTTAGTATCCTCCAGCCTGTGGTGTTTCACGTACTTGCTGTTGAGCTTGGATTCGGCTGATCTGGTCAAACGTTGCATGCCACGTGTGGCAGGACGATCAACTGGACTAGTATAGCTATGCTTGCTGCTTTTCGGCTTCGCCCTTGTAACCGATGGTTCTGTCTTCGGGGTTGCGAATGCGGTAGCCGTTTCTTTATTGGGAGGAGTCACTTTTACTTCCATCCTCTTGAGTCGGATGTTTAGCTTCATTGATTTTTTCGGTGTGGCTAATTTTTTTGGAGGTGTCAATGGCTTTGGACTGTCGTCCACCTTGTCTTCATTGTCATCCTTCTCGTCCTCCGATGACGACGAGTCCGCGATCTGCATTTTTCTCTTTTGTGGCATTTTCTTCTTCCGCTTAGGTGTTAATCTGGGAGATATATTCGCGGTTGGAGTGACCTTTGTGGAAATAACAATTTCACAATCGTCGCTGGAGACCACCAAGACTTGTTGGGCCTCGGGGGAAGGCTCCAAAACTATCGGTTCAACCTCAGAGTCGGATGTTTCGAATCTAAGTGGCGACATAGCCACAATTTCATCACTATGCTCGGATACCTTATCTGATTCTTCGTTTGGCTGAGGGATATTGTTTTCTAAAGATGCGAGCGTGGAGCAAACATCTGAGGAGCCGCTCAGTGTGCTCTGGCTATTCTTCGAAGCCAGCCAAAGGTTCAAATTGGTCTTGTATTGTTCCACTGTGACGAGAGGCAGGGTCGTATCGAACTGGTGACGAAAACGGCGAAGACGAAAATCCCTAAATATAAAAAAAACAAGTTATCTATTTTGTCCTCCATTAAAAGATAAGATATGATAGGGTTAATAGGCCACCTACTTTATGTAGTCGCTGAGGAATCCCCGCTGCTTGTAGTACTCCTCGAGATCAACGCACTTTTTAAACACTTCTTTCGGGTCGGGAAGATGGAACTTTCGGTTGAAGCTCTGGAAGTTCCGATACTGATGCTCCAGACGTCCGCCCAAGCGCAAAATATTGAACAGCAACTTGACATCCGACTGCAGGGAATGAACCAAGTGAATTAAACCCATTATGAGTCCGCATCGATTGCCTTACCGTAATGTCAACACTTGAGATAACCATGTTTACACGACCCTCATAATGCTTTAAAAGCATGGAGGTGCAGAAGCTGTTGTTTAATGAGTGACCGCGATTGTCCACAAAAATGTAGTCGAACTTCAGTCGGCTAAGATCTCCAATGCTACGCAGTTGGCTCCACTTGGCAAGATATACGCTGTGCGGTGTGTCTGTGGTGTCTGAAACAAGGACATCATTAATGTCTAGAAAGGATATACGGTTAAAGGGCAACTCTACCTTGCACATCCTGGATTGTGTGTACAGCCAGATCGGTTAGTGTGTCCAGATGAAATTGCCAGCCGGCCAGAAGGTGGTCATCGTTCTGAAGCACTAGCAAGACTTTCTTCTCTGGAGCTAGGGCACTAAGCAGCGCCGCCACGGTAGCCTGTTTTCCCAGGCCACTTTCATCATTCAGAATACAGAATTCTCGCTTACTGAGGTGTTCATGTAGAAATTTAACCGCTTCCAGCTGGAAGCTCTTCAGGTACTGTGTCACATGGCTGGTCACTAGAGCATCCGGCGATAGCCGAAGCTCCGGCATCTGTTCTGATATAAAGTGGTACATTGTTCTGGGCAGGAAAATCCCATGGAGGTTTAATGATGAGCGTGCAACGCTAAGTAGATGGACACCAGGATGTATAGTAGCTGCAGATACGAGAATATTACGAACATGGAGAAAGAACCGATTATCAGTTTTCGCGGCGTTGGCGTCCCATCAAATTCATTGTCTGGATTGAGGTCTACCACGTTATTGGTGTTGCTGGCGCTAGGATGGTAGCTGAAATGCATGTGGCTTGGGCAGTATGAAGGATACGCTTCAGCGGCGGGATACTTTAGGCTCTGCGTCGGAGAATAAGATGTTCTACCTTTAAATGAGAATGGCGATGGGCTTAGGGATAGGGTCCAGAAAATATTTAAGAGAAATTCTTATTTTTGCCTCCAATTTGTTATTTGTTGTTTTTGAGATGGAACTTCATGTCAGAGATGGACAATATTGGGAATGCAATGGCTATTAGAACTCAGAAAAAAACATAATTATGAAAATAAATTCATTTTCAATTTAAATTTAGGATGTTTTAATTTCTTTATGGCTCAAAAATGTATTTTATAGAGCAAACATTATTATTTTTAAAATCTTTCTATTAAAGAATATGTCCGTCAAATTAGCGTCGCTCAGTTAGCGTCGAAGCGGAACGGTGGAACTGGAACACTGGAATTGAATAAAAGACCAACCCGGCTAACAGCCCATACAAAAATTTCCCCAAAAGTTTTGTTTTTAAAATTGTAAAGCTCTAAGAGGATGCGCCCATATGCACGGTAGTGGAATCGATGTAGGACCTTTTCAAGTATATATGTAGCAAAAATCATACAAATCGCTCCCACTGATTTTGAGAAAATCGAATTACAGTTCCGCATATAATTTGATTGATAAGAGTAGCGCCAACTAGTGAACCGGAACCAGTCCACAAAAAAGTTCACTGAACTAGTTAAAAAATACTATATGGCCTCTTTTAGGTTTAATTAGTCCTTCACAGAGGATGCGCCAAAATGGACGGTATACCGTTTAAAAGCTTATTTTATACATAACATTATAAAACTATTTTTATTTAAATCGCTCCCACAAAAGTCTTATTTTCTCGGCGGCTCAAAATATGTGTAATGTTATTTTGAATCTGAAAGGAAAACCCTTTTTTGAACATAAAACCCTATAATTAGAAATAGAAACCCCATTTTTAAAAAATCCCATTAAAATATACAGACACAGATAAAAATAGATTTAGTTCTTAAAATATGCAATTATACATTTATTTATACATAAAAGTCGTTTTCAAAAGAATCGTTTACAAAAAATAGGGATTCCATTGATCTTCACTGTTCTACAGCATTTCGAAACCAACAATTTTCGAGACTCCTTCAATCCGATTTTTGAATGCCCTATAAGGGGTCTCTCAAATGCCACCTATGGAATGTTTGATAATGATTTTGAGGGTGTTTCTTTTAGGGGAAAAAATAATATAAAATTATTTATAAAATCGCAGCTTAAGCTTGCGTTTGCCAAATTCTTAGTTTTGTTTTTTGGAAAAGATTGCTTTTCGATTAATTTTCACAATACGAATAAAAATACTTAACAGCTTTAACATACTTTAACTGTGTTGTAAATATGCATCATTAAACTAACACACACGATCAAAAGACGACTAATTCAATTACCATATCATAAGATATCACAACAGTATGTCAGATATTCCTAAAGCACAAGGACGAGGTACTCTATTGGGATGGGGTCTAAGATAATGCTTCGAAATAAAATAAATAAAAATCCATTGGTGATACGCTTTATTTTCAACTAGAAAATATATCTAGAAGTGTTGTATATATTTTTCGATTCTTTGTACCAACAACTTAGGAGCTAGCCATAGTAAATAATTAAATCAAAATTATGCTCTTAAAATGCAACTGAAATTATAAATGAACCAAAGATCGACGGCAACGGATGTAAACTGCAAAACAAATTAATATTACGGAAACATTAAATATGCTTCTCCTCCAGTCGGATTCCATCCTTTCGTCTTTCTATATACATATACATCATGCAAAAATTAGAATTAAGAAATGCACAAATCATCATTGGAATGCATAAACAAAAGGGCAATTAGAATACATAAACGCGGAGGAAGACATCTCTAATGATTATGAACATGAAAGAACTAAATATGGCAAAAAAAAAATTTGTAATAATATTTAACATAAATTCTAGATGTGTATGTAATTAATAATTGGAAGAGCTTTGGAAACAAATCGGTGGAAGTAAGTCGAAGCTAACCAAATAGTGTTTGCGTCAACAAGTTTCAGTTTTTGTTTTTTGTTTAAATTTAACATGAAATTAAATGCATTTAATAAATATAAATATACTTATGTACGTGTGGATGTGTGTATATGCAAAATGGAAGTAAATTTGTTCTTAACAATGCTTTTTTTTTGTTTTCATTCTAAAATTAATAGCTGTATGACAGTTATATAAAGTAAATATACATGGTAAGATGTATTTTGTATGCCAGTAGGTTTCTTGTTTCCTTTTTTTTTTTATATATCATTTTTTGTATATAGCGTTCACATTTTGTTAGAATTATTTGCTTTTTTGTTCGCATCGCCTCTGGGCAACACCTCCTAGGGTTTAGTTTAGTTTTAGTTTTAAGAAATTTTCGCTACGCCTAAAATAACTGGTATAATGTAGTTAATATTAAACATATATATATATATATATAGAGTTAAATATATAATATATATATATACCGATAGGTTGCTATTTACAACGTTTCATTTTGCTACACTCGTACTTAAAGGCTAGGCTTAAAAAATTGTTGGGAGCGCTTTTAGTTTTTAGTTAATAGGCTTCTTAAAGAGTTATCAGTTTCCGGTTTGCTCCTCACGCGAGTAGGAAGGTACTGCTTCCTTTTGGATTCACTCAGCATGTGTATAAATAATGTTTAGCACGTACAAAAAATAAATAGGCTTATAAATATTTAGATTTCTCTTTCTTTGTTGTTTTTCGCTTCCTTGCTCTTGCTTCTTTCCTTAAAAATCTTGTGTATAAAAATCGGGTAATTAAAAAAACTTAATCTTAAGAAATAAGCACACGAGACGGTTCCTACAGCAGCATATCCATATCCTGGTTGTATTAGCGTATTCCTGCACCTTCACCTTCACCTGGTCGTGATGATGGCCCGCGGCAGGGCGAATACGCATAGCCTTGGACGCTAATAAATCGGCTGGGCCGGTTGCGACGACGAGGTGCTGCTTGGCGGTGCAGCCACCACACTGGAGGTGGTCGACGATGGACTCGACGACGAGACGTTTCCGCAGTTGTTGTTGTTGTTCAGGTTGTTGTTGTGGCGCTGCAGCTGGTGGCTTCGTAGTGGCTGGAACTGTGACGGTTGCTGTTGGTGCTGTAGCTGCAGCTGCTGTTGCTGCAGCCTCTGTTGCTGGTGCTGCAGGTTGTGGTGATAGTAGGCGTTCATGTTGCTGGTGGCTGCTTGGTAGGGATAGGCTCGGACATTCTGCATCTGTGGCAGGACTGGCTGCGGCTGGAACTGTTGCAGTTGTTGCTGCTGTTGCTGCTGCTGGTGGTGTTGCTGGTTCAACTGGCCCGCCGCTCGCATCATGTGCCAGTAGTTGTCGTCCCCGATGGGCACCTGCTTGCTGCCGTACTTCAGCTGCCGGGTGATGCCCTGTTTGTAGTCCCGATGGTCCCGATCGATGGCATACGCCTTCTCTCTCAGCTTCTCGATGGTGCGCTTGAACTCGGCAAAGGCCTGCGGCGAGTGCTTCTGCAGCTCGGTGGCCAGCGGCACTAGGGGATTGTGCTGCTGCTGGTGCTGCGGTTGCTGGAGGTGCTGGTGGTAGGTGAGCGGATCCAGCAGCGACTCCAGCACGCTCATGTTGGACATGATCAGCGTGTGGATGCGCTGCAGATCGAGCGGTGGATCCAAAGCCGTCACCAGATCCATCTGGAAGTAGTCCATCTCCTTGTCGGAGACCTTCTTGCAGCCCGGCGAGTTCTCGTCGGAGCTGCTGCAGCAGCTGTAGAAGCCACCGACGAACGCCGAGGGATGGAAGTACCGCATCCGGTCGGAGTTCATTAAACATATTTTATGCAGCAGGTCGAACCACTCGCGCTCCTCCACACAGTTCGTGGTCTGCACGATCAGGGACCGATCGTTGCACACAATCTGCAAGTAGAGTCGAGATGGAAAGGTAAGTATCATCATTGTGGTAATTAACATAAATTCTTTGCGCACTGCTCGGTAAAACAATCGCACCTAGTGAAATCATACGGCTGAGACAGTTCCCACACTCACTACCTAGTGTAGTGACGCCTCCACCATGGGGATTCATTCTCTTCTTTTCTAGGTTTTGAAATTTCCCTTTTTTTTTTTTGTTTCCCGCCATAAACAATGAACCGCCGCCAGGCATACGCAAAGCGGAGCTGGAGCCACCAGCACATCTGCATAATAATGCTAATTATTTTTAATTGCAGCAACTTGTCATTGGTGGCCCCTAAGTGAAAGTTTTACCACAGAGAGATGGTGTACTCCGCCGGCAAAGATAACTACATATTGTGCCTCCACTAGTCGGAGGAGGTGCGTGGATGGCCAGCTTCTGGACTCACCTTGAAACAGTTCTGCATCTTGAAGCTCTTGTCCTTCAGCTGCTCCACGCTGACAATCTCCTGGAGCGGTATATCACAGATGGGTTGCTTGCCCTTCGACTTGGCGTAGCCGAGCGAGTGGGTGGTTAGCCGGAAGTATCGCTGCTTGAACTGTCGTCTGAAACGCTTGGGGCTGGTGGGGTACTTGGTCATCAGGCTGCGGGAGTGAAAGCATACAAAGCAGGGTCTTAGCAGATGCCCTTATTCCAGGTGATCTCTGTTCTGGTTCTCGAAACTATCTCTCTCGAAAACAAGAACAGAGAACTATAGTTTCTTGTAAAATATTATAGTAGTAGTAGTTTCTCTTACCCCTCGCTAGACGTTAGTATATGTATTAAAGTATGGTTTGTTTTGATTTTTTTTTTTTGGTGATGGGATGGTATGGTGGTTGTGATGGTGGTTGTGGTGGTGGTGATGGATTATTATTTTATTTTTATTTTTTTTTTAATTTTTTGTAAAAGCAGCGCGCGGAAAAGAAGAGAAAGATAAAGAAAGTTTCGGTATTAGAATTAAAACGAAGCTTGGGTGGTGGGATATATGCCGAATCTATAGAATCTATTGGGTATATAGAGGGAGCATTGTACAGTCCACCTTAGTACCTATCATCGAGATATCTTGTGAGACACTTACCCCTCTTTAAGTAATACTGGTTTTAGGGGAGCGGCCGCCGCCGCTGGATGAACGCCACTGGTGGTTTGGCTGGGCGGCGTCGAGATCACCTCCAGGAAATGCTTCACAGCGTCCACATGCTGTTCCGTACAGAACTTCTTGTACAGCTCGCCGGTGTACTCCTCCTTGCAGGGCTGTTGCGATGATCGGGAGCTGACCAGGTTGCCCAGCGATTGGATCGTCTTGGAGATCAGGGTCAGTGTCCGATTCGTTTGCGCATCCTGAAAAGGAGAAACCCAAAAATATGAATAAGAAATTTTGAATCCCCTAGAGATCTATCTAGCTTACCAGTCGCTCGGTGGTTAGGTCGAAGAGCTTGGGACCCAGGATGGCCGGCGCAAAGAACCGCAGGAAGATGAATCCGGAGACCACAGAGTATCGCACCTCCCGATTGCTGGGGAAGCGCTCGCCCGCACACTCCCGCAGCTCGTGGAAGATCTGGCACAGCACCTTGGGGCAGCGATTGGCACTCTTGGTAATCGCCTCGAACACCCGCTCCACATAGTCCTTCAGGTTGTGCAGATTCGTGTCCACTGCCGAGCGATCCTTCACCTTGCTGGGATCGATCTCGCAGGGCTTCTTCTCGGACACGATCTGGGCGAGCACCGGCCGCAGCGTCTGGTGGAGGTAATGCAAGCCAGACAGCCGCATGGCCTCGTCCATCATCTTGGACACCAGGGTGTTGCCCCGAAAGATCGTCGTGGGATCTGTGAGGTGGGAGATCTCGTGATCCGCCAGCGCCTTGATGATGGGGGCTATGTGTTCCGTGTGCGTGAAGAGACGGACCAGCGGCTGGGCCACCTCCGTCTTGCCAGAGACCAGTTCCCCAAGGATCGACACCGCCGACACTGTGATGGGTCGCTGGACCACAGACTCCAGCAGCAGGTTCAGCAGATCGTCGTACGTGGCCAGCGGGAAGACGTGATCGGCGGTGTAGTTGAGGTTCAGGCGCAGCGATCCGATCGTGGAGTCGACACTCAGTCTCGTGCCGGGTGGTGTGGCGCAGGATCTGGGTGTGGCGTTCAGGGAGCGGCAGCTGTGCGTTATGGACCGGGGCTGGAGATAGTACCAGGCCGACGAGGGCACTGCCTGCTGCTCCTGCTTGTTGAGCATCGGCAGTCTCACCTCCCCCAGGAATACTTTGTCCGCCATGGCGCCGTGGGCGTCGTGCCACAGGCTTATCACAATTTCCACCAGATCTGCCCCTCCCAGGGGATAGATGGAGTACCCCTTGTTGCCGGACGACTCCAGCGAGCTTGTACTCTTCTTGCTTCCCGTTGTATTGGTGCTGCCCGCCTCGGCGTCGATATGGAGATCGAAGTACATGGTCTCGTCGAACTCCGGGTCCACGGTTTTCTTTCTCTGCTTCGTGCTCCGGGTGACCTGCTGCTTGTTGCTGTAGTGGGCTGTGCACACTACAAACGGATCGCAGGTGCCCTGCTTCTTGGCCAGGTCCACGCAGGCCGGCACTCGGATGGTCACGCCGACAATCCTCGGCTGTGACGCCTTCCAGTTCGCCAGCTGGTCTGTGGACGTGGACGTGGTGGTGGCGTTGGGGATCTGCTGGAAGTGTTGCGTCTGCGGCGCCGGGTGATGCACGTGTCCAAAGAGCCCGGCTGCTCTCGTCTTGAGGGTGGTGCCCGCCGAACGGTGGCCAGTGTTTGCACTGTTTCCGGTGGAGGACCGCTGGATGATGCTCAGCTCGCTGTTCTCCTTGTAGTCGTTGAGGTGCGCCCGCTGCTGGTGGTGGTGCAGCTGATTGTGCGGCAGTGTGTGCTGGCCCAGTTCTATGGCTTCCGTCTGTGCTTGTGACGATGCCTCCTCGAAGGTCACCTCCACGTTGACCATGCCCTGTACCTCCGAGTCGGAGTCCACCGGCCGCAGTGAGAACCAGTGATCCTTGTTGTTGTACATGTGGAGCTCCTCGCGCTTAATCGCTATCTTGCCAATGGGCTTGTCCTGCTTCATATCGCGATCCCACACGTAGACGCAGAGGAAGCGGAAGCGACGCGGAATTTTGAACTGGTGCTCCTCGCCGAAGAACGGGTTGAGGGTGCGCTCGATGGTGGGTGTGCGGCAGATCTCCTCCTGGTCGAGGGCGATGGTGCAGTAGACATCGCGTGTGCCCTGTGTGCTGCAGCTTGTGTTGGCCGCATTCCGGCTGCTCAGATTCTTTGCCTCGCCTGGAAATAGTTAATGGAAGAATATCAATAAAAAGTCACTACAAGAACGGCCCTCCGAACGGCCTTGACATCCCATAACTGCCAAACGTCACTACCCATTCATTACACCACTCACTCAGCGGGCTCTTTGAGTTCCCAAATAGGGTCCAACGGACGTGGACGTGACTTCCTGTGCGAGTGCGCTGCCTCGAACGGATTGGGGCCTCCACCACCTGGACGGCAACAATGGCAACAAAAGGGGCACACATTCGCAGTGGCTGGCGCTCGGCTAGACTGCAAATGGAGGCCTTGATAAGCCAGCCAAAGGGTGAAGGAGCTAGCCTCCACCTCCAGCCTACAGCGGCAGCCGAGCGGAAATATAATAAGTGCACCAACACTGCCAGCCATGTGCGTATATGTGCTTGCCGTAAATACAGTCGGAACCATCTATGACTCAACGCAAGTTTCAGATATATGGGTTAGCAACGAATACATTGCTTAAAGATACGTGGTTCTGCAAAGTTTCAGCAGAATCCTATAAGGTATTCGAGTTTTAAAGAATCCAGAATCCGTACTATCGAACCTATGAATAACGAACTCTCTCTTTGTGGAGTTTCTTTGTGGAAGTTGGACTGTAACTTGAGTTTGTTTTTCATTGAGATCCCCCCCTTGTTGACACAGCTGATAGCGGCCTAGGTGAGCCAACAACAACACATATACTATAGTACTATACTATATATATATAGATACTTCTTCCAACGCGACTATCTGGCCGGGACTATCAATGGGGTTATGGCATTGTGTGCGTGGTTGTGAGTATCTCCGGGTTGGCAAAACAACGCCACTTTTTCACAATCGCTCTCACTCTCTCACGGCTGTAAGAAATATGCCTGATAACAAAGGAATTTGTTAGTTCTGCTTGCCTTTTTTTTTATGAATGAATGAACGAATGAATGAATGAACGAATGAATGAATGAAATACTCAAACCAGCAAAAGCACATTTTATATGCAAAACCAAAAACCAAATCCAAAAGCAAAAAAAAAAAATAAAAACTGGCAATTTCATTCATGAAATCATCGTTGTAGCTTTGGGATTTCAAGAGAAATCAAGAGAAGAGTTTCCAAGAGAAGCTGCTGGGAAACCCCCCAACAAAAGTGCCAACATTTTTTGCGTTTCGGTGACGTCTTTCTTCCCATTTATTTTTGGTTTCTTTTTTTTTTATGGTTCTACCTTGTCATTGGGCGACACTTAAATTTATTTATTATTTATAGACATTTGTTTTTGGTTTCTGAACGGCAGTTTCCTCACTAGACTATCAAAGATTGCTACAAATTTAGGGGGTAACGCAGTTAAGATTTTCAAAAAATCCCAATATATTTATTTTTGTTTATCTATTTTTGGTTCTTATATTCTATTTTTATATTTTACTTTTTTTTTATTCTTTCTATTTTATATTCTATCTTGGGATCTAAAAATGTATTTATAGATTAATTATTATTTTCTATTAATCTTTATTTTCTATTTAGATATACATAGATATCTATATATAATTTTATTCAAATATTTATGTATTCTCAACATTTGAAAAGCCATATAATTTTTTAGCCATTTTTCCCAAAATAGTGTTTTTTTTGAAGTCGTTCATGTCGATTTCTCGAAAATGGATCCAATGATTTGTTTGAAATTTTGACATAATCTACTTGGATATATTCCCCAATTAATAAACTAATAGATAATTATTAAAGATAATTATTTAAAAAAATTAATTTTTTTTCGACAATTCAATCCAGCAAAATGTCATTTTTCGAATAAGTTTTTTACAGAAGTGGAATTAAAATATATTTGTGATAGACTTGCTATAATTATCCTTTTTCTACTAAAGAAAATAAAAAACGGGCTTAAGTTCTACAGTTTAAGTTCTTTTTCTAAAAAAAAAAAAAATATTAAAAAAAAATCTCATTTTTTTTGGGTCTTGCAGCTGGGTATAACCCCTAATGACACAATCGAGAGAAAGATTTGGCTTACTCACTATATAGAAACACCAAAAAAAAAAAAAAAAAAAAAAAAAAAAAAAAAAAAACAGCAGCGAACGAGCCCCCATACATAAATTCTATTCCCTAGATCCAAGTTGTATATATTTGACGTTCTGTGAACGACTTGCTTATGAATCGTCCGATATCCGACCTTCAAATGGATTGAGAAATGTCCCTCCAGTGTGCATATATCATCTTACATATGCCAAACACGATAAACGGAACCAGAGCTCAGTGAACCGAGAGCGAGATCCATCGGGAAGAGGGGGGGGGTCTGGTCGCCAAGAAGGTTTATGCATGCAAAGTCAAGCGGAAGTTGATGGAATATTTAAACATATCTTTTTATTTTCAACTCCATGACTTCTGCATGAGAACGGAAGTAGGCTGGCATTTTTTAAAATTACAAAACCAGATTACAGATTAATCATTTATCGAAAATGATGTTTATTCAGAGGCTAATGCATATATATATATTGCTTATATTGGTGATCCAGACATGCGGCATATTTCTTTCAACATTTTCTCACCAGAAATAGCATCATCCTGTCCACATGCCACATGCCGCCACCACCCCTATTGACATTTGCCTTGGGGGGGGGGGAGAAAAAACTTACAACACGATCTCATTTTCCATTTCCACACCCAGACCTACTCGTGATTTCCTTCCAAGAGCTCTGCAGAGATGGAAAATTAAATTTAAAGACTTTTTAAGTAGATTTTCTTTGCATTTTCTTTGCTTTTCCAGTGTCTGGTTTGGCTTTTCTGTTTTTCTGCTCAGCACAATATGCAAATTGATTCAGTGCAGCATGAAACGCGTGCGAATTAATGAGGCGATTACTCCTCCAAGAGTCTCCAAGAGAAGACAAGCTCTGTAATAAATTCTACAAAAAAAAAGGAACGGAAATAGAGATAAATTTGTGTATTTTTTTTGCAGCGGAAGGGAGATTTCCACAAACAGATCTTGCTGGTGGTTCTGGTTGTTTTTTTAAACGGCAGCTTCCTGCGGCAACTAGGCAGGTACATAGGTGGGAGAGAAAAGCCCTTTCCTTGGACTCGTTCCTATAGCTTTCTATATATCTAGTATTATACCTTGAAGTGTACTTCCTTTTCCGCTGCCACTTCCTTTTGGTTATTAAACCCTAAAGGGCCTCTATCTCTCTCTCTACGAGGGATACGCTCCTAACGTGTCGTGCAATTAGCCAGCTTTGCGGAGGAAAAACAGGTTAGGTGCTGTGTGCAGTGAAAGAAATGGGAGATTAATAATAGCCATTGCATTTTATTCATTTGGAGAACCCCAACCAAGATGATCGGAAACCTGTTTCTTATTGAGTCTCTCTCTCTCTCTCTTCAGTCTCGGTACGTGCTGATCGATTTCCGGTCTGATTACGCTTCTCATGATGATCATCTCCTCCAGATTTGTTTGGCTTCTTTGGGGGACCTGGCTATAGCTATATGGTATATATATAGTATAGTATCTATAGCTGACTAATCCCCACTATCGATTGCCTTGTCAGTTCATGCTTTCTTTGGCCAATTTTGGCCAAACTATTAACCTTCAATTCAGAGCCACTCGGAGCAATGCACGACTTACATTTTAAAATGGCCAAATTGGGCAGACCCCTATTAGTATTACTATATATATATATATAAATAAGGCCGATCATTAGAGACAACTACTTGAAAACTAAACATAGCTAGGCGCCCACACAGCTTCGTCTCTCAGTAACCTTGGGCCACAAGTGGTTTTCTATGAGCTCTCATAGGTAGTACTTGTAATAGAGCCCCTCCCCAGAGACCCAGGCGCATCTAACTATCCCATCTTGGCCCCTGACATTTCCGCTCATGGCCCACCTTTTGGGAAAAACAGAAAAAGGGAACTACTGGAACCACTGGAACCCCCAGCGACAAACGACACTTGAAACGAGCCACCGAAGCGCACAAATTATGGCTCAAAATTAATGACACCACACAGATCCACCAAGAGATCCAAGATCCGAGACCCCGAAAAGTGAAATAAAAACAGAATTCATTTTAATTACAAATTACATGGCAGTGATGGCAGTGAGACTCCCAAGAAGTAGCGCCACAACTGGGCCTTGAATGGATGACACAAACGGACTGGACTAGGGGGTTCCGCAGATGCCTCTGACCCCGACCACCGACCCCGACCCGGGAACAACATCAAAGTAAATGCGAAGAGGTCAAGCGTCAAGTCATAAAAAAAAAGAAAAAGAAGGCCTCCAACTTCAACTGGAAGTATGTATAACATGCCACTGCTGCCTCTTATTGTGGCTACTGAGGACTCATACTTCGACCTGAATAAGAGATATTTTATAAATGCACTAATTACATAAAATTGTCCATTCTGTGGAATACAAGAAGCCATCGCCATCCTTCATCGGCTAAGAAGCTAATTAACATTGCTGAAGTCTTTAATTGTGGAGCGGGTCGTGTCAGGCCGGTAGAAAAAAATATTTATTAGAAAAATGATTTCAAGATACGACCCGAGACAACTAATTGTCGACATAGTCATGCCTTATAGACACTCTTCTAAAGAGTGTTTAGAACTAGAAACCTTGTTGCTTCAATTGCTGCAACCAGTTTTGGCCTGGCCTGGCCTGGGGAGTGGTGGAGCTCAAAACTTGGCAACAAGCTCTGGCCAGCCAACAAGACACAACCGGCTTTTAATTAATTACCTTTTTTGGCCAAAACTATTTATTGTTGTTGTCATTGTGTCGCCACAGAACTCGAACAAAACAGATCAAAACTTGAGAATCCATGTTAACTAGTAGGGGCTCCTCTAGCCCAGCTCAAGTTCAACGAAATGTGGATTGCGTGTGGTCTTGGTTTGGAGTTCAAGTCATGCCCGGAGAGTACTTCCACCACAAGCCCACCACATTCGTCATTGATATTCCGGCATCAATCGATGGGGGAAATCGAGAAGATCGCGAATGACTCACTGCTGCACTCCCTCTACTCTCGGGGGTCTCGGGTCTCGTAGAAAACGATATTTAGGTTATGCGCTTAACATTTTAATTAAATGGAAAAGTATTACGCCAATTTCGGTCTGTCGGTCGGTTGGGCAAAGGTGGAGCTACCGAGGCAGGAGGCAGCAGGCAAGAAGGTAGAGGGTTTCGTGTAGAAATCGCAACAGCCAACAAAATGGAAAGCTCACAACAATAGAGTGTGTGTAATTGAAACTGAGCACGATGTGGAAGTATTATTATTAAGCATGCAAAGCATAATGAAGTGGAAATATGAAACTTCCAACAGCAATACATACAATAATATACAAACATATATAGATATACATACATATGTATGTAGGAATCCGAGAGCGATGAATGGCAAAGGGGTGACTCGGCTAATGTGCTATAATGGTGCCATAATCGAAGATGATTATAGGAAGCGGATAACTTTCATTCTTCAGTCATTAGAGAACGTGTTTTATTCGTTTTTTAATAAAGAATCTTAAAGGAAAAGTTGAGGCGGTAATGTGATGGATAATTAAATAAATAGAATCTATCGATAAATAGAGATGGTACTTGATAAGCAAAATCATGTTTCAACACGACATAAAGAATAAAAAACGAAGTAAGAATAAATTAAAAATAACAATTTAATAAACAAATTTATGGAAAAAGTGAAAAAAGTAATGCATAATTAAATGAATGGAACCTATCGATAAATAGCGATAGTACTTGATAAGCAAAATCATGTTTCAACACGTTAGATGCTCACTAACTCAACAGCTGGCATAAAAATATACAAAAACGGGATAGGAATAAATGAAGATTAAGAATTTGATAAGGAACTGTGAAGGAAAAGTCTTAAAACAAAGAAATAAGAAACTATCGATTAATAGAGATGGTACTCGATAACAAAAACATGTTTGAACACCTCAGTTACTCAGTAACTCAGAAGCTGGAATAAAAATATAAAAAAAGAAATTGGAATAAATAAAGAATAAGAATTTATTAAAGAATCTGAGCCATAAAATCATAGAAGTGGAAACTATCGATATATAAAGTTTGGTATCGATAAGCAAAAGATGTTGTAACACGCTGGTACTTCTGTTACTAAAAACTGGCATAAAATTTATAATAAATATAATAATAAATTTTATAGGAAAAGTTTACAAACTATCGACAAATGGAAATGTTACTACGTAACCAAAACATGTTTCAACACGTCTTCAATACAGTCAACTCTTCACTTATTAAAGAAGAAGAAATCAGGCCAAAAGGGTGCCAAACGTGAGGACCCATGATAAGATAATCGAAACCCAACACGTGTTTAATAAATTTTAAGCAATATTTTCGCAGAGGGCCCTGCCAGAAGCAGGCCTACCAGTCTGACGATCGAAAAAGGAAGTGGAAAGGGTGAAACCGAGCGGAGGGAAGACACATGCGCATGCGAAAACAATTGAAGCGTGAAAAAAGCAAGAGTTTCGCAGAAGAAGAACCCTAAACCGCATCATCGCACAACAAAGTACCAGCAGAAGAAGCAGAAGAAGGGAAAGACACAGTGGCGCGATGGGAAACGGAAATCAAAAGCGGCTACACAATGTTGGTGGTGGTGCAGCTTTGCATATAATTTATGGCCAGGCTGAGAGCAAAAGCTGATTATGAGTTTCGAGATTGAAATTGTTTAGGTGGAAAATGAGATTCAAAGAGGTATATGGCGTGTGTGTGTGTGTGCAGGTGTGACCTTTTTTTTACAAGATTTTTTTTTTTTGTTTTTGTGGTTTATTTCATACTACTGGGTTTCAGATTTTACAGAAAAAAAAAAACAACAAGAAGGCGACAAAAAAAGGCAAAACAGGAAATGTAAAAACATCGAAAAACAACCGCAAGTTGTACACTATATCCCCTCTCTTCTTCTTCTTGGGCCAGTGCTCCCTCTCTTTCACTCTCTCCGGTCAAAGATAAGTGTCATTCATTCATTTGACCTTTCGCCGATATAAGCCATTAATCGATGCTGTTGGCTGCTTTTCGCTGCTGCTTGCTGCTGGCTGATAATAATCATTCATAAAACAGACACCACACAACAGACATTTGCCGAGACAGCCGAGAGAAATGTACACCGAATTCGAAAATTCCATTCATGAAAAAACCCACACATTGTTGCTGGATCTCTCGCCTCCACACGTGTGTGTTGGTGTGTCAGTGTGTGTATGTGCGGGCATGCGCTGGAGCGTCGCACAGAGACACCAACACACAAACACACACACACACATGTAGATTTCAGATTCATTCACAAAAAGAGGGGAGCATGCAAACCGAGGGGGGGCGACAAGAAGGTGGAAGCGCGACGGATGCCGTAACATTTAGCCAGGCATCAGGCTCTAAAGTCGGATGGCAAGTTTCTATAGCACCAATAACAACAAAGCACCAGCAGTCCAAATGCACTGCAGCCAACTCGAAAAACATTACAAAAATAAGAAACACACGCACACAGTGACACAATCGCGCGCACACTTGCAAACTCGAACGCATTTGTTGAAAAAGAAAAACTGATTTTCTCTCTTTTGGCGTCGTTTTTGTGGCAAATCAGCATTGGCTAATATATTTGGCCACTTTTTAATACACTCTGCACAGATTTTCATATAATTTAGGCCCGATTTAATGTTGTTTTCTGTTGGAGAGACTCTGCTGGGCGACAGGGACGCTGTCAACATTCCAGCACACCAGGCACCTTGGAAACCGTTGTTTTCGCGATAATTTCACAACCCCCGCACGGCCGGTAGACAGTTCCAGGTCTAGAATCGGTTTTCCATCGATTTTGCATCAATTTACGTACCAATTTTCACTTTTAATTGCTCTTCAATGCGCACTTCGCGTGTATCGGCCATTTTGTTGTTGTTGCTGCGGCTCGAACTGCGGGACGGCGAGTGATGAGACTCGACTGCAGGGACGGCGAGTAATTCGATGGTGCCGCCCTGGTCGCTCATCAAGCGTTTTTTCTTCAGCAGCATCGTGCACTCGATTTCATAGCCCTGATTTCCGTGAAACTATATATTTTTTTTTTATTTTATTGCTTTTAGAAAGCTTTCAACACTTTTCACTAGGTTTGATATTCGAATTAACTATTTTCTGTTTCAACAGCGTTGCACGACTGTAGCACTGTTCCGATGATCGGCCTTTTCTTGGCGATAGCGTTAATCACTTTTGGGTGTGTTTTTTTTTTTGTTTTGTTTTGGGTAATTATTTGCACATGAAATTAAATTTTTTTTTGCCACGAACAGACAATTTTGATTGCAATCGAATTAGTCTCACAGTTATAGTATCGGATTTTCGTTGACTTTAACTCGATGTCTGCGTCCGCGACCAACCTCCGGAATTCACAAAAGTCTCTTTACAAATAAGTTAGAGGTGACAAAACATCGATGTCCATTTCGACGTTATCGATATTTTTAAAATATCGGTCACATCTAGCTATTAAATGCACATCTCCGAGACGCCCTGTGATTCGATAGCAAAGGAATTTCAAAAACCAGGCTTAGAGCACAGTTTATAACACTTTATATTTAAATAATTAGCCACATTACTGACTATCTTTAAATATGCCGCACATTCAACATTAATATTTCTCTTCACTGGTCACAACTCACAAATGGATTTAAATTTTGAATAAGTTTGAATTACGAGGAATGGTCACACAATTACTGTTGTTTGGGGTTTCCGTTAAAAATGTATAATCCAATTACAATTTTTAATTAATCATAGTTTCAATTTCCGTTTTATTTTTATTTTTGATAATTTTAGGATTATGCTGTATGTTGGATAGCTTTGCTTTTTACGCTTTCACGGCCGCTTACAACTGTCCGGTGTTGTGGTCGAAACTGAAATGAAGTTGGAATTTCCAAGCGGCAAGTGTACGCTACAAAATTTTGTGAATGAAACGCACACTCTTACAACCGGACACCTTCAGACCAACAAAAACAAACACATGTTGCACCAGGGCGGCGCCTGCAGCGGCAACGGAGCGGAAGCGACGCAAAGAGCGGGAGAAAGTTTCGGGTATATCCGTCACTTTCAATGAGCTCCTATGAAACTGTATAAAAATATTTTTAAAATTTTAAAGGTATTTAATTAGTAACTTTAAAATATAAAACAAATTTATACAGTTTTTAAAATTTATTTAAAGCAAAGCAGACAAACTAAAGTACCCTACGCACCACACTGTAGCGTACACTTCGTGTAGGCGTTCTGGCTCGCAGACGGAGGAAGCGACGGCCGAACTATATTAAAATTACAAAAGCAATGCAGTGAAATGTGAAATTCACACGGCATCCGGATCCCGGACAGCGACGTTGTTTGTTTACCGCATATGCTCGGCTGCCCTTTTCCTTCGTTTCTTCCTAAAACCACACACATCAAAACAACAACAACAACAACGACAACACATGACCAAGTATCTTATCACAACTGCCGCCAATAAGTGGAAGTAGTTTGGGTCAAAAATTAGAGACATACATACATTCATACTACATATATGTATAAGCAGTTGTGCCCTTTTCCTCCCACTCCTTTTCATTTTTTCCGTATGCCGTGGATCTGGGTTCCAAGTGGAGTGCCTAATGACAATTTGAAATATGTATGTTCATCATTTTGCTCAACGAAACGTAACCGACGTGGGAAGGAGAAGAGGTCTCGGTCTCGACTCTGCTCCTCCCCTTACCTGTCTCTCCTTTCTCTTCAACACCTGCCCCCAAGAGGGTAAGGTGTATTTTAGATAAAACTAGTATGTATTTTGGTTTCAAATGAATGAATTTACGGGTTTGTTTTCGGGCTTTTTTCGTTTCGTTTTTGGCTATTTTACGCCCAACTCTAGGCCATTCATGAAAATTTATGGTCGGGGAAGTGTTTTGATCATTTGTCTGGCTTCCGTTATTATTTAAATAGTGGGCTCGACTTTTGAATGGAAAACACAGCTCACTTTCCTGGGCGTTGATCCATTAAATATATCATCTTGATGGGGTATTAGTTTGCTTTTAAATATCAATATTTATCATAAAATATTGGGCATTCGATTTTCTTTTAAAGGTTTGTAGACTTTATGGTCATATATTTTATGGAACTAACTATTGAAAATCATAGCTCCTATTAAATTAGAAACATTATTTTACTAAATAATATCAAATATACGGTTGGGTTAAGTCAATGGCCGTTTGAATTTTCGTTTATTGTTCAGTGTATGTTTACACGCATATGATTTTGTTATAGTATACAATAGACACTTAACGATTTCCATTTATAGTCATTTAATTAAATGTAATTTAGCAGTTTGTTAGGTGTTCACTTGAGTTGCGATTGAATCTTTATTACAATAATTGATTTTGTTTTGGCGCGCTAAACGTAAAGCTTAAAATGTAATTATGTTTGTTTTGCATAAACAATGAAACTTAAATGAAATACTTAATAAAAAAGATCGCTTGAAACAATGTGTTGTGGTTGTTGTTGTTGTGGGTGTGTGTGTGTCGTGTGTGCTTGTGTGTTTGAGAGCGTTGGTCGCTTCCAGCAGCCACGACAGGATCTCAACCTAGTGATCCGGCTTACCCGGCCGCTTCCTTCACGATGCCAACTCCAGCTCAACGGCAGCCAAACTAGGAAACGATAAACAAACTGAAATCCAGACGGATTCCTATTAATAAGGTATATTTTAAATACATCTGTGGAAAACTCACCTTTTCTCAACTCATCGAACGCTATCAAGTCTGTATCCTTTTTATGGTTGGGTTCCTTTGGCGTTCGTTCGCTCCTTATCTACTTGTTATTAATGGACAACCTTTCGACGCTGGCAAGCAGCTCGTCGGCGGTCTGGGAGACTACCTCCTCCTGGTGGTCGCTGGTGCTTAGGTTCTGCAGGCGCTTTTCCAACGCTGACAGGTCCTCCAGCTCGCGCTGCTGTTTCACCATATAACGCAAAATCAACGTGGTAAGCATACACATGTCCTCCAGAATCTTGGCCGTCTCCGGTGTGGGATGATCGTATCTGTTGCGCAGCAGTCTCAGCTTTGCTTCGGCCAGCTCCAGTGGGGATTTGTTGCTGCGGTCGTACATATGGACACTGGCGCCGCCTTGCAGAAGCACTCCCACCACCACATTAAAATTGTTGGAGCTGGCCGAAATCACGGCCAGGTGAAGTGGCGTATTCCCCAGAGAATCAACCACATTGGGGTTGGCTCCATACTTGAGCAACTGCTGGACAATAGGTATGTAGCCGCGGCAAGCGGCAAGGTGCAGCGGACTGCGATTGTACTCATCGGCGGCATTGGGATTGGCTCCGGACTCCAGGATCCGATTGAGCAGCTCGATGTTGCAGGTGGAGGCGGCGGTGCGTAGTTTGCGGCCATTTGACTGGGTGAGGATGTTGCTGTAAGTGCAATAATGCTTCATCCGTTGCATCCGGGGGCGCATCTTAAAGCTCTTGCTGCCGGAGGGTAGCGTGCTCGGATGGATTAGACTGGGCAGATACTCGCTGTTGGAGTTGGATGAGTTCTGGTTAAGGGGCAGGGGCGGCAGATGCGGCAACGCAAAGTGCTCGCCCCGGTCTCTACTCAGCTGGAATGCGTTGGTGCTGGAGTTTGAGTTCAGGTTCAGGTTTAGGTTGAGTTGCATGTGCGGCCATTCGCCGTGCGTATTGGGCGAGGAGGTGGGCGTAGGGGGCATCACCTGCGGCGGCGGTGTGATCATTATTCCCTTCGAGGCACTTCCGCTCGCAGGCATCGGCATTGGGCTGGACCTAACAATGGCCATGGACGATGGTGCAGGCGACATTTCCACCTCCTCCTTGGAATCCACAGAATCCACGCCGCTGGAGGAATCACTGTTGGTGGCCGCGGCCATTTGCTCCACGGGAATCTTAACTGCGTCCGTTTCTTTTTGTTCTTCCCTGTTCCTGTTCCTCTTTGGTTTACTTTTTAGATGAAAAATCTGAGTCTAGGCACGCGCTGCTTATTTTCCTGTCTGTATTGTTTGTATTCTATTTTTTTCCTGTTTACATTTTGACCCCTATCGATAAGACAATGAGTGCGTGCGATAGGCAGAGAAATGCTTATCGATAGATTTTTACCAGCCCTGGTAAAAATTAATTTTCAAACTTTAAAAAATATTTAAAATAAAAAAAATTAAAAATTGGCTGATATTCATGGAATGTTTGTTTTTATTGCAGAAAAAATTTTAAAGAAATACAAAATTTGTTTTTAGTTTGCTTTCGAAAAAACATTAAAATTAAAAGGAAAAAAAATAATAATTATTGTTTTTAGAAGCTCCAATAACCTTCAATCAATGAAATCCATTGTGACTCATTAATGAACCAATAAAATTAAAAAACTGGTTTACACACTTAAAAACTTTATTCAAAATTCGTGCTCGGCCATAAATATGTATTTTCTAACAAAGCGGCACGGAATGTATTATCTATCATATGATTCAGCTCACAATTCAATTGGAGGGTACTTAACACACAAAAATACAGGATTTTAAGATTAACATTAGTAAGTAAGATTCCTCCTTAAAACGAGTAACACATTAAAAAGCTTATTTCGTGTCGGATATAAAAGCCTCAAAAAAATAAAAAAATCAACTTAATCGCATTTTTCAACTTTACGTGGTGGGACTAGTTCGGTAATTTAAGGGGTGTGTGTGAAGGGAGCTTTGATTTAGACCGCGAAAAGGGTGCTGAACAAAATGGGAAAATTGGTAAACTAAGCTAAAGTACATCGAGAAGATCCGAAAAATCTCTGAAGAGATGTTTTAACAGCAAATGCGATCTAAATCCTTCTTGCGCGCTATTTCAGAAAGTTTATCATTTCTATGATCTTATTGCGATTGTTGTGCATGTAGGCCTTGGTGTGCCACAGCATATTGATCAGTTTTTGGTCATTCTTCTCATCCATAGCGATGTCCTCGCTGAGTTGCGGATTGAATCTGAAGTAAGGTATCCCTATGGTGCTGCACCACGCTCTGGCGCGATCCACGACTCTTCCGTCAGAACAGGTAGCTTGATCCACCAATAGATTGCCTATAAATTGAATATTTTTGGATAAATACAGTTTCAGAAATAGAAAAACAATAATTTTACCAATGGTAGATATTCCATACGCCAGTTTGGCTGTATCCCAGATACTTTCCGGGCGGAAAACATCAATGTCCTTCAGTTCGGTGACAGGAATATGGCCCGTACCCAATGAAACCACTACAGATACCGGTATAGCCTCCGACTCGCGACCCACGCTCCGCAAGGCCATGTTGTATTCGTGGATTTCGGTCATGGCATCAAGAGTCGGATTATTGGCAATCAACCCACCATCCAAGAAGCGTCCAAAAGCGCGGAAATAGGAAGGAGCCGCTCCTGTTGCACGGGCTGCCCGCCAGACCAATTGTTCTTGGGGCGGCGGAGGAGGAATTCGTCGGTTACCTTGAAAGAAAATCAAGAAGAAAAATCTTTAAATTGTTCAGATTTCTAGCCTATTCAAATGCTTGAATTTACTATATTGTGGACTACTACTACTACCTAGGGCATATCATTAGGTAAAATAATCAAGTTCTTGAGCGAGGAAACGAAGATCGATGTCCCATTAATTTCCATCAAAATCTTAAAACAGAGTTTCTTTTTTAAGATTTTTTCCAGATTTTATGAAGGGCCCCTTTCAAAAATCCTCAAAAATTCTTGGAGCTACTTATATGGCTCACTGCAAAGGGTATATCTTCGGAATTTATGGATTTCATTGATTGAAGGTTATTGGAGCTTCTAAAATAATCAGATTCTTGAGCGGAATACCTTAAACGGTCCGTAGATCGATTCTCCATAAATCTACATCAAAAACTAAGAACATAATTTTTTTTCGATTTTTTTCAAATTTTCTGGAGGGTCCCCTGCAAAAATTCACAAAACGGGTTGGAGTCACAATATGGCTCACTGCGAAGTCTATATCTTTGGCAATATTCATCCGATTATCAAGAGGAGTACCTTAAACGATTCGTAGATCGATTCTCCATAAATCTACATCAAAATCTAAGAACATAATTTTTTTTCGATTTTTTGCCAAATTTTCTGGAGGGTCCCCTGCAAAAATCCACAAAACAGCTTGGAGCCACAATATGGCTCACTGCGAAGTCTATATCTTTGGCAATATTAATCCGATTCTTGAGAGGAATACCTTAAACGATTCGTAGATCGATTCTCCATAAATCTACATCAAAATCTAAGAACATAATTTTTTTCGATTTTTCTAAATTTTCTGGAGGGTCCCCTGCAAAAATCCACAAAACAGCTTGGAGCCACAATATGGCTCACTGCGAAGTCTATATCTTTGGCAATATTCATCCGATTCTTGAGAGGAATACCTTTAACGATTCGTAGATCGATTCTCCATAAATCTACATCAAAATCTAAGAACATAATTTTTTTTCGATTTTTTCTAAATTTTCTGGAGGGTCCCCTGCAAAAATCCACAAAACAGCTTGGAGCCACAATATGGCTCACTGCGAAGTCTATATCTTTGGCAATATTCATCCGATTCTTGAGAGGAATACCTTAAACGATTCGTAGATCGATTCTCCATAAATCTACATCAAAATCTAAGAACATAATTTTTTTTTCGATTTTTTCTAAATTTTCTGGAGGGTCCCCTGCAAAAATCCACAAAACAGCTTGGAGCCACGATATGGCTCACTGCGAAGTCTATATCTTTGGGAATATTCATCCGATTATCAAGAGGAGTACCTTAAACGATTCGTAGATCAATTCTCCATAAATCTACATCAAAATCTAAGAACATAATTTTTTTTCGATTTTTTGCCAAATTTTCTGGAGGGTCCCCTGCAAAAATCCACAAAACAGCTTGGAGCCACAATATGGCTCACTGCGAAGTCTATATCTTTGGCAATATTAATCCGATTCTTGAGAGGAATACCTTAAACGATTCGTAGATCGATTCTCCATAAATCTACATCAAAATCTAAGAACATAATTTTTTTTCGATTTTTTCTAAATTTTCTGGAGGGTCCCCTGCAAAAATCCACAAAACAGCTTGGAGCCACAATATGGCTCACTGCGAAGTCTATATCTTTGGCAATATTCATCCGATTCTTGAGAGGAATACCTTTAACGATTCGTAGATCGATTCTCCATAAATCTACATCAAAATCTAAGAACATAATTTTTTTTTCGATTTTTTCTAAATTTTCTGGAGGGTCCCCTGCAAAAATCCACAAAACAGCTTGGAGCCACGATATGGCTCACTGCGAAGTCTATATCTTTGGGAATATTCATCCGATTATCAAGAGGAGTACCTTAAACGATTCGTAGATCAATTCTCCATAAATCTACATCAAAATCTAAGAACACTATATTTTTAAAATTTTTTGCCAAATTTTCTGGAGGGCCCCCTTCATAAATCTACAAAAATGCTTGGAGGCACTATATGGCTCACAATGAAGGATACATTTTTGGGAAAAAAATTCCGATTCTTTAGCGGAATAGCTTAAACGTTTCTCCATACGAATACATATATAAGAACATGTGTTTTAACTTACTGATTGAAGTCACTATGCCCAGAATGTCACTGGCACTTGTGTAGTTGCGGAAGAGATGCAAATCGACAGGCTTGCGGTCAGCCATGACTCCAGTAACCATGATCTTTGGATGCTTGATGTCCGTCATCACGTTGAACTCGCCAAGGTTGTCCTTCAGGATGGATTCGAAGAACTCACTGTTGTAGGGCCGCGAACCAACGAAACATTGTTCCTTCATGCGCAAATAAAGGCCCATGCACTGGCGCATTGTCTTGCCGCAGCCCAAGCCCAAGGCCAGGATGCCACCAGTACTGGTACCCGCAATCCAGTCAAACATGTGAATAATGGGCGTCCGTGATAGCTTCTCGATTTCCAGCAGCATCTGAACTAATACTAAGCCTCGAATACCGCCACCATCCAGGCAAAGAAGGCGACCACGACCGTATGGCTTGTCGCCCACTTCAGCGGCGATGGGCGACGTGGGAGAAGGTAGCTGTTCGGGACTAGCTGAAGGAGGTGTGGCAGTAGCGCTGGCCAAACTGCCTGAAGAGGTATCCTTCTTCATTTCATCAGCATTAACCTTGGTGGTAAACATGCCCAATAAAGCGTCCATTATGCTCTGTCCTTTCAACTCCTTCTCAGTGTCCACCACAACCGGCATCCTGGAGAAATTATAGTATTATTTTGTTATATTATTAAAGATTCATTAACCTACTGTGGTGGCGGTTGCTTCTCTATTAGCCCATTAGCAGCTGCGCCCAGTAGTCCTCCCATAACTTGACGACTAGTGGTGGCCAGCATGTTTTCAATGTGCTCGCGTTGCTCCACGGACTCCGGAGCTTCCGGGGGGATGCCGTTGTAGTTGCCTTTAGCATTGCATCCTGGCGGACATTTGGACCCTGTATCTGTGCAGCGTTTGGCGCCCACCGAGTGCAGTATGTACAGAATCTCGTCTTCCTTGTTGCCACTCGTATCGTTACCCACCATATGGCGCGGGGTTCTGCCATCTTTATTCTTCAAGTTGATATCGCATCCGAAAACCACCAAACACTGGACAATAGGTACTAGTTTCTTTTCAATGGCAATATGCAAGGCGGCATTTCCCTCCTGATCCAAAACATCAATGTCAGCATCGTGGGCTAGCAGGGTTACAACGCACTCGAACCGATTCCTGGCCACCATCACGTGGAGCGCAGTCCGGCCCTCAAAGTTCGTTGCGTTGACGTCGCAACCTTCCATGATGAGGGCGTGAAGGGTTTCTCTGGAGGAACACCAGTGCAGAGGAGTGCCTCCATATTTCATATCTTGGGTGTACAACTTGCTCACATTGGTTTTGAGGAATGAAGCCACCGAGGTGGGAGCGGAGGTCTTGTGCAGCTTGGTGATGTTTTTCGCATTCAAGTTCACATCGGCGCCGGCCAATAGCAATGCCTTTACGCAATCGGGCTTGTCGCCGACACAAGCAATGTGCAGCGGTGTGTAACCGTCCGAGTTAATGTGGTTTAAGTTCACGGTGCTGTTGTCGGTGAGAAGCTAAAACCGAGAAGGGGGAAGTCCCATGTTGATAAAAATATAAAAGATAAGACCACTGACTCACGTTAATAATTTCCTTCGTGGTGCTGGCGGCGTAATGGAACACCGAATTGCTGTTAATATCCAAATGCTCCAGTTTGCTCAGCGGCAACAAAGCCTTCACCATTTCGATGTGGCCTTGCTTGATGGCCAGTTGGAAGGGTGACATTAGGGAGGTGTGATCGGCCTGGTCTATGCATTGCAAAACTTTCGGATTGCTGATGTAGTCCACCAAATTGAAGTAGGCAACCAAATGGGCAAGGGTCCACGATGGATTATCCGCTAGGGCGTCGCAGGTTTTCTGAAGACCATTTATGTTATAGTGCTATATGAACAAAAGCATCAAATATTAATAGGGTGTACTAATTAAAGTCATTAAAGGTTTAGTTACTTCTTTAACTATGCTGACAAATACGGGTAATCTTTGGCGGAAAGCATTAAAACGCTCCTCGGCCTCCGATTGCACTGCAGATCGGTACAAACTGAAGGACGTGGTATTTGAATCCGAGGTGGGCCTCTGCAGCACGATTTCATAGACAGCCCTCTTGTCGTTGCTGTTATATGGCGGAGCAAATAGGACCATGGCATCATCCCGCGCCAAAACTTGCAGAGTTCCCAGAGATTCGCTCTTGATTTCTAGAACCTTGTTGGCCGGCTGGTCGCCCCCCAGCAGGCGCTGAAGAACTGCAAGTACAATATGTATAACATTTAGAAAAGCGTTTATTGACTGGCATCTTTAAATCTAAACAAAGCTACACATGGAAGACTGTACGACAAGGAAATGATTGTAAGGGGAAATACCAAAGCCAGAGGCGAGGGCTCCAAAGGTTATCCACGACATGACTCAACCCTATGTGGATGGATGCTGCTTGAACTTTGCACCGTGGATATTATTATGTTACTTTTTGGCTAATGTGGATGCGATGAACCTGACAGAGAAATAATGACCAATGGATTAGTAACACGAGAGAAGATGGCACAGGGTGAAAGGGTGGGTGGTTGGTTGTTTGGTTGCCAAGAAATCAATAGTGGGACCCATCAGACATCGGATGATGATGAAGCGGGCCGCACATATGTGTCGCACTTAGCATCAGTCAGCCAATGGGGAGAGAACACCTAGCCCAATGGCAGATCGGATGATTATGCGCCTTCAGTCCATGTTCTTTTCCTCCATTTTCCCCCACATTTTCCACAATTTTCTGCTTTTTAATCAATATATGTAATTGCATGTGTGGGGTGATGATTGTGATAAAGTTTCAAAGTTGTCATTGCAAAAAATAAGGCGCAAATTTTCCGACACTGTGCGAAACAATTATTAAGCCACCAGATAGCTTCGAAATAATGAGGTAGGCTCTTTTATGGGCTGACCATTAAACATTTTACGGCTTTGCTTCTAAGGTTCCTTATCGCGATTCTTCAGTAAACTTTAAATTCTCGCTACCACAAAACAACTAACAAAAAATTAGCTAGCTTTTTGGCGATGACAGCTTTTCCCATAGACAGAACTCACGACTATCGATAGATTTCGACAAAGTCATAAAAAAGTATTATTAAATATGACATGATATAAATCTTTTCTATAAATGATAGAACGTTGAAAATTCTCAAAAGATTAAATAATGAAAATATATTCAAAATATTTCATGTGAACTAGAGTTATTAAGGACATTATCAGCTGTTTTTGCAGCCCTATCAGCTGATTCATCAAAAAGTCTTATAAAATGTATTATTAAATAAAATAGAATAGAATAAAATAGAAAATATGTATATGCCATTTTTTCCCCCAAAACTTAGTATCTTATGTTAAGTCCATGTTTTAATTTTTAAGTAGTAATGTATTGCACAGAAAAACTAATTGATTATCGATTGTTTAACAAACGGATGAACCATCGATAGTCTTCGCAATTGTGACAGCCCTAGACGAGCCTCGAAATTGTTAGAATATTTACCGGATTCCATTTGTTTGCATTAGAAAAGTGCAAGTCGAAATTGAACTCATTGGCCCCTATTACGCTTTGAGATAAATTCATAGTTTCAAAATTGTAAACAGTTCAGTGAGCTGCTGCGTTGTTTAGTTTTCCACAAGAAACAGCTGGCTGCTAACTGAGAACTGAGGTGCAAATTGCAATTTTAGTTGCAGTTGCATATATATTTGCAATTGCAGTTAACACGCCAACGAAATCAGCAAGAATAGCAACAGTAACAAGTAAGTCTATGGATTAGCAAATGGAGGATACAAGAGCAAATGGCCAAAAGGGCGTTGCTACGACCACATGCAACGACGGTGGTCAGCGGATGGTGGGCGACGGGGGGTGGTGGCGGCAGTGGCTGTGGGTGGCTTTGCCAGTGGCGGTGGCGACCCCCCCAAGGGCACGATTTGCCAACGGTGGCGTAAGTGTCGCTGCGACCTGTGCCATTCTAATCTGGCGGAGCTCGCGATTTCAGTGCCTGTTCGGTTACTGCCGCCGTGATTCATCCGTCCACCGGTTGTCCAGCAGCAGATCCCCTGACGTAACTAATTCAAATTCGCAATTAAATCAAGTTTCTATCTGTGCATTCACAGTCAACGGTCGAAGCCCCCGTCAGAATGCAGAACAATCCCAGCCCACAGTTGCCCTGCAAGGGTATTTTAAAGACTTCTCGCAGTTTCGACAAGTCCGGAGCCAGGTAGTGTTTATGGTAAACTGGGAAAACTAGCATTTGTTAATAAAGTTTATTTTAATAGTTTTCGGAAAAGTGCCAAGTTTGATGAGCTCAACGTTCTGCAGACCTTCCATCCGGCCGACAAGGACTATGGTCATATGAAAATCGATGAACCCAAAACTCCATATAACTACACGGAGGCCTATGAAGATAACAGGGACGAGCTAGACACAGAGCTGCTCGTGGAAAAGTAAGACTGGTACATATAGTTCTTAAAGTTTATTTTCATTGGAAATAATTGTTTAGACTACGCATTGCGGCCAATACACAACAGTCTTCAGAGAGCATTGAAGACGAAGGGTCTTCCGGCGACGATCAGCCCCTGAGTGAGGAGGAACGACGTAAGCGTTTTTTTTGTTTTCAAGAACCTCTCGAATTTCAGTGACTAATCATGAGTACTCTTGTTACAGAACGTCGGCGTGAATTCGAACGACGTCGTAAGGCACACTATCGCGAGTTCGAGGCTGTCAAGCTGGCACGCAAGCTGATACAGGAGGAGGACGATGACGACGAAGGTGAAGAGAGTACTGATGCCAGGAGCTTGGACAGCCGGCCCTCGGGTTCGGCGCAGGGCGCTTCCACCTCAAGCGGACGCTTCTCAAGCAGTTCCGCGAAAAAGTCAAATACCCAATCCCAACCGTCTGCCTCTCCGTCAACCAGTGCCACCAGCCATATGGACCTGGAGCCATCCAACAACTAGGAGTTATATCAAAACCATCACCCCTATCTAACAATCGATCACCAGTGTCACAACCTAGACGACTATGGGCAGCTCATTCAGGCATCCAATGACAACTATTCAAGCTACAATATCAGAGTGAGAGTGTGTGGGATGCTGGTAACAGAAGTGGTTAATTGAACTAAACAAATTAAATCACATCCGAAGAAGTCGCAAAATATTTGTCACCGAGAATCCATTGAATTGATTGTTGCTAATTGATTTTATCACATAAAATGTGCACTTGGCGGGAGAATTTTGATTGTACGAAAGAGCAAAATATAAATATCGTATGCGTCTCAGCCGTAGCGTACCGTTGCAAATGTAGTTGAACAAAAATAGTGTTTAAATTCATATCGTTGTGGATGCACATTAAAAATAATATTAGTCTACCGTTCGCAGCTCCGTTTGCATTTAATTTGAATGGATGCAAGTGCCACGATTACGAGGGTCAATCGAGAGTGGATGATGAGTAACTTGTTGTAACTAAAGTTAAAGTTGATTTGGCCTTACTTTTAGTTATTTATTAATGTAATATTATTATTATTATTACTATTAAGTTTAAGCCATCGAATGCGAAAGTTTCAATAAAGAGAAATCCAAAAGCCAAGCCCAGTTAAAACACTCGTGCATCTCGTTCTTCTCATCGCGAGTATTCAAAACGTTATCGTTTATTTAGATTCCTCTTTTCATTTTAGTTATACATTGTAGTGTAGTTGTTGACATTGCTGGTCATAGTAAGTTGTAAAGTCTGAGAGTTTTGACCCTTCCTCGATCCGCTCCCCGGCCACATCCCGACCCATGTCCCAAGACAGGCACAGAGTCCGCGGCTGCTCTGATCGCAGGCAACGGCATCCTCATATTGTTACCCGGTGGCATGCGGGGGACTATCGCACCGGCCTTGGTCATGAGAGGAGAATTCTGGATGTGGGTGGGATCTTCTTGGTCGTTGATTCCAAATGTTTCTGATTGGTATTTTTGCTCACAGATCTATTTATCGGTCTAATCACTTATCACCTATGTATGCAGTTATCGGGTAATTGACGGTTTTTTTTTCATATGCAGTTTAACAATAGAGTGGTTATATTTATATGCATAAATATATAGATTTAAGCAAAAAGCATGCAAACTCAAACAATAATAAACATCACGATTCCTGGTCGCCATCATTTTCCAACGACTCAGCCCTTAAGCTGATCAAAGTTTTCGTCTTGGGAGCGGAGGGAACTGATCATTTTACAATTTGCGGTTAGTGGGTGGTTCGCTCATCCCAAGATCGAAAAAGTAATGCCATAGATGGTGCAGTCCTTGAGAGCGGGACGGCTCCACAGGATCGGCGGTAAATAGAATATGGCTGAGAATAAATAGTTTAGTAGTGCGCTTACATTCTAAATCAAGGTTCAATCTCATTATCAGTTTCCGTCGTGGGTCGCATCGTAATCCGTTTCATTTGCTAGTTAACAACTTTTGTTTAACAATCATCTTAGAATCTAACGCTATGTTTTAGTATATAGTTCTTGATCTGCTATCTTAACCATACTATATGCACATGCTCCAAATATGTGTATACAGTATAGGTACATAGAGACATTTCGTTATCCATTTCTGGATTTTGGGCTCCTCACTCTCGGGATCATTTGGCGGCAATGGGTGCTTTCTGTACAATTATCAGAATGCATCCATTTACCCATTTACATAGTTTATAATGACTCACCAAGAGCGGGATGACCCAAGATTTTAGTAGTATTGCATTCACCTATCACGGGCTCTGCGCCCCTGGCAATCGTTTCGTAATATATATATGCTTCTAGATATGGCGTCGTTAGTGTTCATTTTAGATTAGTATAACAATTGTATATATATAGTTTCGTTAGTGTTTCGTTTTAGTAACATATACGTGATCGTTGTAAGTATTATTATGAAGTGGGTTCCATTGAATTTATGTTGCTCTTATTGATTTGTGATGTTTCCTTGTCCAGCTTAGGCGAACATGTGCTGGGTGCCGGGTGGCACCTTGTAGCTGGGATAGGCATTGTTCAGCTGGTGCTTGGCAAAGAAGCCAGTGTAGTCCTGCTGGGAATTAATTTTTAATAAAATTATACTCTTATAGATGGACTGAGGATCCTACCCTGTTGACTCGTCGTGGACGGCAGACGGGGCCCAACGCCAAAAGGCGACGCTCTTCGTTCTCACGAGCTGCGGCCTCCTTGTATTCTGGTGGTGGCCATTTCAAATCTCCGCGCAATTTGCTGCCTCCTTTAAAGGATTACAGGAAACATATATTATAGATTACATAGTATTTTAAGATTAATTATCCCTAACTTACCCTGATAGCTGACGGCGGCTGGCTGCGAAGTATAAACTGGCGCAGGCTTCTGCGTAACGGGCGCCTCCTTGCGCAGGGTGATGATCCCTGGGCTGGCGCCACGGTAGCTATCCTGGCCAGCGAAGGCACCAGGCTGCTGCTGCAGATCGAGCTGATCCTGCGAATAGGGCAGCTGCTGCTGCTGCTGGGGCTGCGAATAAGAATTGTATTGTGGTTGAGCAAAGGTCGAGCCACCGTTTTGCTGGGGATAGTAAGAAGGCTGCTGCTGGGATGGCTGTTGCTGGTACGGTGAGCTCTGGTACGATGGCTGCTGCTGGTTCCACTGTGGCTGCTGGTAGGGAGCCTGTGCCTGGGGTTGCGGCTGGTATTGCTGCTGAGGCACCTGCTGCTGCTGTTGCTGCCACTGTGGAGCAGGCTGCTGGGGGGCAGGCTGTTGCTGGTAGCCACCATAGGATGGAGCACCGTATTGCTGCTGCTAGTCGGTGAATCGGTGGTGGTGCAGGTGCCACATGCATGTGCGATCACAGGTGTAATGGGGTTTTTATTATATTGTAGATGGATGGTGTTTGTTTTTGTCGATTTTGTCGGGTGGGTGCGAAACAACACATTCACATTTGATGTAGACATAGATATAGATATATGTTGGAAATAGAGATAGATAGAAGACCATAGTTAGAGGAGGGAAGTTTAGTTTTAGTGACTGGTTTGGTGGCTGGTCGGCAAAGGGCTTTGTAGAAAAATGTAGCACATTTTACAGCTGAAATTCGCAGAGATAGAATAAAAAGCAGAAGCAGTTTCATAAGCCAGGAGTTACTTTCTTTTTTTTTCTGACAATAAACATCAATTAGTTACTCTTTTGTGACACTTTTTTTGGGTTAAACAAATATTTTCTAAAATTATAAAATCATTTGCATTTGAGTGACAGCCAAGGCTGCACAAATATCTAACGAGAAACATACTAGACATTGAAAAAAGCCTAGTGTCTCACATTTCATATTTCAAAAATGATTTCAAAATTACATATTTCGAAACAGCCAATATACAAATATTCTTTCGATTTACAGAGTTAGTTAGTGAGTTAGTGACTAAGAATAGATTCAAACACTAGTTTGTGTCAGTTTTGCTTTGAAATTTAGTAAAAATCGAAAATGTTACTTTAGGATATGTGGTTTTTTTTTTAGTTAATGTCCTAAAAAGAGAGTTCAAAGGTCGCAGGAGATAGAGCCGAGCACAACAGCAGTGGAATTTCTAGCATCTTGCCGAAAGCCAAGTTCTTATAACGGATTCAATCTGGCCAAGACGGTACCTGCTGCTGTTGATAGTTTGGCTGCTGATGGTACTGCTGCTGTGGCAGGGATCCCACTCCCGATCCTGATCCCGATCCAGGGACAGTAAATTCGTTGTGGGCTTTGGGTTGAGGGGCACCTATATGCTTCCAGCCACCGCCCACATTGTTACCGGCCTGCAGCGGTTCCTGCTGCGGATAGTTGGACTGATAGTTGGGATACGCATTAGCACTGGCATTGGCATAATCGGACACAGGTGCTGGCGCTGGAGCTGGAGCCGGAGCCTGGACAGGCTCCCTCGAGCGCTGCCTATTGAACTGGGCCTGTGAGTATTGGACAGGTTGCTGCTGATGGGGCTGCTGCTGTTGTGGCTGGTATGGATAACTATCGGGGTACTGAGAGGTGGGCTGTGGGTTACCGTAGACGTTTTGTGGCGTGTAGCTCGACTGCTGTGGTGCTGATGGTTGGGTGGTGCGGGGCTGGACGTTATTATAAATGGGTCCCTGCAAGTTGTCAGTGTGGTTAGGTTAGGAATGTGTGTGCTTGTGCCGGGATGTGAGGGGCTTAGAATTGGTTTATACATGGCTTATATGTACATGTAGTATGACAATTATATAAAGGATTTATGTACACAGGACACCATATTATCTATATACAGTTTGAGGATTATCAAGATAGAATCGAACAAAAATTACCTGTGGTGGGGCTGCAGCAGCATGGCTGGGCGGGGCAGCGACCGATTGCGGATAATAGCCTCCGGATCCCGGGGCCGGACTCTGGGTGGCCGGCTGGGGGGTGAACTCGCGGATGATCCGCTCCTCGGAGGCCGGTGGCCAGGCCACTCGCTTATAGCCTGATCGACGTAAACGAAATGCAATGAAAGAAAAAAGTCAGCCATAAATACGAGGAATTTATACTTTATAATTTGTATTGTACGGCTGTATTTAGGTAGGTGCAGCTGCTGCCGCAACGGCAGCTGCCGTGCAAACAACATTCAACATTCAACAAAATGCGGCCAAAATGTGGGCGTCATTATGGCCTTGGTTCAGATTGCATTTCGCGAATTCGAAATGCAATGCACATTCTCCCAGCCAGTGCTAGCGAAACAATTTGAAAATGATTTAAGCCAATTAAAATTATACCCGCCAGCCGTCAACAAAGGAGCGAGGGAGCGAGGGAGATGCGAAGAGTGCATGTATATATATAAATTCGGGACGATTCTGCAAATCATATGCGGCTGTCATTGTGTCTAAAATTAGAATCGGACGAGAGCGAAAAGCCAAGAATCTGACATTACTCATGGGGTGATGATGGTGTCGGGCACCCCAGCCACCTCGGATGTTGCAGCAACATGTTGCTACAGTCCCCGAGACTGCTGACTCAAGAGACTATTCAAATCGTATGGTTCATCGGAAAGAAATATACTTTCTGATCTATTGTATATAAAAATCAAAGCAAATTCATTGAATGCTTAAAATTTAGGGGGGAAAAAAATAAAAATAATGCCAAGAATTTCACAATGATGAGGAAATGCAACATGTTGCTTGCGTCTCTAGAAATGGATCAAAGATAGATTGTGTTTACCCTCCAGATTCTTGTAGTTCTCGTTGATGATTTTCCACTGTGCGACCATGATTATATATTGCTCTGGCTATCTCTTTCTCTCTGGCCGATCGGGCTCTTTTGCGTAAGAATAAAAATATTCTCGTATAGATATCAAAAATAACAAAATACTCGCATATATAGACTCGGATCTATATGTTGTTTTTTTAGCGGCTATTTTTTGCCTATTTCGCTTTCACACTGCCCCGTGTCGATCGTTTGAGAATAGCGTTATATAATCCTGATCGGAGATGCAATAATCAATTGTGCTTCTGCTTCGGATATTGATTCAATGGCTGATTGTAACACCACCAGGTTATTGGAATTGAATTGGATTATCCCTTATTAGATTTGGTAATTATTTGGCAAAATTTGCTGAACGGCACGCGTTTCGTTTATCTTTCGGATCGATATCGTTGAAAATTTCGAAATAAAATTGTTTCGGCTCGGTACAAAAAACACGGGAATCAATTTCTATATTTTTTTTTCAGCGTTTGATTCGTTTCGATTAATTGTGCGTTTGCCCAATTAAATTTCTATTTTCTATTGGCTATTGGCTATTTTTTCTATTTGCTAATTCGTTGATCGTTCGCGCTGGCCGCGTTCGCGATATGTTTGCCTTCGATGTATGCTACTAAGTGAGCTGGGGAGCCAGAGAAATGCAGAGGAAATTATTGTTAGCCCGATTCCGAGTCCGAGAAATGGCCAAGATACAGAGACAGAAAATAATTTGCAATCGTGTGGGTTTCAGCCCACACATTTTCGCAACACACATTCGATTCTGAGTGTTTAGCGGGATAGGCGCTGAGAGTCGCGCTAAAAAATAGAAATGAGAGAAAGGAGCTGACCAGCCTGAAATGTCTCATCTTGAGTGTATGCCCGTGGGTCTGCTAACGATCTTGGTCTTGGTTCTTACCAACAAACTATCCCCCTGCACATCCCGTTGAAAATTCCTAACTTCTGGCCCACTTTCCGCATTGTTTACACCTTCGATTTTTGTGATTTGTGCGCCGCACCTTGAAATGCGGATGATGTTGCCCACTCACACTCGATCTCAAGGTGGCTGCCACAAGATACATATATATATATTTATACACCATACAGATATATGAGTATATATAGCCACTGACATATTTGTGGATCTTGGCATATTTCGGGCATCGCCGCCCTGCCCAGATCTATATACAATGAAGATTGTTCGCCAATAATCCAACCAAGTAGGTTGACTCTTGCGGAATACAACTTTGTGTTTATTGTTATGGCGATTTGTTATGCCTGGGCGCGAAAATCAAGTGGGCGCATACCCATCCATCTTTCGGATACGGCCCAGCCCCGACCCATCTAACTAACTATCTATCATCTATCTTGTAGCATCAGCCAGACCCCTCCTAAACTCATCTCATCCAAATATATTGTTCGTATGTATATGCTAACATAGTTTGTGAGTCAAGATGGGAGGCTAATTTTAAACGGCTGTCATTTTCAGCGAACTAAAACAAATCTGTTTTTAAACGTATTCTCACAGGTGTACGACAAAAGTTGGCTCATTAAAATTATTAGCAAAATTGTAACACATATCCGATATATACGCTATGTACGAAATATACTATATACGATATATAGACAATTATTTGGTATAATAGGTATTGTATTCGGCGCTCGTTAGCCACGCAACAAATTCATTCTGATGGCCGCCAAACGTCACAGATAAATAGATGAAATTCGGAACAAATATAATCCCTCTACATATATTGTAATATTTGTGATTCGGTTAATGCCAAATGATAAACATCTATCGTCTATCTCTGATTCTTTCAGCTTGTTTACTCTTAAATAAATTACTTGAAAATAGATAAAGATTCGGCTCTACTTTGTATTAGGTTGTAATATTAAGTATACGCACTGTGCCTTGTTATGACTTTATAATGTGTAATCTCCCCCGATGTTTGTCATAAAGAGTCTGTATTATTCGAATATTCTCGTGACTGGGAAAGTCTATGACATAAGTTCGCGAGGAAAGTGAGCAATAAAAATTCAAAAATAGAAATTCTACAACAATAAAAAACCTCCCATCTAATTTTGTGGCAGATGATGCCATTGGATCATAGATATACAGACTTATTCCCAATTTCCTATCGTAGTTTTTCAAAATATTTCTGTTCAATACTAAGTTTAAAGAAATATGATTTGCATCCTTTTAAATTCATAAAAAATAGTTAAAGATTAAAAAACAAAGTGTGTCAGAATAAGACGAAAGGAACACCACAACTTATAGGAACATATAGACACAGAATTGGGCGGGGTTTCCACGCACCTTCGATGCCCAGATAGGGACGTGGCGATACATTATCAAAGGATCGATTGAAGCTAAAATCCTTGTTACCCTGCTGCTGCTGCACTTCGTCGAACGAAGCCAGCGACCTGAACTTCTCCGCCTCGGAATCCTGTGCTGGGAAGTCAAAGGGCGAAGGCTGTGGTAATGGACGCGTGGGCGTGGCCGGAGGTGTGGCAGCCAGCATTGAGGAAGATGCCGACATGCTCTGCTGCAATGGTTCCGTAGCTGTCTTCACCAGTAACCCTATATTGTGACCCTCAAGTTGTGGCACATGGCTGTACTTCTGGGGAAGATTGACGGGCGACGGTGGAGAAGCCTTGGCCAGTACAGGATTGAGACCGAATGGAGAACTGGCCCGTTGTGGGGCTTCAATGAGCGGTGCTGGATATTTGCGCGAGGGGAGGGGACTGGGCGAACGACTTCTCTCCCAAATGACTTCCGGTTCTTGGAGCTTCAGACGAGCTGGTGGCATCGGAGGTGGCGGTGGCGGTGGTGGTGGCGGTGGAGTGGACGTGGACGTGGGAGGCGGAGAGTCCGAAGCCGGCGTAGTCACAATCTCCACGAAGCTCCTCTGTCTCTGCAACTTCTCCACTGGAGCCGCTTGGGTCTCCTCCCAGGAGATCTGCCTGGAAATATAGGGACTACGTATCTCGTAGGTGGCCTTGTAGTTCTCCAGAGGCTCGTTGTGCAAATTGGCAATCCTCCACTGATCAGCCTTGGTTAGTTTACCCCAGTTGCTGGGGGATCCACGGAGTTCATCACAAACAGGACAGCAGGCGGCAGAAAAGGCCTCGTGGGCACAGGATGCTTCCAGATTATCCGTTTCTGGTTTGTCTGCACCCAGTTCTTGTGGTTCTTCTATCTTAGACCTTAAGTTAGGTTTGGCCTGTAGCTTGTTTTCACTTTCCTTGAGGTCTTTTGACTCCTTCTTCGCCACTTGCTCCTCCTTCCACTCCTCAAACTCCTTTTTGGCCAATTGCTCGTAGTTGGCAAATACATCCGATACGTGCCTGTATTCCGTATCATCGTCCTCGATGACTACGTGCTGTGCCTCAACGGCAGCTGGTGTGGACCGGACCTCTATGTGGTCCACTTCCTCCTTCTCCTTCCGGGGCTTGCCCTCCAGAGCCTGGGCAATTTTATGGAGGTCCTCCAGGGCTCTTTCCACAATGGGCACGTTCTCGGTAAGGGACTCCTCCGGCTCTTCAACAGGGGCAGCCTCTTTGGCGCCGCCAAGGGGTAGTCCAGCTGCTCGGGTGTATATCTGCCGGAGGATGGCTTGCAACGGGCTTTCCATGGTCAGAATGGGCGATTGCCGATTGGAAAAGATGTCCCAGGATTCGTTGTTGCCGGAGCTAATGGGTCTGGCTGGCGCCGGTGGCGGAGGGGGTGGTGGCGGCGGTGGTGCTGGAGTGGGTACTGGCGTGGTTTGGACGCTCCTCTCCAGTGCCTGCTTGGCATTTATCATGTAAGCATCGATTTGACGCAGATGCTCCGCTATGGACTGCTGAATGTGTGCGTACTTCGCCTCCAATTGGGCTATCTCCACATGAGCCTCGTGTTGCTTCTCAGTTTCTGTTTCGGATTCCGTACCCAGGCTGTAGACTCCGCCCTGTCTCCTGGATTGCTTCGCTTTGTTTGCTGATTCTTCGCTAGATTTGGGTCGCATAAGAGGCGGTGGTGGAGTGGCAGGTGTCGCAGGGGTACCGGGAGTACTGCCCTGTCGCTGGAGCAACTTTATCCCACTGGTGGCACTTACATAGGTTGGTTCCTCCTCCGCCATCTCCTGTCGGCGGTGATCCTGCAAATACGAGCACGCGTCGTCGTAGATCTGCTGGGCGCTCAGCTTCAAGTGATCGGACGAGGCTTCCACGCGAACGGGCACAATGCGAGTGGCTACCTGGTTTGGTTGGTCGAAGGTGCTAATGCTCCCGTTGCTGGCCAGGGCCAGAGCCATCTGCTGCTGCTGCTTAACCGCCGCCAGACTGTCAATTACACTTCTGTCTTGGGCTGTCTTCGTCTGATTGAGATTCCCAGCAGCTGGTGTTGGTGGCAGTGGCACCGTTTCCAAGTCCACTTCTTCTCTAGAAGCCGTCTCCTCCTCCCCCTCGCTGTCGCCCTCGTGACCGTAGGAGATCTTCACCTCGGTGGCCAGTTTTATGCACCGGCGTTGCACTTTCGGTTTCGAGGAGCGTGGTTTTGGCGGCGGCAATTCCGGAGCTCCCACTGATGCAGCTGGAATTCTCCTCCGGCTGCGTCCTCGATCCAGGGAGTAGGCCTGCCTCTTGGGCCGCGGCCGGTAGGGAGTGGGTGTGGGCAAGGTGGGAGTGGTGGGTCGCCTATGGGCCAGCTGCTCGTAGTACTCGCACCTGGGCGCCACCAGGCCCAAGTCCACATCCGCCGCCTTGGTCTCGGGAGCGGAGAAGCCCTTGGCAACTGGTGTTTGATGGAATACCTCCGAGATGTCGGCAACCTTCTGTGGAGTTTTGGATCTTTCCTTGGCCCTTGGACTACCGCCTTCCCTCTGCCTCTGCTCCCGAACCTCTTTGGCTGTCGGTTCAATGATCATGGTGGGACTCTGAAACTTCTCTCTCAACGCCTCAATACTGTGCGAGGGATAGGAGGATGCAGGATGAGCTTGATCCGGATTAGAGGCTCCTGGAGCCTGCTCGGCCGGTGGCCAGCTGTGGTCCCGATTCAGCAGATGCCTCTTGGTCGCCAGTCGGTTGATTTTAAGAACCGTATCCCTGTCGATGGTCACATCCTGCTGGTGGCTGAGGTAGTGCGTCTTGATCTGGTCCAGCAACTGCTGGTGCAGAGTATGATGCAGGGCATCCGCCTCGCCGCGCTGACGCCGGCGGCTCTGTCTTTCGGTGGAGGGATAAAATTCTTTGCGGGTTGACAAAGCCAATTCATTTTATTTGTTTTATTTGTATAAAGTAACAAAAGTTCTGGACGAGCACAAGGACATTGTTTTGTTGTTTCAGTTGATTGTTGAATGTTTCTTACACGGTTTATTTTATGTTATAGCCATTGTGTGAATGGTGTAGACACTTAAAGGACGTACACGCACACTCAGGCGGTCAAAGGATAACCAAAAACTTACCGCTCTTGGCCTGCTGCTCCTCCTCTTCGACGGCGCGCAGAACGGCCGAGTTGGCCAAGTTCAGGGGCTTGGAAATTTGATCGTCGACTTCAATCCTATAAATATAAAAAAAATTTGTATTATATTTATTCAATTATTTTATTCAAGTATAAAGATACATAATTTGTTTCAAAACTAATCTAAATGCGCGCCCTTGTTAGAGATGACAAAGTGTTGGTAGAAAAACAAACTATATTTAGGTTTGCCACCCAATGACGAAAGGTTTGTGAAAAGGCTAACAACGAAGTACGAAAACAAATTTTACCAACAAAGATTTATGAAACAATCTAATAAGAGATAAAATTAAATATGTATACATATTATTTAACTCTCTACAATTAAATATCGTAATATTGGCGATAATAAATATTAAAAGAAAGTTAATTTTTGAATTTGAAAGCAAATAAAAATAAAGAAACTAAAAATTTAAGAAAACTAACAATGATCACTTTCATTGGAAAAAATAACCTTACGCCACAATTATGTCCTACTTTAAAGGTTTAATTGTAACACCTACTTAAAGATGCGTTTATTTTTAAAACCCAACACCAACTACACCTGTCCAAAGTGAATTATTTTTGTCTTAAGCATAAATTAGCTACAGCTTTGCACCTTTGGCATCATTCTGATAGCAACCAAAAGGACAAGGACACTAATCGACCCTGACAAGATTCTGCAGGGCTTGCGACTATATAAATGGAAGGCTCAGGATGAAAATGTGCATCAAATCTCGACCAGAAGTTTGATGGGCAACATGGACCATTCAAGGACCAAAATGATCTATTTATGGCTTCCCTGGCTACTGGTGATGATCCCGCTCCTGGAGGGTGCTACCACCAAAAGGGAAGTACCAATGATATTGTGTGGCGATCAACTAACCAATGCATTGCGGACCATTTGCAGTAATGGCTTTAACAAAGTTATTAAAAAATCGGGAAACCCTTGTAAGTATTACTAGTTATTTACTAGTACTAGTAATAATTAATTTTTGTTGTCTCGCTTGTGTTATAGTGAGCCTATTTGATTATGTGGACCACCTGGCGGAGAACGAAAGTGATACCTTAGGTTTCAAGCCAAACTTTTTGATGCTAAACAGACGCGTTATCCGTAATGTTGCCTACGAATGTTGCACGCATGGACCTTGCGATAGGACTCAACTGGCAAGCTACTGTTCGTAGATATAACGACTATTAGTACCCATCAAGCTATTCTGATTATCCAAACATATTATTATTACCCTGTTACAATTTCATTTAAATTATTTAAAGCTAATATATTGCCCCATTGCAGCAAGACAAAGAAGAAAAAGGTTTTTATTAAATCTTTGGCAAGTGGGTTGGAAAAACTGTGGGGTTTTTAGCAAACACAGATATTTGTATTCTCAAAATTAAATATAGTTATTTAACAATTCAGTCCTTATTTGCTACACTTTTTTAAACTTTTTTAAAGGCATTCAGTCTTTGGTATTTACGTTGCTGCGACTTGCCTTAAGTTGCTAACGAGTTGGAATTATCCAAGTTTCAACTTTAATTATAATATGCTTGAAATGTTTTGCAATCATCTTAATCTCCTTGAAATGTTTTGCCTTCTTCAAAGATAACAAACGGAAATAGTTAAGCCAAGAAAATGTACGAGACAGATTCCCAGATAAGGCTTTAAGGAATTTCCACTGCCGAGATAAACACATCTGTATTTAAGATACACTTCTGTTAATTTTCCAATTTTGACCAATGGTATTTGACATTGAACTCTTTGATGGATTCACGGGCACTAAAATTTATCCATTGAAATGAACTTTAATTAGTTGATTAATTTCGACTAATCGAAAACATACGGAGAATCTCTTTTGCCAAATGCAAATATTTGGCTGCCAAATAAATCGAAAATCTGATTGAGTATTGCCTCAAATATTTGCCCAAAATAATCACTTTGTGGCAAGATAAATGATAAATGTTTGACAATTTTTTAATTAAATTTGGCTGTGTGTGTGTCGTTTTTTTTTCGTTTGGTCTGTGGGGCATTAATTGAGTGATTTCCTAATAGAGTGAGTCACACGGATGGGCAGAAAGTCAAGAGATGCATCACAACTTTTGGCTAAACGCCTGCCGCCTGTTTGTTGACATTGTTTTTGTTGTTGTTACATTTGTTGGTGTTGCCACTGATTGTGTTGCATTGAATCAGTGCACTAACGCTGGCCAGTGACTCATCTCATCGACCTGCTGCGTCTTAATACATACATATATCTATTTTTTGTCTAATACACTCTACTACACGCTCGACTGGTGTTATATAAAGAAGGGAGTAATCTTAAGGATGCGCCCGCTTCACGTACATTTTTGTGTTATGCTGGCTCAGATGTTTTTTGGTTGGATTTTTTTTTTTTTTTTTAGGAAAAGTTGCTCCCTAAAATTGAACCCGGGAGTGGGGAGTTGCAAAGACTTTACGCACACGAACGCAATACGCGAATGCGCTTGAAAGTTTTTAGTTTGGGTTTCGGTTTTTGGTAATTAAATTGCCCGACTCAGTTGCAGTTGCTGTTGCACACACGTTTTGTCGCACGCATAGTCGCCGAATAACTAAACTGAAAGCCACTTAAAGTTTTTGCTCACCAGAGCAGATCGGCCCAAAAGGTGGGGTGGCGCGAGGTGGGGCGAGGTGCGCTGAGGCCGGTTTATTTGAACAACAAACAACAATGGCAAAGATAATGCTGCTAATGTTTTTGTTTTAGATGTTGTTGCTGCTGTCGCCACTAGGCACTAGCAGCAGCAGCAGCAGCGGCAGCGCCAGCAGCAGCTACAAATAAATTCAAGTCTAAAGCATCTTTCAGATACACGTCTCGCCAGCGCTTTATAAAGCTTTTCGGTAATTACAATTAAACGTCAAAGCATTTAATCGTTCATGTTGTTTTTGTCCTCATCTTGGTGGCATATGTGTGTGTGTTTTTTTGGCGACAGCAAATTGGCAGCGTTGCAGTTGCTGTCGACGTCGCAGTCGCAGTCACAGTCGCAGTCGCGCTGCACTGCACAAAGTGAGGGGCTTGCCACGCCCCTGCCACTGCCTTTATAATCCCCTCCCCATGGCCTCCACATAATGTGCTTGATGCACCTGTTTCGCGCCACCAAATACAAAACAAGCAAGTAAAATTGGCAAGATGAAGGCTCACTCTAGGCATTTGAAAATAAACCGATGAGACAATAAATTTATAAACTAATTAGCTGAATATCTTCATGCCTCCTAGGATCTAAAATTATTATCAATTGAAACAACTTTTCCCCCTTCAATATTTCACCTTAAATCAATATGTGAATAAATATTCTTCCTTTAGGAATGTGCAATAGTTTCCTTGATTCCCATTTATTAATTGCTTGAAAGGATTCGTTTGTGCCACTCTCATGGCCACAAAAGATTGTTTTGAATTTGAATAACTTTGATATTTTTTCCAGCCTTGGCTTCCATTCTGATGTTGATTACTTTCAGATTAAAATCAAGAAATTTGTTGTTATTAAAAAGCATTTTCTGTTATTTATTCTTTGCAACAAAATGTATGTATTGTCTATGGCATTAAAGCAGTTTCAGAAGGTCAATATTTTATTATTAAAATTGCCAATTTTATTTGTTTGAAATGTTTCCTACTCCTTTGTCAACTACTTACAATTTCTAAGAAAATGATTACATATTTATAATATGTATGCACATGTATATTATTTTTCTTCCTAATCCCTTGAATGTCTGTTTTATATGGAATATTAAATTAAATTCTTATAAGTTTCAGTTAAGGCTAACATCCATATGTATGTACAAATCCTTCTGAGAATTTGAAACTTTGTTTAAGCTTATGAAAACTATCTGAATTGATTTGAAATCATTTAAAACAAGGCATCTTTTTTAGTATCATTTAAAAAATATAATTTATGGTGAGTCGGTTTTTGAATACATTGAAATATAATTTAGAATACAATAACTATACCTACTAAATAGGTACTATCCTTATGTATTCTTAGATCAAATCCATAGTATAAAAGACTAAACATATCTTATCTTATCTGTACATTAATTCTTGTTGCTAATCAAAACTTTGGTGACCTATGACATCTGATTGATCATCTTAATTTTTCTGTCTACTTTTGGACTATGTGCTGATTCTGATAAGAAACTTTCATCTTTAAAGTCAAAGTATTTCAAAGCATCAGTTGGCATTCGTCTATTGAATATTTAAGAAGCAAGATTTTTAAAACGCAAAACCAAAATATGTTTTTTACTGTGGCGTTCCTGTTTTTAATCTCAATTTCCCTTGCTTTCGGTGATGAGGTAATAGTGAAAAGTCTATATATGTATTTCAAAAATGTAATAAGTAAATTATTCATCTTCCTTAGTCATGCTATCTGACGGATGAAATGGAGGATCAATGCGCATCAGTTTGTTATCCAATTGTAAAGCCATTACTTAGATATTTTGAAATATGTCAAAATAAGGATAACAAGAACTCAGAGCTCCAAAAACAATATTCTGATTTGCAAGTCGAGTTTAACAAAAACCATCACAAATATGAGGAATGCCTAGAACAATATATCAAAATAAACGAAAATAATAAGGCATTACAAGAAAGATTTGAGAGCCAAACTAGTGTGATTAAACAGGAATTAAATGAAGTTAAAAATAGATATGTGAATGAACAGGTATTTAATCTGGAACTACAGAAACGGGTTAATGAATATATTCAAAAATTCGCGGAATTGCAAAATCAAAATAGACAGCTAGCTCTTGATTTATCTAAATCACAAGAAGATTATAGACAATGCAATTCGAAAATGGAATTAAAAAGGGAATCGGAATCAAGCACCCAACAAAATGAAGTTATGATTGGGAATGCACCAATCAATTTGAATGATGTTTTTAAATGTGATGACAAATCAGCTGACTTTTTGGCGTGTGCTCAAGATTTTATACTGAGGCGGAATTAAAAATTTTCTGTTTGTTCTTTCTGTTTATACTAATCAAAAGGTTTTTCTTTTAAATAGTAGATTATTTTTAACAAAACATTTGAATGGGAGAAATTGTCATAAAGGGAGTTAGATGCACTAACAGTGGCTAACGGGCATTGGAGTCTCCAGACAAAATATACTCTTCTTTATTCTTATTTTAAATATCATACGCCTCGTTTGGGCTGAAATAAGATCGATGTGTTAATCCGTTTAGAAGGTTTTTAGGACATTTAATTTATCTTTTAGTAGTGGTATGGGTATTTAAATTTGCGAGTCGATAGCTTTTAGCTTAAATATGAAAAGGGAACCTTGTAAATTATGTTAACATGGCTTTTTGTAAATAGTTTAAGTTTGTTTGTAAATATTACTATGAAAACCACTTAATACCCTAAAAGTCGAGAAAGCGCAATAAGTGAGGCCTTGAAATTAAAAAAGGGGCGGCCAATCCTCACCAAACCCGACAATATTCCCACGACCGGGTGCTTTCATCTATTTTATGAAATTATGCATTTAAATGTATGATAATCATTTCGCTTCGCCACACCAGAGGAGGAGTTCTCCTTTTTCCATCTACATTTTTTTCTATCTGGCTCGGCTTTTTGTGTATTTTTTCACTTACCCCTCGGCGCCGAAGGCCTTCAGCTCGCGGTCCAACGTGGCCTTCACGTTCTCCTGGGAATAGAGGCCCATGGGCGAGTTGAACTGCTTGTGCACCAGTTTCCGTTGTACGGCGGCCATTTTGTATCTCTTTCTGGGACTGCTTCTTCCTGTTGCTGTATCAACTTCGTTCTGTTCCTTTTGCCTTTTTAGTTTGACTTTAGCTTTCACTTCCTTCTTGGCTGACTTTCGTTTGCCTCGAAGCTCTCTTCTTTGCTATACGCTTCTTTCACGGGTGTGTCTTCAAAAGTTTTTCAAAAAATATTGTTGATAAAAATATTTGGAAAAAATTTTCTACAACACTTGTTATCCGCTTATGGCTCAGTTGCTGTTGCTTCTATTGTTGTTGTTCTTGTTGTTGTTGGTAAATGGTAAAATGGAAATCCTAAGCACTTTCCCCTACTTCAATTGGGCTTAATTTTAATCGTTAATAGTCGGTCGTTGTTCGTTCTGTAATTGAATAAGCACAATTAAACTAAATGAGATAATGGGGTGAACTAAAATTAAATTCAAACAAAAGTTAGTTGAAAGTTTCAGGCAGAAATTTTCTTTCAATTAAAAATATAATATTGCTTTGTTTATTATTATAGTACTAAGGCCTATTTTATTTGATATTATTTTCATATATGTATCTTTTATTTCCATTTCTATTTATAAATTCATAACAAAAACTTTGTCTAGATACTTGAAAAAGTTTTCCAACAAAAAAAAAAAGGAAAAAAGTCTTCAATGTCAATGCTTATAGACAAAACAATTCAAATGTGATATAATATTGTATAGATATCTATAGATATTTTGATATGCACTGAGCTTATTTAATATGCCACTGAGTAATACTTTTCAATTGTGTAGCTGTTGCTAGTAAACTACAATTTTAGAAAATCGATTTGAAAAAAATCTGAAATATTATGAACAATTCACGTTTAGTACTTATTTTTCCAATTTTTCTGAGACACTCACTCACTACTGTCACATTTAGAAATGTATCTTAGACTAATTTGAGCAGATCTTGCTGGGCAAAACAAAAAAAAGAGTATATAGATAAATTTTTTCAAAGCGTTTTGTTTTTTTTTTTTTGCTCTGGTGTTGGTCCAAAAATAGCACCAAAGACAACGGCAAAAATATTGAAATGTGCTCAATTTATTCTATATGTTTTTTTGTTCACCCGCAGTACTCATATTTTTCCACACACAGACACTGAGACACTCTAACACTCAGTTTTTCTTTCTCTAATTCTCTCGGACTGTCTGCCTTTCTAGCTTGCTCAACGATATTTTGAAATTCCCGCCTTGTGTGTCACCTCAAATAAAATTAGCAACTGTGTGAGGAAAAGATATTATTATTATTATTTAGATTTGCGTCACTGCTCAGCATGGGCACTGGGTATAGACTAGGGGAAAAATGCAATAAAAGACACTTGATATAATCGTAATGAAGTACATATTTTTGTGTTTGTGTTCGCATTTTATGATTTTTAATTGAGCTGCAGCTGTTGCGGCAATATCGTTTGGGCCCCCGTAAGCACGCAATGCCTTTTATTTTGGCCTCGGCCAGGAATCGCACAAATTAATCAACATTTAATAAAATATTATGCAAATTACACACAAAAGGCAGGAAAGCACCAGGAGCAGTAGCAGAAACAGAAGCAGCAGCAGCAGCAGCAGGAGCTGAAAAGAGCCTGCCTGCAGCAACAAGAGCTTGCCACTTGATGTCCCAATTAAAGTTTAACGCAAAACTCATACAAGCCCACCCACTATCCCATCCTGCCACACACACACACACAGAACCCATACACTCCCACACACGAACAGGTGCGTGCTGCATTCTGTGTACTTAGCACAGGAATTGTAAGAGAATTTGCATAAAAAATTTTCACAAAAATAATGTTTCAAAAAAATAAGCGAAATGAGCGTGTTGTGGATGAGTTTTGTTGTTTGTTGTGGGTGGAGTATGGGGTTATAGCTAAAGGTAAAGGTACTATAGCTTTAGGTATAGATATTGGTAGGGAGAAACCCACACAAAACATAACCCCTGTGCCATATTGCCAATCCATTTTTTGTTTTTTCGTTCAAATACTGGCATTTTGCTGGCCATTTCGATACTCTTTTTCGGGCAGAAATAATTTCGATTTCGAGGATGGATGTGTGTATGTGGTTTTGCTAACGAACGGAATTACCAGCCCGAGGACATGCGTACATTTAATTTTAAATTGAGTTGCAAAAGCCAAGGGTTGTCCGCTTCAATTGCATTAACAAATTGATTTAAACTTTAAAGTGCCGGAAAATGTGTGTTTGAAGTCCAAAGATTGGACATCATGAATATTAAAAATAATATTTTCACAGTAGGATAGTCAATCAACCAGTTTAGTTGACACGATATTTTCCCCTCGAAGCTAAAATATACAAAAATATATGCAATTTTTAGTCAGCTGCTAATTGTGCCTGCAGGTACAAGGTATGCCTAATCAAGTAGATTTATGAATGTGTTTACTGTTTCTAAATATAGATGTTTTTTGTGGAAATATATATGATTGATGGGAATTTATTCAACACTTTTAAGAGAAGACTTTTCAAATTCTGCTTAGAATTAATATTAATTTATCATTCTTGAAATACTTGAAAACTGTTTTATTTCTTTCTAAGTTTTGTTTTAAAAGTTTGTCTAAACGGTTTCCCAACTTTTTCTTGCAAATAATGAAGACATATAGCTTCTAGTTTCCAAGGACAATTTATGGCCATTGATAACTTTTAATAATTAGTTGGAAAGCTATTGATTTCTATCGAAGTGGAATTAAGTTTCCAACTGAGTTTCTGAGAAATTTAATTTTTGTGAAAATTGTTTCACGTTTAGTAAATCAAATATAAGAAATATAAGAGTATTACGATTTCCATATGAACTTATTACCATTTTCTTGGCTGTTCATTTCTCAGTGTCTTTATTTTGGCAGCAAAATCGACATCATTATCAGAGCTGGCGTACGAAGTATGTACATCGGGCCGACTCCATGTCGTACGTATGGGCTATATATATAAACTATAATGGTGGATAAGTGTATGCGTGGGTTGCTAGGTGGATAGATGGGTGGTTCGGTTCGGTTGGGTGGTATTTGGTGTTAGCGTGTGTGGTTGTTTTGTGAGAGCAGACACACACACTCGCACCCACTGGCACATATGCATCGAAATCAGGTGCAAATATTGTTAAATTTGCGTTGAGGCGAGGCAAAAGGTATTTTTGCAAATCTCTGTGTGTAGATGCATCTGTGGATCTGACGGATTGTGAATCCCAAATCCGAATCCGAAAACCCAGAGGACTACATGGAAGTTTGGCGCCTGCTGCTGCTGCTGTTGATTTTGAATGCTTTGTTTTTACTAATTTAATTATTAACAGGTAGCAGGTAGCATTGTGTTAGAGATGAATTTGTTTTAGTTGCTTTGCTCTGAATGGCTTAAATATTTCATTTTATTTCCAGCTCATGCTGTGAGTGGGTTGTGGCCAAAGTACACTAATATTTTCGACATGTTTATAAGCATTATAAGCTTGCTTAAGTGTAAACACAACACAACACACACACCCTCAAGGGGGAGCCAAAATACTTCTTATTTATTTCGTTTAATGTGGGTGCTTACCGTCTGTTACAATTTGGCGTTGCTTAATCCAGAAATACCGCCAGCCAATTGCCAAAAGTTCCATCCAAAAATCCGAACGCCCTCCTTTCTCCAGTCTCCTCCCACCGTGACCCCAGACCCCCTCAATCCTCACTGCTTTAATGCATTTTTTTTGCCATTTGCACTTTCACCGCCAAAATTAGAGAATGCGCTTGTGCGTTTGTTGGGGGGGTTCGGTTTTCCGATTTTTTGAGGAGCGCGAGCGCGTCCGCCGCCAACCGGCGTTTTCAACTGAAACTGAAACTAAAACTGAAACAGCAACAGAACCAAAATGCTAACGCAAACGCAAAGGAAAACCCAAACGCAAACGCAACGCAACGAATTCTCCAACAACAACAACAACGAAAACTTTACGCAATGATCGGTGACGGGGCTTTTTTTGTTATTGTTGTTTTTTCATCAGTCTACATTTTCACATCTTCCCCAGCATCCCAGCCAAAAAAAAAAGATACAAAGAAAGAGAGAGCAGGCCACGGGAATAGACAAATGTATCTTGTATCTGAGAGTAAGTTGTGCGTAACACTGGCGGTCCAAAAAAAGTGCATTGTCGATGGGAAATCAAAACACACATTTTTAAAAATTTGTTCCCCCAGGTTTTTTTTCATAAAATTATCTTTGAGTTTACCTTTGAGTTTACGTTTGAGTTGATTTGAATATTACTTTAAATCAGAATTTGTAATTTGGTCAAATAAAAATATATTAAAAAAGTGGTTTATCTTTCAATTTTCGAAATGGAAATCGTATTTTGTTCTTAAATCGGTTGTGAAATGGTTTATATATCATAAACCTTGCAATTTTCTTTTTTGAAAAATTGGTATAACTCGGCTATTACTGGGCATATCCAAAAATGTTATACCTTTCTGATCTTAAAATTTCGAGTTTTAAAAAAATGACTAACATTTTGTATGTTTTACTTACAAAATCTTTTGATGGAGATTGAATGGGAATAAAGCATTAAATTATAAATAGTACTTCTTTCTTAAATCGCTTGCCAATTAGTTAAAATATTGTCTTAAAAGTGTATCAAAAGATTATATTTTTACTAAAGAAAATAAATCAAAAAGTTGTTTTATATTTTTCAATTTTGTGCTTTAAAAGTTACAAAAAAGCTGTAACCAAAATAAATAAAATAAACAAAATTTAATTTAATTAAAATAATTAACTATCAGAAGGCGGAACTGCTTACGCACTTGCAAAGAAGGATGGACAGCTTTTATTACCCAATTAATAACAAAGATACCATTAAATTAATATACAGAAAAGACCATTTGGCACATTTTCAAAAAAACAGAATCACCAAACGGATGACTAGAATCTGAATTAAAGCAATGGGATTATCGGGGCTAAAAAAGTTCAAAAGCAGGGAAACAAGGATGAACACTGATTAAATGGAATAAAGAATTTTTTTTCAGACATTTTTTGTGCCGTGATTAAGGCACCTTTAAGGTGATTCAGAGCGGAAGCTTTTAATCGTACGCCACTGTAGCTTGGCCACATACATATATTTAGACCGATTCCCATACCAATACCGCGCCGTCCAACAACAACACGAAAGTCAAAGTAGTTTCCTTCAAAGAAGCAACAGCAACAGATGAAAAAAATTAAGTATAAAAAAATATTTGGCCGTCGTCGATGAGCGACGAGATGGAGACAGGGCCAGCAAAAGATGGATAGATACATTTGTATCTATAGATTGTATATGCAGTTCGTATCAGCCATCTCCGCTTGGCTATTACAGAATTTTACTGCCTCACACCAGAGCACGTCTCTAATATTCTATTTTTGAGTTTTAGTTTTTATTTATTTGATTTTCATTTTTGGCTTTTCCACGTCCTCGCCAACGAGATGCCATTTCTATGGTTCTATGGCACAAACAAAATTTTCTTCCCCCCTGGGTTGCTTTCCTTCGATTTTTTATGTCAGCAGCCAGCATTTGGCGTTTTCATGAAAAAACCCCCCAAAGAAACTGTGTCGGTTGTGCGAGATAGGGGTGAGGGTATTGCAAAGAAATGCGCTTAAAATGTCATTTAATTGTTTCACTTGCAGATAGAGTTTTGTATTTTTTTCATGTCTATGTGAATTTTTTTTTTTGGTTGGTTTTGGTTTTTTGGTTTATACGGTTTTTGGCTTTCACGCGACTGAAGTTGATTTCATTTGCCAGCCTTTTTGGCTTCACTTTTTAATTGTACTTTAAATGCTAATTAGCTTTTGTTTCGGAGAGAACTGGATGAAAATGTGCACATATCGGTTGGTTTTTCCTTTAATGTGTTTTATTTAATTAATATTTGATGGCACAAACGCGATGTGGTTCTGGTGCACAGAAATGCATTTCATTGCGGAGTTTTCAAAAAATACATATATTTTTTTCATATATTTCTTTGTTTGTACAGATATGTATGGGTGACACATTTTGTGGCATTTATTTTTGGGTTTTTGGTGGCGCCTCGCTTTCAATTCAGCCAGCCAGCCAGCCAGCCGTTGTCCACAGTCCACAAATTACACCTCAAACACACATGGATACTCTCGTATATAGAATAGAGAACTAGAGATACACCTGTCGTACCGGGGACTCGAAAACTGGGTTAAAGTGGGAAGAACTCGGACAAGTCGGATTGTCGGATTGCCGGATGTCTGATGTGGTGACCACGTTCACGACCACGGTGCGAATTATTATTGTTACCCGCCGTTCAACGCAACGCAACGCTCAACGTTCTGTGGGGCTCGACGCTCGACGCCTTGCCGCAAAGTCGCTGTGCCGTCGGTGTGCCGTCGCCGTCGAAAAAGTTCGCAAAAGCAGCAAAAGTTGCTCATATGCTTTTTAATACGAAATTTTCATGGAATATTTGGTATATTTGGTGGGGTGGTGAACGATGATGACACCCACTAGGCCACCAGACATCCACTAGTGTGTGCCTGGTGCTTAGTAGGTGCCCCCGCCCACACACGATTATAAATTAGCCCTGGCCATTGGGCTAATCACGTATTCTTCTATTCAACAAACACTTCAAGCTGCTCGAACAGCGATAAATATTCTCCAACAAACACACAAACCCACAAAAACACACAAACGTTCTATGTAGAGTCTGCTAAACCAGCTAATTAACAAGAAAACAACGATATCGTATATGTATGTACTTGTGTATAGCTTTGCCTAAACACAGATACTAAAGTATTTTTATATGCATGTTTTATTTTTGGACTTTTTGGAAAAGCCATTTGAAAACAATTCTTCTCTGTTCTACCTTGAATATACTAGTATAGTCGTATAGTTTTTAGTATTTTTCCTTGAACTAAGACTTTAATATTTTTCATAGCATACTTTTCGCAGTTAAAGCCCAGCTCGTGCTAGTTTCGGTCTTAATTTGGGGGAGAAAACCACAGAAAACAATTCAAACTGTTAGCTGTCGTCGATATTTGTTCATTTTACTTAAAATCATTTTTGTTTGTGGCAGCCATTCGTTGTGTGTTTATATATTTTTAGTTTTTATCTGCTTATATTTTTGGAAATGGAATTCTTGTTTTGCCATCAAGAGCAGAGCAGGGCAGGGCAGAGCAGGCTCGAGGAGAACTGAAATGCTACGTGCTATGTGGAATTTGAAGCATCAACAACTTAATGCCGTTATTTTGTTGTGTGCACTCCGCACATTTCATCCGAACAAGTTCATGAGCTTTCGGTGCGCTCAAGCACAACAATTAGTGCATTGAATGTGTTTTCGCCATCGCTCACCTGTCCTTTCGGCCCCTCACCTTTCTACCTTTCTACCCTTCCGGGCAGAACACCCAGAACCACCCCCTACATGTCAGCGAAATTTAAAACCAAATGCACAAAAAGCTCACAATTCCCGAGCACCTGACAGGCAACTAAGCTGCCTGCTGCTTTAGTATTTCACGCTACAAAGCCAGCAAAAAATAATATGTTTAATGTTTGTGAATGATTAATGGCACATTAGAATTGAAATTGTTTTCGCTACACTAGTATAGTCGAGGCAGCAGGCAGGCGGAATCCGAATCCAAATCGCAATCGGCATTGCTAAGCGCAGCGGAGCAGTGTATATATTGCTATAATGTGCAAATATTTATATCCCCTTTTCCCAAAAAAATACATACATATGTGCTCTGCCATCTCTGCCATTTTTGCCAGCTGCTCTTGGCTGGCTACCAGGTACCAGCTACCTGCTGCCTGCTGCTGGCTGCTAGCTGAGTGGAACAGGTGAGTGTTTATAATGTATCGCATATGCATGGCCAAGTGAGGCAAAAAGCTAAAAAAATCAGCTGCAAACACTCAGACACGGAGCGAAAAGACAACTACAAAGATTTATGGGGCTTACTAGATGAAATATTGAAGATTTTAAAATTTAAAACAATGACACTTGAGGTTTAAATAGATATAGAAATATATTTCAACATTTTGTTACTAAAAACGTTAAACCAAGCTGCCTTTTTCTTTAAAATTACAAGTTTTTACTCAAAACTTGCACACAAAGCTTCTTGAAAAGACCATGTGCAGAGTATTTCCCTTGAATAACCATTAACAACAGCTTTTTATTAAGTAAATATTTAAACAAAAATGTGAGTAGCTTAATGATAATATTCTGTTTAAATTGAAACCCAATACTTATTGATTTCAATCGATTTGTAAAGATATTTTTCGTCGAGTGCGAAAAATACAAGTGTGTTTGCTGATACAATATGGTAGAGTCGAGCGATATGGACGCATTTCCCCAAGTATTTGCTTAGTCGTGTGTATTATTTCGGCTGCCAAGTTCCGTGTGCGTCTCTGTGTGTCCTTGGGGACTTTCCCCCCCTCCCTCCAAATGCGTTATGATGAAAGATGGAAGAGCTCTGGGGCAGGACGGAGGGCCATGGGGCTGGAGGATCGGCCCCTAGTCGATGCCGGCAAACCCCAATTCAAGTTAAAATCCGAAACGAACTTTTGCCAAATTGCGAAAGCCACAAAACCAAAACATTTCGTCGTCGCCTGCTGGTGAAGTTCCTTACGTTGGTCCCTGGAGGGGCAGGATAGTCCCCTAAAGAAACCCCCATCTCACCTATAAAAGCCCTAAGCCAGCACCAACAACATATACACATTGAAAAAGAGTTGGCAGAGTTTCTTAATAAACTTTAATGACTGCGGGTGTCTCGGCATGTGCCGGCTTGTGTTTGTCACTTTGGCTCTATGGTTGCAAGTGCAACTTTGATGGACTTGGGTTACCTGTTACTTGCTACTTGGTCGGTTACCTGTCGGCCCCAGCCATTTGTGCAGCTGTCCACCTGTCCAGTGTTGCCAATTTGGCTCGTATTGTGTCACTACTGAGATACGTTTAGTTTGTAATACTTTTTATGATTGTCAAGTTTCAGATTTCTTTCTATTCAGCAGATAAGTAAGTAAGATAAAGTTATACGACAACCATTTAATAAATAATAGTTTAAATATATATATCAGATTATGCATAGTTTATAAACAATTTGATGGCCTGCTTGAAAAGCCAAAAGGTCTAGCCACGAAAGCAGCTTTTTTGAATAATTATTTTGGTCTAAATTATGCATCGCCAAATCTGCGGTTAACAGTATTATTTGCACCAAAAGGCTTTCCATTTTCATGAATACAAAATGTTAATTTTTACTTCCGCTTTGCATAAACAAACAACCCAAAAACCGTGGCGATAAATTCAACCATGTTTTTGGGCTATTTTTTAATGGCCAAAAACCCACAGCAACTGAAACACCCACACCATTATAACTGTCACCTGCTGGCGCCTCAAATTATGCAACGACTTGTCGGCCAACCACTTTGTACACCCTGCGGGCTTACCAGCCAAACTCCGAGAGTCCTAGCCTCCTGGACTCTATGGCTTGGGGAGTCCGGATAGTCGACACCATTCCTCTAGGCAGCTTCAAAGGCGGCGGTGGCGGCCTATAATTTACTTGACCAGCACGTACCACAGAGTCACGCATGCCGCAGGGGCGCCCCAAACATGGCGGCTGGTAGGAGGGCTAGCTGGGGCATGCAACAATCTTTGGCCGTTCATGCATTACTTATGAAATGACTCGAGCAGCAGCCGATACAAGGTATCTTAGTTGCCATTGACGGCATGTTCTCAGTTATATAAATTGGAAACACCCAAATCAAATTCAAATCAGGATAGCCGAGCATTCATTTGCATTTGGATTGACTTTTGCGATAGATATGCGGTATATATTATGCATATAATTGCACTGGGTATCCCATCCAGAGACGTCTAATGGGAAAACTGAGTCGGTTTCATGGCCCGCCAAGTGCCCCAGGGAGCTACTTAAATTTTCCATAACGACTTTGTATGCACCTTTATGGGAACTTTTTTGGGGAACTATGTGACTTACCTAAACTTTGGGGAAACAGGGTTGAAATGGTTGATGGCAAGTGCCTGACTTTTTCAGTTATTTTGCCTTGGCCGGGTTGTAAAATATTAAAAATAAAAACTGGTGACCTAGAGGCAACTTTAAAGGTAAAAACTAGCTCTTTAAAGTCCTTGGGTCATGATTAAATGGAAATTTTAAGGCTATATCTTCTTTAATTGTTTTATTATAGATTTAACTATTGTTCTCTAAGCCAAGGTCCTTGATAAGCCCATAAAATGTATCCTTTCCATTAATATTCAATGATGTTTGTGGAATTTAAGTGAAAATTAAAATGGAGAACATCCTGTCGGCCATTTGTTTTCCTTCCCATACATATTCACGTCGGCACATAGTGAGACGTATTGGCCTGTCTTATTTTTCTTGGCCAGGACATTGGCAACAACTTTTTTATATGGCTGCGATGCGGTTTCTGCCGTTTAATAGTCTTGGCCATAAAAAAGAGCCCGAGCCCGAACCCGAGCCCTCGTAACCGAGTTGGGGCAGGACTGCGAGGAACTGGCTGGAAGGACTGGCGGCAATCGTTTTATTTAACTGCTGACTTGTTTGCGCAAATTAACACATTTATTTACGCCACAATTTGTTGCTTAAATATTTATTGAGAAACGAAGAGACACACTGTCTGTTTAACATTAAAAATTTTTCGTTTATTTTCATATACAATAAGTACATACAGATAAACATATAATATACATACATATCCAAGTTCGTACAATACACATACACATATACATATTACATAGAGGCATATATATATATATCTATATCCGCAAAAATATATATATGCAGAGACGATTCTTAGTAATCATATCACACCCACAAACGATATGGCACGCATACAGACTCGCATGCAGCATAATTGAGAGTAAATTAGCACTATACTTGTATATAGGAATTTCCAAGTCATCCTCATGCCCCATCCTATACCCATTACCGTCTTATAGCATCTATTCCTAAACGTACACACGGAAAAAAATTTGGCCAAAAGTAAGAATCCCAATCCCTTTTCAACGCTAATTATTTCAAAAATCCATTTTGTTTTGAAGCTTAGACAGGATCACGATTAGAAAGTTAGCAACTTAAGATTATTAGAAAGTTTCTGGGATGGTGTGGGTAATGGTATCATAGTCATATTATAATAACATTATCTTTTGATTATTTTTGTTTGGAAATTTTTAAAACATTAGTACTCCTTTAAAAGAATACTTTAAAAATCAAAAGAATTTTCACATTTTGTTCTCAACTCTGGAATAAAAACATTATTTTTAAAAATATAAACTTGTTCATATATGTATCTTGTGGCCATTTTTTCCCGAGTGTCCCGACATCCTGGGGCTCATCCCCACGCTGATATGGCTCCCCTTAAACGAGAACGCTTAAATTCGCTGGTTGTGGCAATTGTTGCATCGCCTGCACAGGCCATAAAAAACCACCAGCCCGGCCAACAGCCATGTCCGGGACCCGGCAGCTGTAAGGGCTGGGGGGGCGTGGCTCTGCAGCGGCAACTGCTCCTTCTCCAGGCAGAGCCGGAACTCGTCGTAGTCCAGGCGCGTGATGGCGCAGTAATGATTGAGCATGCAGAGGCCCTGGCAGGCCGTTCCGGACTGAAATCGCACGGCATTGGCGCGGTGGTATCTGGGAAAAAAAGGGAAAAGCGAGGGAAAAAAAGGTATCATTCTCAGTTCCATGTTTGCTTTGCCATTTCATAAATGCTCCTGGCCAGGTTAGTATCTCACAGTGTGATTTACATATTTCAGGTATGGTCTGGACCTGGGGAAAGTGCTTAGCGAGAGTCTGATGGAAAGGCTATGAACTTCTGCAGGGAATCTCGAAAAAAAGCAAACATTTAACAATGATATCCTTTTACTGAGTTGAATTCTAATGGGATAATTGAATAATTATTAATCAACAGAAAACTCTTTATTAATTAATGAACGATTTATCAATCAATACCGATTAAATAAATGATCTTTTAATAATAAGTTTATTTGCTTTTATGCGGTTAACTTTAAATCTTTTGGTTTCGAATGACAAGTCAATTAAACTATTTAAAATTCCAAAAAAATTATGCACTATTTTTGCTTAATTAAACAACAAAATCCGCATTAAATATGGCCATAAAGTGTTTGCTTCAAACACTTTTGGCTCAAAGGGAATATGTTGTTTACAAAAATGACTAACAAACGAGAACGAAAAAATGGCAACTCCTCTACCAGCAGCTTTTTAAAACTAGTGTACTTTCATGAATATTTTTCTAGACATTAATAAAACATGTGGTACAAATAGGTGAACAAAATGTTATTAGTGGTGTTATTGATTTTTTCCCTGTTTTTTTTTTTTCTATTTCTTGCGTTTATGATGGCTGGCTTTGAAAACCTATTTCCCAGCTACCCAAACACAAAAGCCGCCCTCGGGGCTCAAAGGATTTTCGGTGGCAATCATGAAACCCGCTTACTCGCCTACTCTCTTACCTGGTGAACCAGGAGGGGTCGGTGCCCGTAAAACGCTCGGCAAAATTGTGCAGCGCCCCGGCAGAGATCTCTGGCAGGGCATAGTAGTGGGTCAGATTGTACTCCGGCTGCCAGAGCGGCTCATGGGCACGGTTGGCCAGCGGCAGATCCAGCCAGAACTGGGTGTAGTCCAGCACCTGGCCGCTTCCAGTGTCGAACTTGTAGAGCCGCAGGGCGGGATTGTTGGACGAGCCGATTCCCGCTTTCCGGGGCACAATCGAGGGGGCAATCATCAGCCACGAAATGGGATTGCCTGGCGGGTTACATCGAGGTAGATGGGTTAGATTTTAATAAACCAACAATATGGATTTCTGTTACCTTTGGCATCATAGATCAGTCGGAAGGTGTCCGAGTGCAGGTGGCCGAAAAACTGACCCTGGATGACGGGAGCAAATTTCCGGACCATCTCCAGGTAGCGGCGATTGTTGCGCTCCGTGAAGATTATCTGATTGTGTTGGGGGCCCAGATGGCGTTCGTCCACGCCCGGCGGCATGTGGCCCACTATGTAGACCTGGTCAACACAAAAATATCATTGGCTTTAATCTCGCATAGGGCAAGTGAAACGAAATTAATTCTTTCGCCAGCAAATTAAATATTATAATTAATCAAAGGGCAATTGGCTATTGAATTTCTGGCACACGATGGCCGTTCATTTAATCTGTGTATATAGTATACGCATATATAGTTAATAATTAAATATGCAAACTCATTTTAAATGTTATCGTTAATTTCAGGAAGATTCCAGCCACGGCTTTACGAGCTGTAAACATTAAACTAAATATATGCATCATATTTTAATGAAATTTAAATTTTTCCTGAAAGTTTGTGGCTTTATTTGCAAATGATTTAAAACGAATTTGGGTAAATCAAAAATCAATTTAATTATGAACATTATTATTTTATAATTATTATGTTGATAAGCAGAATTAATAAACTATTACCGTTTCCTGTTTATCCCTGGACTTGGTCAGAACCTCTTCCAGCCACAACCACTGCTGTTCGGCCAGCACCTCATCCTGGGCGGTGTTCGAGCTGACTGAGGCCTTGGGTTCCGCAAAGTACTCCGCCGGCCAACGCAGGCTCAAGGAAGCCCGTGGATCTGGATCGGGATCCATTCGCATAAAGTTCGTATTGAGGGCTACGATGCGCAGACGACTTTTGGTCTGCTCGATGGAATAGTAGCCGCCCAGATCAAAGGTCACCAGCGCCTCCGATGGCAGCCAGTGGCGCCACAACTCCCCCAGGCGCCGGTAGCTGCCATTGCCGTCTTCGTGGCCCAACACCGGAAATATGAACTGCGAGGAGAAGCTGCGTCCCAGCATTTCGGTGATATTCCGCAGAATTTCGTGCTGTTTCTGCTCCGAAAGTGGCTGAGCGGAATGGGACAGGGCATCGCCGGTCCAAAGGACAAACTCCACATTGTCGCCCTGCTTGGCCTTCATCGTCTTAATGGCGGATTCAATGAGGCTCCACGGGCTGTCGCAGTTGTAGTGGCCGAAAGGGCCGGGCGGCTCGGAAATGGCATTCGAGGTGACTCCCGACACGGATCGAGCCAACTGCCAGCAACTCCGGTAGATGTCACCCTGGGTGGAGTAGAGGGTGTCCAAATGCAGGTCACTGATATGCCAAAAGTAGCCTGTAAGAATAAAGTTCATATATATTTAGTTGATTTGTATCTATTCCGAATCAAACTCCGAAAAAATATCGTCAAAAATACCAAAATTCTGACCAATTTTAGGTGATATTCATAACCACCCAAAGAGGAGGGTCAAGATTAGCTCTTGACTCTGGCTAAGTCGGGCATTTCCTGGTCGGGAAAGGCCACTATTGGGTAGGGCCTGGGAAGGGCCAAGGGGTCAAGAAAACCCTGGGCCCTTCCGGCAGATTTCCCTGCAGCTGACCTATGGCTTATTTTTTTTACCTGACTGGTACCCGAAAAAGTCACAAAGTCAGCCAATTAACGAGGCTACAAGTTCGCTGTCGTCCCGGCAAAGAGATCAGTTTCGATTAGTACTGGAATGTGAACTGACCGGTCAAGACTGGCTGAGAACTATTATAGAAGGAGTTACGAAGTTCGACTTTAGCGGACAAATCGGACACAGATCGAAGGAAGGCACGAAGTGGCAGGAAGAGACGCTTCTAAAATGAGCCTGATCAGGATTGGCCTGGGGCTGGTGTTCCTGCTGGCCGCCATGTCGCAGCTGGTGCAGCCCGTCCAAGGACGCCGGAAGCTGTGCGGCGAAGCCTTGGCCGAGGCCTTGGATATGATTTGTGTTAACGGCTTTATGCGCCGGATGAGGCGCAGCGACCGTAAGTATTCTAGATCCTTAAAAGCGTTTATGTCTATGTAGTCTGGTAGCCACTAACTTCAAAATAAAGAACCACAGAACCGAATGCAGGCCTTGATGCGAAAGCTTCGGGATTCGGAGACGCGCACGGACACGGAAAAGGACACTCAGGATGGGGATGAGCAGCCGCCGGCGAAGGGCAAGGAACGCAAATTGCGGCGCCACCGGCGTAACATTGCCCACGAATGTTGCAAGGAGGGCTGCACCTACGACGACATCCTTGACTATTGTGCCTGAGAGGATGGGCGAAGTTGGAGGAGAAGGAGGTGGACTGGATGGAGGATAAGTACAGCAGGATGGAACAGGAGGAGAGCGGCAATGGCAAATGGCAAATGGCAACGGCAGAGCAAAAGGACAACCTAACCGGAAGGCGTTTAATTTTCTAAAACTAACACTTAACCCTAAATATAAACGTAATCATATTCCCCAAAAAATTTTTCATTGTAAAATTCTTAGTGGAAGCAAATAAAGTTATTCACCAAATAGCAGCAGCAGCAACAAAAGCACAAGTCCCTTAAATTTGGCTCTCGGCATTCCAGCTGTGCACTCAGTGCCACAAAAGACGGGATGGGGTGGGATTCCCCCTGTTCTCAACCCACGTATAGCAGGCACCCACGGCCGCCCACCATCCAGAAACGCCACCCACTGGCAGCTGCCATTCAGCAGCACCTTAAGAGCACTGCCCTTGTTTTCCAAGAAGAATAATGAAAATTATGAATTTTTAATTAGATGACGTTCTGATTTTAATAAGAAAAACAAAAGAAGCAACGCCAACCGATGATGTGGCAAGAAACGATCCATGAATACACTCAGGTCAAATATATATTTTCTGTCAAGTTAAGACTTGACCCTTGACCCACAAAAAGCAAGTAAACCATATCCAATTAGTAATCAACAGTTTGTAACAGATAAGTTTTGGTCGAGATTGGCAAACAGGAAACTACCTGAAACTGACCAACTCAAGACGTGCAAAACATGGTCCTTTTTCAAGTACTTCAGAAAGATAAAAAGATAAAAGATGCTCTTTAAATGGTAAACAAGTATTATTGGGGTGTTTGGTTTTACAAAAAGGAGAGCTGCGATAAGAGCTCTGAAAAATATAAAATGAAAAACAGACTTGTTTTGGTGACTTGTTTTTTATGATTTCTAAAGTGACTCCTTTGAGTTCTTAATAAACCTTATTGATAAAAATATAGACTGACAAAGTTCAAGTCACTGCCTAAACTATTTTTGAATCAACCCTGCCATCCAAAAAGGGAAGAAAAATTCCAATAATTGTACTTGTTTTTCAGATAACCAGATCCATGCGTAATTTTTGGGTCGAGAACGTAAACAAACGTCAGTTGATATGCGTAAGACTAGCCGCGGGGGTCGAACACCCCAAGCACCAAGCACCAGACATCACCATCAGAATTCTGATATTCAGATAAATAGCTTTTTGTACTAAGCACTGGGGAATAAATAACAACCCACACCCTCGGAGCACAGGTGCAAATAAAGTAAACTAGTTGTTGACCCGGCTAACTGACACTCTCGCTAACACAGCCCGACACACGGCAGACGTTCAGATCGGGGAGACTTCGGGGAGCATTCCCTTGATTCGGTTTCGGATCGGATATATGGTTCATATATAAACAGTGGCTGCAACGGTGGGTGGCCGACATTTCTCATTGAACCACTTGACGGGCATCTTCCCCAGGAGCACTAACCAGTAACCAAAATAAACGATGCAGCGAGTCCAGGGACTAAGGATCCTGCTCTGGAGCCTGGTTCTAGTATTTTTGGGAGTGACCCACGTCCAAGGCAACATGATACTGTGCGGCCAGGAGTTACCCGAAGCCTTGAATAGGATTTGCCAATACGGCTACAACCAAAAATTTAAGCGAACATTTGGTAAGCAGGGTTTGGGTTCCAGCCAATATTCCAATACATTTAAGGATCTTTATAACATTAAATTAAGAGATAAATAAACTAAAATCTATTCATCCTTGAATTCACAGACCTAACCCATCTAAATGCCATTGAGGACGAAGGACTTGAGGAGAGTTCCCTTTTGTGGAGGATGCTGGGGGAGAGCTCGAATCAATTGATGAAAACCCGTCGTCGGCGTCTTGGAATCTTTGATGAGTGCTGCCGAAAGCCATGTTCGAGGAATGAGTTGCTGCGATATTGTGCCGGTGGACCTGGACGGTGAATCAAAGCAACCGTGAATCGGACCCTGGAACCCCCGAAACCTCTTGAGAACCCCCTGAAGAGATGTGACCTTAACGGGATAAAGGATGAACCTTGTACTCATAGTTGTTAAGTCGTTGGATAAAAGCCTACTCACTATTTATGCCCCGGAGCGAATAATATACATATATGTATGGATAGCATTATGTGTTGGGGATGTATGCGCATAATTTATGATCGGAAATCAGAGACAGATACGCGAAATGAATCGGAAAACGGGATGGTATGCATATATACATGATTGTACTCTTGTATGCTTGTGTAAAGGGCCTGAATACATCGCCTGGATATAAATTATTAAATAAATTATGTATTCAAACTGCTGCAGATTGGCAAAGTTGATTGGTAATTAAATGGGTATTACATTGATTTTTACTGTCGTCCTTTGCAGTTAATTATTTATTGTCTTACAGGCTGGCGAGTGGACACTAAATTATAATATATATGAGCACTACAACCAATAAATTTTCTTCTTATTTTCAGTTTACAAAATGTACTGGGCTAATTAGCTTAAATACTCGAAGTTTCTAAAATAAATTTTATAAAAGTTCCCCAATCATTTTACAATTTATGTGTTTTTATCTTCCACTCTGAAACCGATCATTGAAAAAGCTAATCTTTTTAGAAATTACTATCATTAATGGAATTTTAATGTATATTTTTGTGTAATTTTCAATATAGTTTTTCTAGTATAGTTACAGTATTCTATATTCAATTCAGTACAAAGGTGATGTCAGTCATATTTCCACAATTGAAATATTAAGATGTTCGGAAAACTTCAAATGGATTTTAAACTCCTTTTAATTTTTTTAATGATTTTTAAAGTAGGATTGAAGTATATTTCCTAAAAACTTATAATAATACTATTTACTTTTGTAGGCTTGGTCAAAGATTGACATCACAAACATCAAGTGTATAGCCAAAGACCAAAAGTTTGGAGCCTTTGACTATTGTTATATGAAGTCAGTAAACCGTACCTATAAATTCTTTTCGGTAAAGTACGATCTTTATCAAAATGTAGGTCCCAACACTAAGGTAAGGCTCTAAATAAATAAAAATTTGTTTTTTTTTTACTAATTGAAAAATAGGTCAACGTTGTATTGTTCAAGGATAACAATGGTTGGAAACCGTTCTTATATAATGTCACAGTAGATGCTTGTAAATTCATGGAAAATCCCGGCACATATCCCATTGCAAAATATTTTTATGAAATTGTGGTTTCTAGCTCGAATTTAAATCATTCTTGTCCCTATACCGTAAGTATCGTATAATTTGTGATTTATTTATTAATATTTTACGAACATGATTTCTTTCAGGATAGCATCATATTCGACAAGTTAACTGGTGAAGGAGCCAATAATAAAATCATAAGACTTTTACCTTTTCCTGAAGGACGTTTTATAGTAGAGGTCAATTGGTCGACTTTCGATGTTATTCGGGCTTCAACCAAATTCTATTTTGTTGTATCTTAACTGGTTCAAAATAGTATTGGATGGAATTGAAGAAATAAATAAACATAGCAAACATGTACTAAATTTAGATTAAATTGATGGACTATTAGCAAAACTTAAATTTTTACATTAACTAAGTAAAATTGAAGCATAAAATAAAGATAAATATAAATTTTTCAGTAGATCGTAATTATTTAATCAATTTTATTCTGCTGCTTAAGCAATTAAGTTGTTTTCAATTTCAAAACAACGCAATGAAAGTCATCCCCTGCTTAGTTTTTTTGGAAATATTTATATTTTGCTCCATTTTTTCTATTTATAAAGACTCAGTTTTAGGCGGCATTCAGATGAAAGTTTACAAAAATAGAAAGTTCTTCTACAAACGATGATAAGTGGGAATGCAACATAAATCTTCAAGCTAAAATTAATCCTTGTCAATATACCTACTGTCTGTGATATTTATATTTTATTCAATATGAGTTTTTTGCATTATATAGGACATATAATAATTAACTTTCAAAGACAATAAAATTTAAATATAATTTATGTTAATTCCGACACTTTTTTTTGGTAGAGAAGTAATCTAGTCCATTAAATCATCTGTGAAAATGGGGTTTCTCCACTTTCTGACTAATTACCCAAAAATATAGTTTTTTTTAATCATGATAATACTTATTTCAATGTTACATTTTCAATATAAACTTTGATTACTTTGTCAATAAGCGGTATCAAGTTTCAAAGCAATATGATTTGTGATCGGAGTGTTCTGCTTTGGATTCTTGTTTCATTGTGTTTGATTACTGAAGTATAAAATAATAATTAATTCCTGAAACTCTAAATTAAAATAAAGTCATTTTTAGATCGCAGCCAAATTTGAATTCACAAATGTCAAATGCAATTCTTCTGACCCAGATTTTGGAAATTTCAGATATTGCTACTTAAAATCGATAAATCGAACTTATAAATACGTATCTTTAAGATACTATTCCACGCAAGTCCCATACACAAATATAAAGGTAAGAATTTGGAAAATAACCAATATACCATTTTCAGTAATATTTTCGTTTTAAGGTAAATTTGGGGCTTTATAAACGGTTTAATGGCTATAAGCCCTTTCTCTACAATATCACTATTAATGCCTGCAAGTTTTTAAAAAGTCCCAAAACCTATCCTGTTTTAAAATTTTTTTTTGATATGATATATCCGGCCTCGAATTTTAATCATTCTTGCCCCTATGATGTATGTAAGCAGATGATGAAGTGAATCATTTAATTTGAAAAGTATTTTTTACAGCATGACATCATTTTTGACAAGCTGACTGGAGCCATGGTAAATCATCATTTTACCAACATTTTACCTTTTTCCGAGGGAGATTATATGATAAACGTTCGATGGGAAGTTTATGAAGTGGAAAGAGCGGTTACCATATTTTATGGCACACTTTCTTGATCTTTGTATTTCTCCATAAACTTTCTGGGTAAAATGGGAAAAAATATAAGCAATCTAAAAGAAAGTATATTTGAAATATACGGAAAAAAAATGTTAAAGATTCAAAATTTAATGCGTTTTTAATGAAAGTTCTATCTAGATTGTAACAGAGGTTCACTAAACTTGTATTATTTACTTTGATGTTTCGAAATGCATGATCATGTTATTATAATTAATTTCAAGCAAATCGGAAAACCGAATAAATATTAAATAATATATTAAAGTTTTTAAAAACACATAAGCATCTTAGTACATAAACTTTTAGTTCCATTTAATAAATTTATAATTCACCTTAGCTCATATACTGCTTTCAGTAGAAAATTTTCATCTCCATACAATGGTCTGTGACCAAACTTATACCTTATTAGTAGACTAATTAAAATACATTTAGTTTTGCATCGAGATTATATTTATTTCGATATAAATTCAAAAGTTCTTAAAAATGTGTATAAGCCAGGTTAGATATTTGTTCCCAGAGCTGAAGGCCTGTAGTACTAGAGATACTCTTGATTAGTTATTAAATTCAGCTAACATCTAAAATATTTAATACATATTTAGTTTTGGTTTCTTGTGGCTTTGTGCTTAGTTATTGAAGTAAACAATTATTAAACATAATAATTAAAAAACTTATAGTAAATTAATGTCATTTTTAGGACCCAGCCAAAGTTGAATTTACAAATATTAAATGCACTGCTTCAGACCCAAATTTTGGTAATTTTAAATACTGCTACATAAAATCAATAAATCTGAATAATAATTACGTATCTTTAGTAAGCGGATTATTCCTCTATATTGCTCTGTATATAAGAATGGCGGGGAAATTCTTCTTTGCATAATTTTGAGTTGATTGCTTTTAATATGAATCTCAATTCAAATGTTTATCAATAAGAACTAGCGTCTTTTAGTTTATCATCTCTATGAAACCAAATAAGTATTTTTGGAATACAGATTCTGGCGGTTTGTCCAGATATTTAGAGAAAGCTTGACCTGAAATTCGGAGCCATGGCCGACTTGGGAAATTCGGATTCACGTTGTTTTATTTAATAATCAAGGTAAGTGTTTAAAAAGTACCATACATACATAAAAAAGCTTCGAATACAATTAAATCTAAATATAGTTCATTTTAGATTATTAAAATATTCAATTTAATGGTCTGTGACTAAATTTTTACTCTACTTGCAGACTTATTTAAATAAATTTCGTTTATATCAAGATCATAATTTTGTAGATATTATTTAAAGTATGAGTTTTTAAAAAGTGTAACGCCATGTCAGATATTATTAGCCAGCTCCCATGCAAAATGATTGGTGATCGGAATTTTGAGCTTCGGATGCTTGTGGCTTTGTGTCTATGTATTGAAGTAAGAAATAATTATTTTGTTAAAAACTTAAATTAAACTAAAGTTATTTTTAGATCGCAGCCAAATTTGAATTCACAAATATCAAATGCAATGCTTCGGACCCAAATTTTGGTAATTTTAAATACTGCTACATAAAATCGATTAATCGGACCTATAAGTACGTATCATTAAGATACTATTCCACGCAAGTTCCATACACGAATATAAAGGTAAGAGTGTGAATTAAATGAGAATCTGTTGTGGAAACATTCAAAGTAATATGCATTTTTGAAGGTTAATTTAGGGCTCTATAAACGCTTTAATGGCTATAAGCCCTTCCTTTACAACATTACAATCAACGCTTGTAGGTTTCTAAGAAGTCCCAAAACGTATCCTGTTCTTAAATACTTTTATGATATGATTTACCCCGTCTCGAATTTTAATCATAACTGCCCGTATGATGTAAGTTGATCATTGAGGTAAATGTTTTGATGTTAAAAATATTTCATTTCAGCATGACATCGTTTTTGACAAGTTAACTGGTACAATGATAAATCATTATGCCACCAAAATATTACCTTTTTCAGAGGGAGATTACATGTTAGACGTTAAATGGGCAGTTTATGAAGTAGAAAGAGCAGTAACCATGTTTTATGGCACACTTTCTTGATCTTTGTATTTATCTACTAACTTGTCTACAAATAAAAATGAATGTTTTTTTATTGAAATTCTGCCAAGATTTTTTTTTTTTTTTTTTTTTTTGTAATAGCAGGGTAATGTTTATTTAAAACTGTCCATTAGGGACAACCATTAAATTTTATCACGTAAACTTCACGTATAGATATTTTTAAATATTAATATGGTAGAAAAAAAAATTAGAGTAGTAAGGGGAGGTCCAGCGGGTGTGTCCTTTTAAGTCTTCTGGGTTGCTCGCTGCTGTCCAGCAGGGAGCTGGCCAACCGGTTCGGGTGATTATGAAGCCTCTGCATGTAACGTGCGCTGCTTCTTTGTATCTCGTCCTTGACCCAAGGGAAATTGAGAACCTCGTGGATAGTGCGATTGTCATGATAGACGTGGGCCCCAGTGGCGATTCGAAGGACTCTATTTTCGAAAGCTTGCATAGTTCGGACATTCGTCTTGCTCGCAGTTCCCCAGAGCTGTATGCCGTACGTCCAGATAGGGCGTATTATTGCCTTGTAAATGAGGAGTTTAGTGGAAGTTCTCAGCTTCGATCTCCTACCCATAAGCCAGTTGAAGGATCGAAGTCTTTGAATAGCCTGTTTCCTCTTCTTAATCAGATGGGGCTTCCAGGTGAGCCTCCTGTCTAGGGTGAATCCCAGGTACCTGGGATTGTCTACCTGTGGGATTGGAGAGCCGTTAAGGTTAACTGGAGGGCAGTTGCCTTTGCAGAGAGAAAATGTGGAGGCAGTGGACTTCTCGTTATTGACGGCAATGTTCCATCGCTTTTGCCAGTCGCTGAGCAAGTCAAGCTGCAATTGCATCGTATCGGCTGCCCCCAATGCGCTATCGGCGGTGGTAAGGAAGGCGGTGTCGTCTGCATAGGTTGCTGCGAGCAGGTCAGGCCTCTGAAGAACAGGGAGGTCGGCCGTGTAAGCATTGTACATCAACGGGCCAAGAACGCTGCCTTGGGGTACACCAGCGTGAGCTTCTCTAATACCGGAGATGGCCTCGCCACATCTAACAGCAAATTTACGGTCTTCCAAGAACGACTTTAGGAACTGGAAGTATGGTCGGGGTAGGCCAGTCTTTAATTTATATAGAAGACCGGGATGCCAGACTCGGTCAAACGCCTGCTTCACGTCCAGCATGACGGCCATGCAGTACTTCTTGGTTTCAAACGCGTCCAGGATGCACTGCACTACCCGATGGCACTGCTCTGGCGTACCGTGTCGCCGCCTGAAGCCAAACTGGTGGTCAGGGATCAGTCCAGCCTCGTCAAATACTGGCAGTGCTCTGCTTAAAAACACTCGTTCAAGTATTTTGGAGAGCGTTGGTAACAAACTTATTGGTCGGTAGGACGAAAGGTTTGCTTCGGGTTTCCCGGGCTTAGGTATCATAGTTACCTGGGCACGTTTCCATGTGGACGGGAAGTACCCTATCTCCAAGCATCTATTATAGATCCTCGTAATTAGCTGAATGCTTGGAGGTGGTAACATTTTTAATGCAATTGCATTGATACCATCATCGCCCGGGGCCTTGTTGTTGCTCATGATGGTTATAAGCTCAGCTGTTTCCTCCTCAGTCACTGGTGGTATTGGATCGGCGTCCCTAGAAGGCTCGGCTAGCAGACGGGCAGTTTCAGCAGCATCCTCCGGTGAGCAGCGATCGAAAGGCGTAAAGACACCTTCGAGGTGTTCGGCGAAAGCGTTGGCCCTGTCCATCTCCGATCTGCACCAGCTGCCGTCGGTTCTTTGTACAGGTGGGATCCTTTTCAGCGGCTGTCTGATAGATTTGGTGACTCGCCATAAGTTATGTTGAGGGTCGCCTGGCTCAAGTTGTTCGACGAACCCGTCAAAGGCCTGCTTCCTTAGTCTTGCCAGAGTTTCTGTCAGACATTTGGTCGCTCTATTGAAGGCGGTTTTGTCCAAAGGATTCCTTGAGAGCATCCACACTCTTCGGAGTCGTCGCTTTTCAAGTTTGAGTTCTTCGACTTCTGGGCTCCAAAAATGGATGTCCCTGTCAGTGGCTCTTGGGCGGTTGGAGGGCCTTGGTGCTGCTTCAGAAGCTGCCGCCTGAATATGGGCTGTTAACTCTTCTACAACGGTGTCGATGTCAACCGGGGAGTCAAGTGTCGGGCTGGGGTCGGTAACGTTGTTCAGGTAGGATTGGTACTTGTCAACGTCTGTTGTCTTGTAGATCAGCTTTTTGCGGGCTGACCTGAGCAAGGCTGGGGTGAAAAGTGACACGGCAAAGGCGCTGTGGTCCGAGAAGAGGTCTTCTACTTCTCTCGCTTGAATTCCGGCAGAATCCAGTCCTCCGGAGATGGCGAAGTCTAGCACATCAGGGATTTTGTGGGGATCCGTAGGCCAGTATGTGGGTGCACCGGTTGCGTGACAGCTCAAGATTCGGGACTGAATCTGCCTGTATAGGGCCGAGCCCTTTGGGTTTGTAATCCTGGAGCCCCACCAGGGGTGTTTAGCATTAAAGTCCCCTCCGATTATGAACTTGGGGCCGAGGCAATCCAGTAGCAAGCCGAATTCCTGTTCGTGGATGTTGTGCCTGGGGGGCAATATGCTGCGGCGATTGTTATGTCACCGTTGGTAGTGGAGATTTTAATTTGGGCACATTGTACCCAGTCTTCGCACATGGCTGGAAGTGCCTCATACTTGATGCAGCTGCGAATAAGGATGGCCGCGCCCCCGCGACCTCTACCGTTCGGGTGGTTAGCGGCAATGAGGTCGTATCCTCTAATAGTCAAGTATGATCTGTTGGTAAAATGCGTTTCTGATATGAGGAGAACGTCTGCTTGGAGGGTCTTGCAATATAGCTCGACCTCTGGCCTTCTTTTTACCAGGCCGTTAGCATTCCATATGGTTATATTTAATTGCGTATGCACAAGGATTTGCAAACGGTGGCCATCATTTGGGCTATTTGGCTCAAGACCTTCTCCATCATGCGCTCAAACATAGATTCCATCCTAGCCGTTAGGGCGTCCATTGGATTACTTGAAAGACTGGGATCGGGATTGGGGTTGGAGTCAAACTGTGGTGCTCCGTTTTTGACTGCGCTAGCATAGCTGATGTTAGGGTTAATTTTGCTGAATTGAGGTTGCTGGCGTCTTGGGGCAGCCTGCTTGGGGGCGAACGTGCTCTTTGCCTTTTTGTAGGCTGGACAGCCCTTGTAAGAGGCCGCATGTGATCCGTCGCAGTGGAGGCAGACTGCTGGTTCACTGGCAATTTTGGTGCATTCGGACGATGGGTGCCTATCTCCACACTTTACGCATCTGTACTCCAGATGGCAGTACCGTTTCGTGTGACCGAAGCCCTGGCAGCGATGGCATTGGGGCACATCGTCGAATTTTTTTGGTGGCTCAACCGTAACCACCGTGCTGCATAGCCGCTTGACTTGAAAGGCCTCCTTGTTGTTTTTGGCTGGCTCGAGGTTAATAAAGAAAATGTTTAGTGGCTTCTTTGTACCTTTTTGCATAGGATTGTGTATATCCCTGACTTTGTGTCCATGGCTGCTGAAACCCACCTTAATATCCTCCGGGTCGGTGGAGAAGTGGAGGCCTTTAACGACGATCCGATAAGCGCGCTCGTCTCGGGGCTGGAATGTGTGGTATCGATGGTTATTTTCGCTCAGGAACTTTTTCAGAGTTGAGTAAGTATCCTTATCTGGACGCGAATTGTGTTGTTAGTGCTTGCTTTGTAGGTCACTTCAACATCCCCGCCTAAGAGGTGGGAAATGTCTTTGGAAAGGCCCTTGATGCTGGATACGTCCGGGATAAAAATTGGGGGCGGTTTGATGATTTTCGCCATTTTTACCGCAGATTGCTTGGTTTTCTTATCATCTTTTTTCTTCATAACGTCAACCTCCATGTCGCTGACACGATCTTCATCGTCTAAATCAGAAAGAATTGCATAATAATTTTTTTCAATATTAGCTTTAAGTGCAGCTCTGGCTGCTTCGCTGGTGGTAGGTTCGTCTTCCATAATGGGTTTTTTAGCAGACTTCCGCTTCATTTCTCCATGCTCGGAGTCGCTGGAATCGACATCTTGAAAATTAGAATAGGCTTTCTTTTTCGAAGGCGGCTTGATTTTGATGGAACTGGGAGGGTTTTGCCAGCCCATTAAGTTGGTTTTGCCCGAGAATGGCCGCAAGATTAAGTAAATAAGAGTGGTTTTATATTTTTTTGGTGGTTGGAAAAAAAATTTAAATTTTTCTTTTTATTTTTTTAACAAACAATAAAACGATGCTTTCAGTTCAAAGCCTACCTCTCGACATACATTCTGCCAAGATTGTAGCTATTTTATTTGTTTTTATGTTTGGCATCACTTGGAAAAAAATCCAAAGATTAAAAAACAATATTTGAAAATTTTTTTAAATAAGGAAAGTTGGTTTTGCGTTTGCTGATTACACAATGGTACTTTATTCTCTGATCGAATAATTTGGCACATTTGTGGCCATCGAAGAGCAAAAGTGGGAAAATTAGAGGTAGTTCTCCCAGGTAGTTCTGGAAGAAGTGAATTCACATTTTACTATTCAATATACAATTTAAATGCTTATAATGTATATAAGCCATTAAATACATAAATTTCAAAGACAATTAAATACAAATATAATTCTTGATAGCTTATATACCTTTTACGCATAGAAGTTGTCTATTAAAGTATTCCATGGTCAATGGTCGGTGACCAAATTTTTAATTTACTTGCAGACTAATATAAATAAATTTCGATTTTTATAGTAAAATTTGTTATATGGTTATGTCAGCTATCTAGTTTTTAATCAGCTACTGATTTTAGCGTTTTTGTATGAGTTATTAAAGTAAAAAATAATTACAATACTTAGTACTCGTAGAGTCCCCATACTCGGAGCAGGAATCATCTCCGACCCCATTAAGTACATATATATTTTTGATTAGCATCAACAGCCGAATCAACAAATATTGCTTTTTCCGTCTGTATGGCTAACCACTAACTCACTATTCCTACTTGTTATTTTCAAAGTTTATATAAGACTTCCCTATTAAAAATTAAATAAATTTGGGCAGAAGAGACGAGTATCGGGTATCATTAAGTCGGGAAACTCGACTAGTGCCGTCCTGTCTTGTTTTTCAATAAACTTATATAAAATATTTAAAAAACAATAATCAATGAGCTGTACAAATTGGATGAGTTTTAATTGAAACTTTATCAAGATTGAAACCAAAGCTCACTATAATACTTATTTTGAGGTTTAGAAACGCATGAAGTCATATATAAATAAATTCCGGGGAAAGTATGGGCTACATGCGGACTCTTTTCTTTCTGTATTTAGTGGTTTGGTTGTCTATTTCTCAAGTAAGAGATATCATGCTCAAAAGATACAAAATTTTAATATCTGTTTTGTAGATAACTTCCAAATTTGAATTTACAAATATAAAATGCATTCCCAAAGACGAACAGTTTGGAAATTTTGAGTATTGCTATTTGAAATCGGTTAATCGGACTTATAAATATGTGTCCATTAAATACTATTTTAATAAGCTACCAATTACAAGTATACAAGTGAGTAAAAAAACAAACCCTTTTTTGGAATTTTAGTAATAGAATTGCCCTATTTTGAGGTTAATGTGGCATTGTTTAAACGCTTTAATGGCTACAAGCCATTCCTGTATAATGTAACTGTGGATGGTTGCAAGTTTCTGAAAAACACTAAGTCGAATCCTGTCATGAAATTCTTCTTTGATGTAACAGATTCATTTTCGAACATAAACCACTCATGTCCTTATAATGTGAGTATGCTATGAAATAAAGTAAAATAATTTTAAGACCATTTGCTTCCAGCACGGAATCATTTTTGACAAACTTAGCATTGAAGCTGTGAATCACCAGTTCACGAGGATCCTGCCATTCTCTGAGGGAGATTATATGTTGGAAATAAACTGGATGTCCTTCGAGAAACTGAGAGCTGTAACCATGTTTTATGGCACTCTTTCTTGACCAAAGAATAAATAAAAGGAACCTTTTTGAATCGTTTTGTTTGCTAATGCTCAAAACAGGATATAATCTATATATTGGATCGTTCTTACAAACGTTACCATGCAACAAGTTATATAAATTTATTTAATATACCCTTGATAGGTTTCTAACCAAATCCAGGGAGAGTCAAATGGTCGGGGAGTAGTGGAGATTCGTTGCGGGGTGAGCCGTTGGATTGATTACAGCGAAACGGAGCAGTACTTGAGGAGCGTGTCGTAGAAGCTCTTAGTTCTGCAGCATCGGTCCACTGGGGTTTCCTGCTTGAGTTTTTTTTAATTCATAGGTGTAGTTACATTATCAATAAATTGAGAGGAAAGTGATCTCTAAGCGGGCTTTTTTTAAGCGGAAAAAGCGAAGTGCATTTTTGCAAATGCGTGATGCATTTTTTCCCATTTAGCTACTTGTACATATATAAGGGAATGGAGAAAGGAATACTTATTTAATAATTAATAATTTTTAATAATTTTTAAGATGCATCGATATGAAAAACCATTATATTATTAAAACTAGCATCGCTTATTTTCTTATCTCTATGAAATTGTCGTATATTTGAAACTATGAATCTGACGAATATTCCTGATTTTAAGAGAAAGCTTGAACGGCGATCCTTCTGGGGAAGTGGATTCACATTGTATTATTCAATATATAATATAAAAGTTTAAAAGCCATTCAATGCATAAACTTTAACGGGAATTATATCTAAATATAATTCTTGATAGCTTGTAAACTTTTTTACGCAGAGAAGTTATCTATTAAAGTATTCCATTCAGTGGTCTGTTACCAAATTTGTATTGTACTTATGGGTTATCGAAAAAATAATGGGTAATCGGATTTATCAGCTTAGTACTTTAGGGGTTGTGTAATTAGTTATTTAAGTAAAAAATAATTATTACACTCAGTACTCAACGAGTGCCAGTACTCGTAAAAGGATTCATCTCCGACCCCATTAAGTATATATGTACTTATTTTTGATCAGCATTAACAGCCGAGTCGATATACATACATAGGTATGTTGCTATGACCCTCTGTCTGTATGAACGCGAGGATCTCAGGGATTATAAGAGGTGCCGATATAGGATTTTGCGTGGAGTCTCCCTAGAACTGGAACGTTTTTTGAAAATATTTTGATGACAAACAATTCCTATGTCCAATTACTAACTAACTATTTCTAGTTGTCATTTCCAAAACATATATAATACTTCACTTTTCAAAATTACCTGAATTACTAAATTACTGTGGATGGAAGAGATGAGTAACGGGTATCATATAGTTGGGAAACTCGTCAAGAGCCGTTCTCTCTTCTTTTTCTATAAATTTATATAAAATATTTAAAAAACAATAACCAATGAGCTGTACAAATTTGATGTTTTAATGGAAGCTCTATCAAGATGGTAACAAAGGCTCATTATTCTATTTATTTTGGGGCTTAGAAACGCATGAGGTCATATAATAAATAAATTCCGAGGAAAGTATGTGTTCTAAGCGGACTCTTTTCATTGTCTATTTAGTGGTTTGGATGTCTATTTCGCAAGTAAGAGATATCAAGCACAAATGCCACAAAATATTAATTTATTTTTAATAGATTACTTCCAAATTTGAGTTTACAAATATAAAATGCATTCCCAAAGACGAACAGTTTGGAAATTTTGAGTGTTGCTATATGAAATCGGTTAACCGGACTTATAAATATGTTACCATTAAATACTATTTCAACAAACTTCCAATTACCAGTATACAAGTAAGAAAAAAAAAACAAATTTGTTTGAAATTTTAGTAAGAGAATTACCCTATTTGAAGGTTAATGTGGCGTTGTTTAAACGATTTAATGGATACAAGCCATTCCTGTACAATGTCACTGTGGATGGTTGCAAGTTTCTGAAAAACCAAAAGTCAAATCCCGTCGTAAAATTCTTTTTCGAAACAATTGATTCATTTTCGAACATAAACCACTCATGTCCCTATAATGTGAGTATGCTATGGAATAAAGTAAAATAATTCTAAGACCATTTGCTTCCAGCACGGAATCATTTTTGATAAACTTAGCATTGAAGCTGTGAATCATCAGTTCACAAAGATCCTACCATTCTCTGAGGGAGATTATATGTTGGAAATAAACTGGATGTCCTTCGAGAAACTGAGAGCTGTAACCATGTTTTATGGCACTCTTTCTTGACCAAAGAATAAATAAAAGAAACCGTTTTCAATCGTTTGGTTTGCTAATGCCCAAAGCAGGATATATTCTATATATTTGGATCGTTCTTACAAACGTTAACATGCAACAAGCTATAGATAATCGCCATCGTATTTAATATATATGCACATGGTTGGTTGGTTTCCAACCAAATCCAGGGAGAGTCAAAGGTCAGGGGGAGTGGAGATTCGTTGCGGGGTGAGTCTTTAAATCCATTACAGGGGAACGGAGCAGTACTCAAGGAGGGTGGAGTAGGAGCACTTGGTCCTGCAGCATCGGTCCACAATACCTTGACGGGTGCGTCGGTGGAGGGCCGACAAGGAGTTGACGGGACCGTCACCATTGAATCGTCCACTGTACAGTGAGGCAAACGAGTATTGGGGCACGTCCAGGGCGGAGGAATCGCTCTCCTTTTCCTCCACGTATTGGATGGGATCCAGAGGATCCATTTCGGTGATGGCTGATGGAATAGGAATATAAGAGTGCATCCGAACCGGAGGGCAATCCAAAAAAACTTACGCATGCCGCGCTTCTGTCCGCGGGGAATGATCGGGTTAAACTCTTTGCAGATCAGGGACAAGGCCTCCGACAGCTGGAAGCTGCACCGCATCACATTATCGGTGGGACTCCAGGAGTGAACGGAGGCAACGAAAGCCAGGATGAGGAGCACAGCGAGCGAAAGTACCTTGCACATATTTATGGCTTTGTTTTTGGTAACTGGAACTGTGTGTAAGGTGTATCCAAAGGATGTTTGTACTGAAAGCTGCTGGATGCTAACTGATGCTCTTTGGTCCTGCCGAGCTGGCTTATATACAGCTCGAAAATTGGGTCTCGGTCTGGGTTACACGGCAGGATGTCAAAATGCGTTACTACAGGTTGAGTGCATTTGGGAGTTGAGTTGAGCTAAGGAGTAACCCCCAACTACTGCCCAGAGCCCCTCTGTTCAGGACGCAGGACCCTCAGATGCCTCAGACGCCTTAAACGCCTTGCTAAACTCGTTCAATGTCAAAGCTGACTTATGCAAATGCCTGTTTGGAGCGGGTGTGCTCTGTGGGCGTCTGCTGTCAGCCAATTAAACAATTTATGTATAAACAGGCCAGGCCTTGCTAAGCCCTGCATTTATGAATACCAAATTAGGATCCCCCCACCCACAACCCTTTCTTTAAAAGTCAAGTCCTTTGTACTTACCAATTCGCGCCTGGGCGAGGCTGAAACAGGCCAAAAGCCAGCTCAAGTGGGCCAAAAGCATCTTGGCAACGTGTATATTTCCTTTTTGGCAAGGACTCTTCCCTCCTTGGAAGAACTTTTCGCTTTGAATGCTCACTGGGCTGGGCTCCTTAACAAGTTATTTTGCTGACTGTCTCGGTCTACTTTTATTCATTAGTCAAAGTTGCTGCTGCATAAATAATTGATTACGAATCGGATTACAATTGGGATTACGAATGCATAAGTGAGTATTGGGTGTACGAGTGTATGCGAGTATATATTGTGGAGTGCATAGTGAGTGGGTTAAGTGCTTTATCGTTGGGGCAGCCACAGGCAGTAGTCGGCCAATTCCTGGTAGCTGCAGGAGTTCAGGCAGCACTCATCGTAAATGCCACCCGGATAGTGTCTTCGCTGGCGACGGGTCTTGATCAAAACCTCCGACCCGTATAGGCTGGACAGGAGTGGACTGAGGGAGTAGTGTGAGCCTGACACAAGCATCGCCGTAGTGCCCTCCTTGTCCTCAACATCCTTCCGGGGGGTCATGGTGTTGTAGCCCTGGTTGCACACCGCAGCCATGGCATCGGACAGTGCCGGACCGCAGAGCTTGTGGGTGCCCGTCGGCAGCTGGTGGCCACTGTATCCTCGAACGGTCAACACCGTGGTTACTATAATAACCAGTACACCGTTGTCCTTGCCCAACATTCTCAAACTCTGTGAAGATTTTAGCAAACTGCCTCTTCTATTTATACCACCTATTTTTTGATGCAGTTCAATGGCCCCTATTTGGTTGCAACTCCGCGGCTGCAAGAACCCTACACTTCAATAATCCTGATTTTTAGTAAGAAGAAGAGTTTTCGAGTCCTATACAAGGTCCTGCTTTCTTTGCACTTTCAACTAAGTTTTGGCAATAGAATTAGGAAGAAAGCTAACTTTCCTTATCTTTTGTTAAAATAATTACTCTTAATAAGCAACCTTTATAAGTATTCTTAATTAAAACATAGATTTTCATGATGTGAATCGTTATTCAAATTATAAATCACTTTCTGGTAATATAAAAAAAAACATCGAATTTTTATAATAATAATTATGCAATATCTTATCAACTTTTTAAGTAACACTCCATGCCCATCCATGGTGAGTATTTCTGGAATATGCTCTTGAAACTTTCTTCTGAAATATGACAACAGTTCTATATATTTTAGAGTTTCTAGCCTTATAGTCCACTCTTTTTGTTCTATCCTCTTAGATCTCCCAGTGTAAGCAGCCCCCAAAATGACGTTCATGGCCCAACCCTTTGGGCCAACCTGTTACTTTAACGCTAAAAGGCAGTGACTGCTGTCGATTGGGATTACGATTACGAAGGCTCTTGGTTGCTGCCTGTTTCCAGTTGCCAGTTGGTAGTGACAGAGTGGCAGCCTCATTAGCATGCCAAGGGGCAGGTGGAAAGTATGCTTCACCGGGCGGCAGTGGCATGCCGAAAGCGGCAGTGTGGCAAATGTGGCAAAAAGAGCTTCGATCGCTGGCCGATTGCCGATGGGCAACAGTTGGTTGCCAGCGTTGCACTCGAGAAGTTTCCCCTCTCTTTTTCACTGAAAAGCGTGCGGAGTTTTCCCAAAAAAAAAAAACTTAAGAAAATAAACATATCGGAAAATTCGGAAAAATCAAGAGATCCTGAAAAATGGTGCTCGATATCAAGATGTGCCGATTCGACAATGTGCCCTGGGGCTTTCGACTCGTGGGCGGTTCGGACTACGACTACCCATTGACGGTGGTTAAGGTTAGGCCCGATCTGAACGAATCTATAATCTAAATAGTGCCCTGTGCTCACCTGTCAGTAGTCACCTGTTGGTGCCCCCACTCACCTGCAGGATGAGGGGCTCGGGTCAATTGTTTTGTTCATTTGTGCAATGGCAGTGTGATTTTCTGGTGCTTTTTTATTTTTCGAAATTTTCCACCCAATTACGTAATGCTGTGCGTGAGTGTGCCTCTGTCTGTTTGGATTTGCTGCATTGGCAAATTAGTTAATTAAAGTAATTCCTCCCCGACACAGCCCTCCCCCGTCAGCCTTTGTTTTTCTAATCGGCAGTCCCGTGTACATTTAGGCCGCTAATGAGCCGCATAATGGCAGCCACAATGAACTTATTCGAATTTTAATTGTGTTTCAAATGCAGTTGCTGTTGCAGTTGCCTTTGCATAAATTGCATTTTACAATTCGCATTTTGTGTAACATTGTGTTGACATCAGCCTAAACCCAAAACAAATGCAATTTTTAATTGGAAAACGCACAAAAAACGAGGGTTTATTAAATGTTTAGATTCCCTTTACTATTATTTTATTTTTTTATTAATAGAAAGGGCCTAAATAAATGCATTGTTTTTTGGGTTTGCTAAAATAAATCATACTTGTGGTGTTTTAGATTTATTTGGACATTAAGTGCAGGTTAATTAGACACATTGTTTGATATATTATTGGGAGCTAATATAATACCCAAAAGCCTCTTAGTAGGGATTGTTTAACAAAAGCTTACTTTCAATAGAAGCAATAATTTCGATAAATTCCATTCAAACCTTAAAACAAATTCCATTTAAAGTTACGGATATTTGATTCCCCATTACATCGACACACAAGCCCTATGTTGACAAGGCAAATAGTGAAAAAAATCCTAAATCTTTGAAATATCCTTGTTTATTTTCTCTGTTTTTTTCCTTCCCCCACACATCCGACACATAAGCTCTAAGCCAGTGTTCTATAAATATTCGCTACCTCTCCGACTGTCGAGTATGTTTGGTTTGCCAGTTTTTCTGTGTTGGAAATTGACTCTGCCACAGGGAAGGTACATGGAGTGGAGACCTTCAGGGGGGCACAAAATAAAATCTTGGGTCTTTGCCGGGGATTCCCTCATTCTTGCCACTTTACCACTTTTCGCACTTTGCCACTTTGCCAACGCTTTGCCGCCATTGTGGGTGCTCTCTTATTGCAGCATTTGCATTACTAAGTCCTCTTGGCATCCAGTGTCGTGACTTTCCGGTTATGATCCCGACTTTCCCATAACTGAGCACGCCAAAGAATCGACGTGAAAACAATGCCTTTTATTTGTTCAGCAAAGTGTTGGCAAATCACCTCAACTATGCCTTTAACTTTATTGGCTTCTTAAGCAGGTTCTCAAGCTAAGGTCTAAAAGAAATTGTTATATATTTCTATTCTGGATGTCAATTCTTAAAATTAGGAGAAAAATTATTACAGATAGATTTTGCTAGAAAATGAAAAAAAAAGCTAAAGAGGCTATTTTCTAATATATATCTTATTATTTTGATATCTATTACATATATCCAAAAATACTGATTCTTCTGAACTTCTGAATAAATATAAACTAACGATTAACCAGAACTTGTATAATTTATAGACTTGAGAGAATATTAAAATATTTAAAATGAGAAATATAAAACTATAATGGGTAAACGTAACTGTCTTGTTGCTTAAATAATATGCTGTAACTTTTATTTAAATTTAAAAACTAATAAATAGAGTTTCCTAGATGTTACAGATCATTTAAATATTAATTATTGATCCTAAAACTATAAAAATTGTATAAAATATTTTATATATTATTAAATTCAAATCTTCTAATCAGAAATAGCCAGTTTTCATTTATCAGTGTAATCTTTTAAGTCTTGTTACGCCAACTCATTTGACTTGAAGTGCTGTTGTTATGTGTTACCATAACTTGTCGAGCACCCCTCGAAATGCTTAATTTCCCAACCCCTCCCTATATCTCCTCCTCCCCTCCATAGGCCATTGTGTTCCTTTGTTGTCAGTGTGTGTGCGAGTGTGTGTAAAGGGGGGTCTGGGTCTTTGTTTGGTTGACATTTGGCGCTAGTTTTATTTTTATGCACTTAGCACGCGACGCTGGCATCGTCGTATTCGTCGGCTAATAGAAATTTCCCCATTATCGTATCGTATCTATTGTGCGAGTATCTCGACCTCGCCACGGCATCCTCCGTCCGCATCCGTATCTGAATCTTAATTTCTATCCGAATCTTATAGCTAGTACGTATCTAAATCTAACCATGTGCATAAACTTTAGGTGGCCGAGGGGAGCATTGCTGACGAGGCTGGACTGCGGGTGGAGGACATCATTGTCCGTATCAACGACACCGCCGCCATGCCCCTCACCCACGACGAGGCCCACCACCTCATCATGAACAGCGGCAGTGTCTTCTACTTTGGCGTCTACCGGTGAGTATCCTTCCGGGTGCTTTGGGCTTTCTTTTGAAAATGGCCCAAGCCGCCGAGGACCATTTATCACAGTCCAGCGGACTAACAACATTCCTTTGTATGTCCTGGCAGAAGGACACTTTGTTTTTTTGTATCAAAAGTGGGCAACAAATTTTTTATTTTCCCCGATAAGGTTTTATAAAATATTCCTGATCTTGATTAACATTTAATTAGAGACTTTTTAGTTTATATTTTAACATCACCCATCTATAAGTTAATTACCCTGTTGTCTCTTATTAATCTACTTCCAGGGAGAACGAGGAGGACTCTTGCGAGGTCCTTAGGCGCTTCCCCACCAGCGAGGGTTCGATGACCATGTCACCGCCAATACTATTACCATCGCCGTCACCGTCACCGACTCCTGCGCTTCTGCAGCTGACGGAAGCCACAAATGCCCGTACCCCGGAACCAGAGCTCCTCCTTCCGCCGCCCCCGGAGTTCGCCTCCATTGCTATTTCTGGTCCGGCCGAGGAGGAATGTCGCTCGGCCGTGTCGGAAGTGCAGTCGGAAGACAATCGCGAGAATGGAGTTGCTCAGCCGGCAGAAAGCCAAGACGAAGAACCACCAGCTGCAGGTCCTGGAGCGGCTTTGGCTTCAGCTCCGGCTCCTGCTTCTGCTTCTGCTCCCGAGGAGGAGGGACTTTATTTGCCCGAGTTGCCCGATCGTCCGTGCTCGGCCTTGTCCGAGCAGGCGGAAATTAAGCTGGTGGAGGAGGAAATTGCCGCTGTGCTGTCCGGCGAGTCGGAGGTGCTCAAGGAGCACAATGTCCTCGGGTGCGTTGCATTCAATTTCATTCGTTTCCGGTCATACCCTCGAGTCTTTGAGTCCTCGAGCCCAGTCCTAGCCTGTCCTTCCGACTTCGCGAGCTCTCTTTTTAACCGCCTCTATATGACAGTGTCAATTTCTACAGGATCTTCCCCAAGCCGGGCGTCTGCATGTCCAGCGACGTCCTGCGCTCCATCAACGAGGAGGTGACCAAGACCAAGCTGGAGAAGGACAAGGAGAACCGAAAGTGGTCCACCTTCCTGCAGCGTCCCAATCGACCTATTCCAAAGAGCAAGCAGCAACTGGAGGCGGAGAAGCATGCCGCCAATGCCTACAAAGTGACGATTGTCAAGTCCGCTCCCCGCGACAAGTCACCCATGGTAAGTGTCCTTGCCTTTGGTTGCCAACACTCGAAAAAAATCGTCACAAAATAGTTAGGAAGTGCTTGGCTAAACTTTCTCTGGATCAAAAGTTAATTTCTCAATATATGTGACAGCCGGAAGCTAAACCGGCGCCAAAGGAAGCTACACCAGCCAAGGAAGAGGAAAATGCGGTCAAGGAGCCGCAGGACCAGGCAGTGACAGAGCCATCAAACGGGGAGAAGCCACAGCAGGAGAAGGAGCCAGAAAAGGAGGAGGAACCGCTGCCCACGGACAGTGAAGTTCCGAATTTGGAGCAGCTGCCGGAGGACGAACAGCCCGAGAAGGCCGATGCCCTCAAGGAGGTTTCCGAAGCGGAAGCTGAAGCTGAGGCACTTGAGGCACCTGAACCTGGTGAGCCAGAGACCGAGGCCACTGAAGCTGCTCCAACCGGCAGCCCTCCGGCAGCAGCCACTCCGCCCAAAACCGAGGAGGAGATGGCTCTTGAACGTCAACTGGCAGATGTGCAAAAACAACTGGCGGCCCTCTCCTCGCTGCCCTCCACCATACAGTCGACCCTCGATGCGGTGACCAAGCAGCTGGCCGACCTACTGCCCACATTCAAGCTGCAACAACAACAGCCAGGACAGGAGCAGGACCAGAACCAGGACCAGGCACAGGAAAAGGATGGCAGCCAACCGCAAATCGATGGAAAACCAGGTGAAAATGGCCAAGAAGCAGAAGGAGAACCAACGCCGGAGGATGCAGGTGCAAAAAATATGCCCAGGTCGACAGTAATTAAATTTTTCTAATGGCGCACTTTTGCGTATATGGGGAATAACCCCATTCCTGCCATATATCCTGCAGGCAAAAACATATCCATATCTGGGCCGGACAATCCACTGGGACTGGGACAGGGACAGGGACTGGGCGAAGGCGAGAGTAATGAGGATAGATGCGACGCCAATGACCGGGAAGTAGCGGAAATTTCGCGCTCAACTGACGACAATCGCAAGGCTGACTTGGCCAAGGATAACGATGCTGACAAGGAGGCCTTGTCCGAGGAGCAGAGCTTCAAGAAGCAGAAGGTGAGCTATGTGCATGGCCTTGGAGTCACGGCCCCCAAACGAAATGAAATCCCTGGCAGGGCAGTTAATGTAATTAGGCTGTCATGAGTTGGGTCTAGCTGGTTTTAATGGCATTAGAGCCCCCGAGTTGAGGTCCGTTTCTGTCTGTTTCTGGCTCAGCTACCACTACCACTATTAATAATGCTACCTGGGACCCAGGACCCGGGACAACCAGCACACAGGACCAGCAACTGGTGCGAAACTATTTAGAGCAAAACAGGATTATGCAAAAGTCACACTTTATTGTGCAATGTTGTAGAAAATGTATTTTCCCCAGCCTTTGCTTAGAGGCTAGGCTGTCCAAATTCTATTTTTAGTATTTTTAGCTTTAAATTTCACATTTTTTCTCTCACTGCAGCTGTCAGTCTAGGTTTCTTTGAAACACAACAAAAAAAGGACCTGCGAGCAGTTTCTGTAAGGCATCAAACTATTCGGTTCAGTACCGAAGTCAGGACGTTTTTTTTTTTTCACCCGAGATCCTTTTGAGCTTGTCCATGCCGCACCCACCTAACCACCCTAAACCCCCTAGACCCATACCATAGCATCCTGGCTGAAAGCAACTGGAGCTTCTCGGCCCGCGTCCGTGTGTCCACAAATCAAATTAACTAAAATGCCATTTGGTTTTTGTCTTTTTCTACTTGCAGCATAATGTGCGCTTCCAAACGTAGTTAGTTAGCTTTAATCGAGTTTAAATTTTGATAAATTGCCAACAGCAAATTATTTGCAGCTGTAGTGGCTATACTACTGCTGAGATACTTAAGATGGTTCTATCTCTTCTATGTTAGTTCTCTGAAAAATAAAGCCCTCTGAAAAGCCCTCGAAGCGGCAGGGGAAAAATGCAGAAACCAAAAGACAATTAGTAGGCACCAAGTGGAAAGCACTTCAACTTTCTTTCTTCTCTTTCCCTCTTTCTCGTTCTGTAATATCTATGGAACACCCACTGACCCACCAATCCACCGAACCACCGTACACAATTTGTGGGTTACTTTTTCCATGGTCCATCACTTGTCGCCTGTGTCGTGTGGATGTGGGTGTATATTTTTCCATCCATTCGCCGTATGTTTGCTTTTGCGTTGGCAGAAACACGATGTCATCGAGGAGCTCGAGGAGCATTTGGTGCGCAAAAACAATCCCCGGCGGTCGAAGCGCGCCTTCGGACCCCTCGTTCCATCCTCGGAGCGGCCGCTGGTCCTGCCCGGCGGACGGCGGTGGTACCGCCCCAAGGACGCCTACAACGACGAGTTCATAGCCGAGACCCTGAGCGCCCAGGCGGAGCTCATCACTGGCAGCACTCTCGGGTGGGTAAAGGCGGCCCCCACCACGGTCCTACGGTCCCATGGGAGCCATGGCATCACTTCCCCCCTGAACTGAATCACTCGACCCCCATTCGAGGCCAGTTGGCAATGTTTGACCATGTTTGCCGTGGTCAGACTTCTGCCATCGCATCTCATCTCATCACATCACATACCATGTCATAGTTCTGCACACACAAAAGCCCCCAACACTCCTGACAGAGAGAAAAATAGGAAAAAACTGGCAGAAGAATAGCCCCATTTCTATATTTTTGTAAATATTATTTTTGCTATCAAAATAGATCTAATCATCTGGGTTGTGGGTCATGTAGGGTTTTTTAATTTGCAAGAGAGTCTAACTATGGGGAAACATTTTTAAAAAATTGCTAAAACCATTTATGTAAATTGGCTTTAACTAAAAATTTAATTATATTCATTATGTTTGAACTTTAAAGTTGTATAATTATTCATTGATTATCGATCTGCATTTATTTAAAGCGAAAAAAGCTCTTCAGGGAAAAATTCAGGGAAACAATATCCCCCATTTAAGGAAATCTTGTTGTATTAAATAGTCTGTAATTATTTGATAAAAAATGTTTTTTTTTAATTAAAGAGAATCATTTGAGAGATGTTTTTAACATCATTGTTTTAATTGAAATAGGGTTATCCTTCTCTATGATTTTTCAAACACAATTAAATTAAATAAATAAAGTATAAACAGGATTATCTTTGTGATGAATGAATGTCTTAAACACCATATAGCTTTATTTTAAAATTTTACTTTTCAATTCAAAATCTTCAAATAATAATTTTGATAGAAAAAAAATTCCTTCCCTTCTAAGCTCAATTATGCCACCAAATTTCTCTCTGTGCAGTCGTAGATACTTGACAAAGAAAAACAACACCAACAAAAATGTCCATAACGTTGCTCATCTCTGGCATTCATTTTCTTCACTTTTCCATGCCTCGACCCGCCTCGACTCGCCTCGTCTCAAACATCGCCCATTGCACCATAAATTTGCGCATTAGCAGCTGCCCATACGAGAGTCCGTTGCTGGGCTACGATTCCAGGTAGAGTTTTTGGTTCATTTGATGGAACACCCGGGGAGTCCCGGACACCATTCGCCATCACAGGACCCTGGAGATTGGACCTTCCTGTCTCCTTCTCCCTTCCCCCCTCATTCCAGATGCAACACCTTGCCACCTTGCCACCCCCAGCACTCTCATTATAATTATCGTTTGGCATTATCGTTAGCGTTACGAGTTACGAGTTTCGTACCATTGTGTCTTTGCCATTTTCATTGTGTAACGTCTGCCCCGTCTGTCAGTCAGTCAGTCTGTCCTTTTTGGCTTTTTGTCTGTCCTTCAGTCCTTCAGTCAGTCGGTCTATTCGACTCTGTTCTGTTCTATCACAAGGCCTGCAGTTGATTTGACTTTTCCACGTGCGTTTCAGTTAAGTTTTTTTTTTTTTATGCATGCTGCCTTGCTTTTGACTTGGCCCTTTGCTTTTGGCTTTCTCTTTTTGGCTTTTTGTAGTTTCTTCTCGTTGTAGATTGCATTTTGGAATCGTTTGTTCAATGGCGAGCACATAACACGCCAGCGCTTCAGGTAAGTTTTCTTTTGGTTATCCTTTACCTCAAACTAGTCACACCAAGAGAAATAATCGAGTATAATCTTTTAAGAAACTAAAGAAATCAAGAAAGATATGAAAAATGTATAAGTTCCCAAAATTGTAGCTTTAGAGTCTTTATAAAAACAATATATCATAGATCATAGGTATCATACTATAGATTCAAAAGTATTGAACCTCACCTTCTTCAAATAATTGATAATAATTGAGTATCTCTAAAAATTTCTCCTTGTGTAACAATTTGCTACTCGACTCTTTAATGAGGCTAACAACTTCTCTTTGCTTGTTTTTTGGCATTTGCCTTGGCTTTCTCCCGTGACCGTCTGCTCTGTGTATTTGCCCGCCCTTGTCTTGTACTTAACCAATGGGGGAATCTCTTCCGATTCCGATACCGACTCTGGTCCTGGCTCTGACTCTGATTCTGATTCTGGGCACTCATTCCGATGGCTTCCGACTACGTCAACAAGGGAGCTGCAGGGTCTCGGCCTGACCATGCAAAAGTAAGTTGTCACAATGGACGTTTTCTTATGTTGTACGGTTCATTGCATGCATACGTTGCAGTTCCTAGCTTCCCATTCGCCCCACACCCATAGCAACTCCAACTCTCCGGGGATTCAGTGCCTTGCATTGCATTCCCCAGTTGCAGTCGCCCCAACGAATTCCAATTTAACGGTGGCATCTCCGCCATCCGGTCTCCGCCTCTCTTCCCTTTCGCAGGGTCAACTTCATGAAGTACCAGAAGCCGGAACGCAAAATCGATCTGAATCGCAGCGAGGTGTACAAGTATCTCAATCCGCATCTGGACAGGGCGCCCGTGCGTGGCATCGAGGTGCGTGCCCCGCTGGTGGCCGCCGAGTCGGATATTCGCCAGTCGTTGCAGTCGTAGAGAGGAGAAGTGGCATACCCCCCGCATGCTCGCCCTTCCCTGCCGGTGTGTTCTCTGCAGGAATCAAATTAGTGTTTACAGAAAGAAATGTCGGTCTTCAAGTGATTGAGAGGAGGGAGCCCAGCTTCGTTGTTATCCAATTAAAAATAATATAAATCAACCCAGAGAAAAATATGTATAATTTATTTATTAAATGGTTAAAAAAAGAATTGATTTTAAATAAAGTAATTAAATAAGAATTTTAGGATTTCTTCTCCACCAAGATTCAGATTACTATAAAGACTAATCCTCTTTGTTTTTCCATAAACGCCTCAAGCATCCTGTCGTTTAAAGATTTAAATCTTTGCGAAGTGTGATTTATGAGCCCTATCAAGATTAAACTGAATTTAAATCCTAAACTTTTTTCCCCCAGTGCAGCTATTTATCATTCGAGTCCCCAGTCTCGATTGTCGCTTAAGAAGCTCAACCAATATAACTATCAATATGCAAGCCCCGGAGTGAACCCCAAGTGAAGGAGGAGCTGCTGTCTGCTGCTGCTCAGGAGCTGGTTCGCCTAATGTGATATTACATAATTTGAGTGCAACAAGGCGTATGTGTAATGTGCAACGCTTGCGGGCGTCGTGCTTTTCTGTAGCATATCCTTCGGCGCTGGCTGTACTGTGTTGCAATTTTCTTTTGCATAAACACGCCACGCTGTCAGGGTCCTTGTCTGTTTTTCTCCGCTTATACTTATGTCGGTTATATTTTCTATATGGCGGCTGTGTGTGTTTGTGTATTTCCAAGTGTACGAGTGCGGGTGCGGGTGACAAGCTCTTCGAATTTGCATTTATTAAGGCAAATGAATTGGGGTTGTAACAAAAACACAAAACGCAAAAAAATGGCCAAATGACAAAGCAAAATGGCAACAGTAGCAGCAGCACAATAAACCCGTATTTAGTTATGGCACATCCACTCAAACACCACATACACCACATATACCAAGGAGCCGCACTGCCAAATCAAAATTGTTGTCACGTTATGATGAAACCCGGGACGAGCGGATGCGATGCGCACATTTCATTTCACTTGCCCGTAGAGAATGATGAGCCATTTTTTTTTTATTTTATACTTTTTTTTCGAGCTCAAGTCGTCAGGCCAACTGGCAATAAAAACGCGCCAACTTTTCACGTCAGTTTCGATTCGTCGATTCCGCAAATTTGCGATTTATTCCGTATGACCAGAAAACCGCACCACCCGATTCCGAGGGGCTCTCGTCTTGGACTGTCACAGTCGAATTTGTGTTATCACTGCCCTGCCTGGCTTTGTGCTGGGAATATGTTGTTTTGAGTCGCTTTGAGTCGAGTTGAGTTTCGTCCTTTTTGGGACAGCTTTTGAGTGGCCCTACTTTTGAGCCATTTGGCCTTCGAGCTTTGAGCGGAAAACATCTAGATTTTAGAGAGTGAGTTTTCGTTTTGAGCCCCGAGGGGGACAAACCTTTTTGGATTGGACAGGGCAGGGAAGGAAAGGTGAAAATGCCGGCTCGTCGGAAATAAAATTAAGATTTCTTCAACTTGTTGGCTGAAAGTTTGACTCAGCTAATTTGTATGCTTAATTGCTAGGAACCATTTACACTAAGCTACGCGAAAGGCTTTGAAGTGGCTAATTCGATTGGAATGGCCTAGAAAAGGGTTCAGTTGGGTACAAATAAAATTATAGAAGCCTTTTCTATACAATTATTTGGATATACCGAATTAAAGTCCCAAAGGAAAATATTTCTTACTATACGATACTTATAAAAGATTATTTTTGTTTTTAATTTTTTATTGATTGTTTTTGGCTTTTTGTCCACTTTTCGTAATGGGGACCCTTGAAAATGTGGTTTTCCCCCATATGGCCCACGGTGATGGCTATATCTTTCCCAATTCTCATCCGATTCTCAAGCGGAGTACCTTAAACGATTTCTGGATCGATTTCCCACCATTCTGCATCAAAATCCTGAGACAAAATATTTTTTAGATTTTTTGTCCACTTTTCGTGATGGTCCCCTCGAAAATGGGGTTTTTCACTATATGGCCCACGGTGATGGCTATATCTTCCACAATTCTTATCCGATTCTCAAGCGGAGTACCTTTAACGGTTTCTGGATCGATTTCCCACCATTCTGCTTCAAAATCCTGGGACAAAATATTTTTTAGATTTTTTGTCCACTTTTCGTGATGGTCCCCTCGAAAATGGGGTTTTTCACTATATGGCCCACGGTGATGGCTATATCTTCCACAATTCTCATCCGATTCTCAAGCGGAGTACCTTAAACGATTTCTGGATCGATTTCCCACCATTGTGCATCAAAATCCTGAGACAAAATATTTTTTAGATTTTTTGTCTACTTTTCGTGATGGTCCCCTCGAAAATGGGGTTTTTCACTATATGGCCCACGGTGATGGCTATATCTTTCCCAATTCTCATCCGATTCTCAAGCGGAGTACCTTAAACGATTTCTGGATCGATTTCCCACCATTCTGCATCAAAATCCTGAGACAAAATATTTTTTAGATTTTTTGTCTACTTTTCGTGATGGTCCCCTCGAAAATGGGGTTTTTCACTATATGGCCCACGGTGATGGCTATATCTTTCCCAATTCTCATCCGATTCTTAAACGGAGTACCTTTAACGATTTCTGGATCGATTTCCCACCATTCTGCATCAAAATCCTCAAGCGGAGTACCTTAAACGATTTCTGGATCGATTTCCCACCATTCTGCATCAAAATCCTGAGACAAAATATTTTTTAGATTTTTTGTCCACTTTTCGTGCTGGGATCCCTCGAAAATGGGGTTTTCCACTATATGGCCCACGGTGATGGCTATATCTTCCACAATTCTCATCCGATTCTCAAGCGGAGTACCTTAAACGATTTCTGGATCGATTTCCCACCATTCTGCATCAAAATCCTGAGATAAAATATTTTTTAGATTTTTTGTCCACTTTTCGTGCTGGGATCCCTCGAAAATGGGGTTTTCCACTATATGGCCCACGGTGATGGCTATATCTTCCACAATTCTCATCCGATTCTCAAGCGGAGTACCTTAAACGATTTCTGGATCCATTTCCCACCATTCTGCATCAAAATCCTGAGACAAAATATTTTTTAGATTTTTTGTCCACTTTTCGTGCTGGGATCCCTCGAAAATGGGGTTTTCCACTATATGGCCCACAGTGATGGCTTTATCTTCCCCAATCTTCATCTCAAAAAAGTAAATAAAACGATAAACTAAAATCAGCCCTATATCTTATTTAAAGAAAACAAATCATTTGAGTTTTTAAATTTTTATTTGAATTTGAATAAACAATACTAGACAACAACTACTTAGAAGTAAGTACAAGTTCATAGATACAAGTTACATAAAAATAGTTTAGTTTTGGGCTCTCAGCGTGCCGCTGCTCCGAACGAATAATCCTTGAAACGTACTATATAGTATATGGGGATTTATATATATAGTCATGTATAAGTACAATGTGTTTGTGGGTGAGGGTGTGTGTTTTGTGGGTTACCTGACTAAATACAAAGAAGGCAAACTTACAGCGGCTGCGACACTTTGGAGGGCCTTCACTTTAAAAGTAGGCCCTCCATAGGAAGTGCGCACAACAATAATTTTTTTTTTTAGATATAATCAATTGTTCGTTAGATTTCTCCAATCAGATTTAGGAGGGGAGTTTGGGTTTTGTGTGTGTTTGACACTAATTATCACTACGCCAGTTGAAGCTAAATAGTTTTCAAGTTCCTCATAGTTTCCGTGTTCTTGTATAGCTTTCTCTTCTAATGTTTTGGATTGCTTCGATTTTTTGATAGGACTTATCCGATTTTATAATTAGTAGTTTGTGTATGCAAATATGCAAATGCAATTATTGCTAATAATACATGCAAAAATCCAACTAAATAAATAAATTTTTTCTCTTCTCCGAGTGATGGTGTGTATATATTGAAAGTTTCTTTATCTTTTTGTGGGATGGATCAACGTCGTTTTTCAGAGGTAACGATTTCAAGATTTGATCAATGGCCCGGGGGCAAAGTCATACTTTGCGCGTTGCCCCTTAAAAAATATGCTTTGTGTGTGTTCTTTTTTCTTCTCATCCCAGCCACCCTGACCCCGGGCTAAAATGGTTAGTAATCTACAATTTGTCTCTTGATTTCTGTTAAATTTTAGGTACACGATTCCGCTCTTTCTTTTGTGTGGCACTGCGAAAGTTATACGTCTTAAGCTTCAACCGTTTTCAATCACAAGGTGCAGGCCCCGCATATACAACTACTTGTATATTATACAAATATTTAAATATTGATATACGCGCTGGGTGGTTCAGATCTGTATACATACATATACTCATATATGTGTACTCATATATATATGATTTTGTGGCTTTTCTCTAAATACTAATTGCAGGTAGTTCGTTAACGTTACACCAGATTTTAGCAACAAATATTATACTATTTGTGTATTCTCTTAGCTTTGTTTTGTAATCGTGTTGTGATTTTGTTATTTGGAACCATCGTAAAACGTGGCTTGGCTTTAATACTTTCAATCTAAAACTAATAATGTTTCTCCCGATCCGATCCTTTCGAATCCCTTGGACACTGGGGGCTTTCAACTAGGCTGGTAGGTTGGTTTGTTCGTAGAAGTCGGGCTCGTCTTCGTCGTTCTTGGCCTCTTGGCCATCCAACTGGAAATTAAAAAAAAATTATAATTTTTTGAAAACTATTTTATAACTTAAGTATCTCTTACCGCTTGCATTTCTTCGGGCTTATAGAGAGCATTTAATTGTTGTCTGATTGGCACCATCATGATCAGGAAAAAGGGGAAGGCCAGCGAGAACCTTGAAGACTTGACAGTCCACAGTAGGACCAGGCACAACACCTGGATGGTGGTGAACAGATGCAACTTCCAGGGCCGCACACGTTTTACGTAGGGCGTTGGTGGATAGTGCTTCACGGGCATGAAGTACAGCCTTACTCTGTTTTTTAAAAAATATTAATTATAAATAAACAATCTATGAACTATGCTCCTTACCTTTCGAAGAACTGCACTCCACTCATGGAGGCCACACCCATGTAAAGAAACACTCCGAACAGCACTGCCATGGGAATCAGACGCAGGAGCGGAGCCATCAGGACCGAAAGACCGATCATGAGACACACAAAGAAACCAGACAAGCGCTGCTCCTTGACATCCACAATCCTCGGCGACTCACCAGGAGCATGTGTGCTGTTTAGAATTGATGTTTTTATAAAATATTTCAACTAAAATATGTTCTATCTTCGCTACTTACCGTGACATAATGGTAACCGAAGAGACATGCGTCACCGAACGCACTGTGGCGGCACAATGCCAGGGCATGCCAAACAATCCACAGGCACAGTTCAGGAGACACAGCAGCACAATGTCCCAGTGGAGACCAGAGCCCTTCTTCAGGCCACGATCTGGCTTGTCCACGATCAGCTCCGAGATCTGGGACTCCATGAAGATCAGGATGTAGACGAGCAGGGCGGGCACAACGCAGGCGAAGGGAATCCAGGTGGAGGTGGCATTGAAGCCGATGTACCAGTTTCGCTTGGAGGGATCGCTGGGCGACAGACCCTCGGGCACCACCAGCTTTTCGGTGTAGACGGCCGGCACCAGGTAGTCCACCAGCACAAAGATGGCAATGGAAATGGGCACTCCGAAGTCTCCAAGAGCACGACGGGCATTGCGTCCGAGGAAGTGGGAGTTGCGGAAGAGTTTCAAATAGTAGGCCACCACAAACGTGGCGAGTGTCAGGATGGTGCAGAAGAGAGCGGTATTGGGTTGGTTCTTTGGCAAGGCAGATGGACCCATGGGCGTGGCGGTAGTAGTCACGTTGAGGAGCACACCAGTGGCATTGACAGGAGAAGTACCATTAACATCGTGACCCACTAGAGTCGGAGGTGGGAGATTGTAGTCCGGCAGCAGGGGATTCTGCTCGTAAATGGATACCAGCTTCATCATGGTCTCCACGATGTAGATGAGTGTGATCAGCGCCGAGAAGATCTCCTGGGTGAATCTGGTGAGCAGTCGAACGTAGACACTGCCCTCGAAGGCGGACACAGTCAGTGCGATGACGATCAGCCAACAGCCCACGTAGACTCTCAGGGACAGGAAGTCGAAATTATTGTTGGTGCAGAAGACCATCAGAGCCTCGTCAAAGAGCAGCAGGGGACCTGTGGTTCCGATAATCACCAGCGGCTGGCAAGAGAGGCAATGGAAGATGATGCCCACCAGGGAGCACGAGATCAGTGTCTCCGAGATGCCGATCCAGCTGTCCGTCTTCGCCGAAACGAGGCCACCGAAAGTGATGGCCGTCGACAGGCAGGCGAAGTACATGAAGATGGTGGCCGCCAGGGTCTCAGTGTTGAGGCCGTCCAGGATGTCGCTCTTGTACATGGGCATCCGCCGCTTAAGGTCGTTCCTCAGGCCACCCCACAGGCGATGGGTCTTCTCCAGCGGGCTGGGTCGCTTCTTTTTCCGCCCGTCCTCGTCATCAGAGCCACCGTCGCCTCCACCGCCACCGCCGTCGCCACCGGGCCCAAGACCAATGGCGCCCAGGGTTTGCTTCTCCAGCAGCGCCTTCTCCTCGTCCTTGCCGATCTTAATCATCTCGCTGTCGCGCTTCACCTGCAGGGCCTTGATCTTGCGCGTTCGGATCCAGTCCTTCTTGGCCTTTAGCTCCTCGAAGGGCAGCAGATCGTGACGATCCCAATTACCGGGAGGCAGCACAATCGAGTCGTCCAGGAACTCATTGATGGCCGAGAGCAGATCCTTGCGATCGTCGGCCTTGTAGGCAATGGCGTGGAAGTGCTCGTTGGCCATCAGGGTGGAGATGGAACGACCCACCTCATGGTAGTCCAGATCAAAGTTCCGGGGACCCAGCAGCACAAACATGAATCTCACTGGGACAGGGACCTCGGTCAGGGTGGGCATTAGGACACCCTCCGACAGACGGACAAAGGCAATGGTGGGCTGCTCAAGGAACTCCACGGCACCGACCTTTAAAAAAAGAAGGATTCAATCAAGAATTCAGGATTATATTAAGGGACTGATTAGAAACATACCAACACAGTGGTGGCTTCAGCTCCGGCGGGAATCCTTTTGAGTATGGTGTCGTTCTGCAGCTTCTTAAGATCCTCCTGCGACGAGGAATACAAGTCGTCCTTCATGTCGATCTTGAGCTCATTGCTTCGCTTGCTGCCGCCAATCTCACTGGCCGGCATGATTTTGATCTTCTTGTCATCCGTGCCGGAGAGGTTCTGTGAAAGGACATTGAATTTAATAAAGGACATTCCATTTTCCATTAAAAACAACACAAGTACACAACAAGCTCGACATGCAAAGCGAAATAAAAGTCTGGTACAGACATTAGTAGCGTCATGCCAACAAAATAATCTGAAACAGAGTGCGTCTAGGCTGGAGTTATAGAGTGGCGTGTAATCGGGCTAATAAGAGAGGGCTAAGAACAACACAGTCAGAGTCACAATTGAGAACTTGCCAATCGTGGAGGTGGAGGTGGAGAGCACACATAAAAACAGTGGATCTAAGGGGGGAGAAGGGCTACGGAACGTGGCTAACATGGTGGATTGGCTAAAAAGAAATATCGCGTATTCTATAAGCGCATTTCCGAGGCTTTTAAGGAGACTCCATAGTGTTTAAATCAGAGAATGATTAGAAACGTATTAATAGGTTAATAAAAACTTTAAATAAATAAATAATAATTCTTTAATTTAAATAAATATAATTTCTAATCAAAACTGAACAGGATTCTATTCCTTTTTGGTTTGCACATCGATTAGTTTTCATTCTCTGATCCATAGCCACTACTGGGAGACAAAACAAAAGGTTAGGGACGTTTTAAACGGGGTCTAAGGTCATTACACCCAGGTAGGACATCGTGGAGTGACGTCGATGGTCGATGGCTGCCGCCGCGGCTGTGGCAGTGGCCAAGTTCAACATCGCTGCCGTGGGCGGGGCACTGGAGGTGACGCATATGCTCCGCCTGGCTTTGGCCAGGTTTCGGGATTGCTGTTGCTGCTGGAACTGTTGTTGCAGCTGATGGTGTTGCTGCTGTTGTGGTTGCGAGGACTCCGCCCCCATCCATAGAAACTATTGTATATTTTGTTTTTTTGTTGTTTTCAAGTGCAAGAGTGTTGTGGAAAGTGTGTAAGTGTGATTATTGTTTTGGCGGCAAAACGAAATCATCAGTAAACGCACAAGAAAGAAAAAGATTCAAGAGATACACAAAAGTTTTGGAAACAAAGCAGCATTTTATAAGATATCTTTGTACGATCATGGATATATACAATTTGGCTGTTCATTACCGATTTGGGTATAAGTTGCTGTTGTTGGTCGATTTGAGAATTATAGTTTGATGTTGTTGTTTTTTTGGTGATGAGTCATGAGATGGCAGAAATAGACAAGAGAATAAATGATCACGATCATATATGGGGATTAACAAACTTTTGTCACAATTGTCACCGAAAGCCAATTATTTATAGCGAACAGGCACGATATGTTATTCAAATAATTATGAGCATTATGTGAAGTACATGTGTTAGCTGGACCAGGTGAGTAGGGATGGTGATAACAGCTGGAAAGTGAACTCACCTGAAGACTGGTGTAGCTGTTGTACTTTCGCTTGGTGAAAGGCAGCACACCCTGGTGTTCGTTGACATGACGATGGCGCAGGAGCAGCGACCTCATCACCGAGGGCTTGTCATTGATGTCGATGAGGTCCTCAATCACCATCTAGAAAGGGTTTCCGCATGGGTTAAACAAGGTTCTTTAAGAGGATAAACTATAGTACCTGCTCCACAACACGATAGGCCACGGCGGGCAGATCCTTCTCGTTGAGATCGAGCAGGACAACGCCCGTTTCCAGGCAGCGACGCAAATTGAGCAGCGAGTGGAAGGAGAGAGAGGCAACATGGGGCTTGCCCCAGCGATCGGAGCCCTCCTCGACATCCTCCTCATACTTGATCCAGCGGGCAGTCTCCTTCCATTCCCGATCCTCGCCCACGCCAGTGAGCTCATCCAGTTGTACAAATATCTAGTTGAAGGATTTCATTAAAAAGTAGTTTCAAATGAGGGATGTCCTTTAAAACAAACCTCATGGGGACTGTGATCCACTTCGGGCTTCTTGTTGGTGAAGGGAGAAATAGTTATTTGCGGCAACTCGCGTAGCTTGATGGATGAATGATGTATCTTGTGGCGTCGCAAGGCACGCGGGTCGTCCGAACGATGTGATCTCAGCTCGTTGAGATCAGCCTCCTACAAAGTGTTTAGAAATATAAAGATTAATAACAAGGCTCTCAGATCTATTGGCAAAAGTTAAGTTCAATTTTTGGGACTAAGGGCACGGCCAAGGATAAGATGGTCAACCTGTTTAGCCGGCATTTGGCCATTTGTCTACAGGTGCGTAGTTATCCATACGTTTGTTCGAGGTTAGCAATGAGAGTTGGAGAGATACAATATATAATAGCAGGTTAATGATCTAAACTATATGTTAGTTTGTGGATGGGGGAAAAAGGGAAGAGTGCACAGGGGGTAGGTCGAAGTTCTAAGCAGAGTGTTGTAATCGTACCTCCAATGCCGTGTCCTCAGGCTGGACAGAGATGCGACGCGCACCTGCATCACCGTTTTCCTCGAGAGTCTTTTTGGGTTCCACGCTGTCCTGATGTGAGAATTTACGCTGTCTATAATACTGATGGCGGCTATAAACCAAAAAATATAGACATTATAAATATTAAAGCTCAATATGTTGAATATCAAGAATAAATTAAATATGAATTGATTCTTTTGTGTAGTCTTTTTTGTATTTTGCATTTAAATACCTTCCTAGTCATGCAATAAAAACATGTAGCTGTTTGAAATCTCAATGATCCCTATTGTTGTCAAATATTAAGCATACGTAACGTTGTCATCACAACATATCACGTATACGCCACATTGTACTATTACAATGAAGTCTCAATAGATTCTCTATTGTGGGCTTTTAAATTATAAAATAAAGAATAAAAATAATATTTACCTTCTTCTGCGTTTACGTTCGTGCGATTGGTCCGTGGGCTGTTCATCGTAGCTCAGGTTGGGCGGGGTGACGACTAGCTTCTTCTTGTCGCCGAACTGGACCCGCTTCTCGTCCGCCGAGTTGTCCGAGTGGTCACCGTGTCCGGCTCGCTCGGAAACTAGTGGACAGTCCTCAGGGATGTCATCATAGTTTTGTGCATTGTTTAGAGGCTCCGTTTGGCTTTCGTACTCCGAATCCTCCTCGATATTCAGATCGTTTGTGCGAACTATAAAAAGATTTATGAAATTATATAATTGGATTTATATAATCTGGGGATACAACTTACTGCTATTCTTTTTTCGGGATCCTATGGGTAACTGGGTGTTGTCCTGGAAGGTGGTTACATCGAACTTCTCCTTGCGTGCATTGTTGCCGGCAAACACCTTTTCCATTTCCGAGTCCAGCAGCACCTCGTCGGGATCCTCATTGCCGGACTATATGAAAGAATGGGAAAATCGAGACACCAATTGTCGTTATTCAATTGTTTTCATGCGTTTGGTCACGTTGGGTATGAGTCAAGTCAAGAGACAGCACAAATACTTTTCAATTAAGAATCTATAGGAAAAACAAAGTCAGACAAGTCATGTGACTCGCAGAGCATTATTGTTCGTCGTCACGATTCGGTTTCGACATCTCGAAGGGGGTCTCTGGCTATGGCTGTGGTTATGGGCCACTCTTCTGGCTGCCAACATTAATCATTTCCCACCAAGTGCGAATGCCACACATAAGATTCTATTCTATTTTCAAAAAAAAAAAAAAAAAAAAGAAGGGTGGAAAAAGTGTTTTTGTTTTGGGAGTAGATGACATATGAGGATGGAAGAGTAGTGTTTTGGGGCGTTGTTTGTAATTGGTTTTAATCGAACTCAATTGATTTCCATAGTGACGAAGGCATTGATTGCCTCCAAGAGCATCCCGGCCCGCATGTTGTGCGCACTTCCCGCAAACACAATCATTAACATCAATATCCCAGAATATCATCATCGCCGTTCGGCAATAAAAACGAAATGAAAAGAAAAAGTAAACTCAATTATTAACAATTGTTGATGGCTATCAGATTACAAAAATAAAAGAAATCCAAGGAAAATCACGGGGAAGGTTATTCCAAATTGAATTTTAGACCTAGATAGAGTTCTTTGTTGATATTTTGGCTTTAAAAGCACTCTCCTAATTTTCCCATTAAAGCGGTTTGTTTGAACGGCAAACTTATGCCAAGAAATTAGAAATCCCACTGCACCCATTTTAATGAAAACACCTCGACTGCTTGTATGTTCACACATTTTCCGGCCAAGTTAGTCAACATCAGGGGGCCAGGTATTTAATGACGCTTCTTCCGAGTGCCAGGGACTTGGCACAGTATATATAATACTATGTATGTGTTATGTTTGCCAAGTCAACATGAACATTATCGTATGCTCAGATGTACAACCTAAATGCAAATGGAATTAACTAAATGCGATTTCCAGGCCCCGCTAAGGACTCGCCACGGCAGCTGTTTAATATTTAATACAACTTTAATACATGGGACTAGAACAGGATAGCACGAGTATCCTTGACAATTACAATTCACTTCCTGATAAGCCAGGGTCAGATAAGCAAAACTAAAAGGGGGGGTAGGGTATCAGGGACAGAACAAAGGCAAACAGAGTTTCCGTTTGAGTCTATAAATAGAAAAAATTTAATAACGCTGAGAGCCTGCACGTGGGAACGTCAATGTGTCCACCGGCGAAGGAAGACCAATGACCATACATACTATATGTATGTATGTGTTTGACCCTTGTGTTTAGGTTTTGCATGTGTGTGCTCAGTGTGTGTGTGATAAGCCATAGCGGAACGCGCCACGTTACGTTAATTAATCGATAAACACTACGTTGCCATTAATGATGTTCATATTAATGCTGCTGCTTAGACAATAATGAAGTTGTTGGCATTGCTGATTTAGAGATACCACAAAAAATTGTACAGAACGGCAGTAAAAGTATTTTGTCATTCGGCCATTAGCTTGATGCCCATCATAATGTAACCACCCAGGCCACCCACTCAGGCAGGTAAACCTCCAACAGAGCGTCGCACTTTATGCAGCATGTCACTGCCGCTTATCAAAATAATCGATGGTATGTTTAGCCCACCTCCTCCTACTCCTCCTCCTCCTCCATCTAACAAACAACACCCACCACAGTCCGCCCTGGGCCACGCCCACTGCCTCCTCCTGGCTGTCTGAACTGTCAATTTTCGTTGTTGTTTGTTTAGCAGCGTTGTTCCAAGCCAAGCGAGCCAAATGAGTATGCACGGGTCGACTCGGGTCGGGTCACAGCCCAACTGCACACAGTAGCTGGCCATTGGATTAGAAATCCAATGAGATCATAGCCAGTAGGGAAATTGGTAATAAAATGAGATATTTTGGCATTATATTTTGGTATTTGGTGGGCCATAATAATTTATTTCAAGAGGTTGTTTATGAAAAGGAGACCTAATAGTCTCAAATAAACAGAAGAAGAAAGAAATACCATCTATAATATAGATTTAAAAGTTTAATTTTTAATTATATTTATTAATAAATTATACATCATATTTTTAATGAATATACACACTTCACTATCTTCACTTCACAAGCTTCAAAATAATATTTCATTCCCGTTAAGCTCAAAGGAGCCTACTTTTCTGCCTTGCTTCCTAAGAAAAGGACCTTAAACTGCCTTCAAAAAATATACTCCCACCATTAATAATAATAAAAGTATATATACATTTTTCAAAGGAGAAAAATGATGATGATTTTATACCTAATCATCTGCCACAAATTGTCAAAAGCCTTAGTGAAAAGTTCGGGCGTGCATGTAGCATGTAAGCGGCTTCCACGCTTTTCATCGAGTTGCTGCTGCAACTTGAGTTCAGTTCGCCGAGTTGGCTGAGTGTTTCTGATGTGACTTGACATCGGGTGGCAGGCAGGCAGGCAGCAGCCGTAACAGGCAGCGCGAAAAGCTAGCAACTCAGTGGCAAGTGAGCGGCGGCACGTGACTTACGAGTCATAAGCAAGTTATGCTATGTGGTCGTGGCCTAAACAACTTTTTGTCAAACTTGCCAAATTGAATCAAATTGCGGCTAAAGCGAAACTTGTTAAGATTTTGCGAGTTGCCAACTATTGTTGTTATTGTTGTTGTTGTCAGCACATACAGTCAAGCGAATAAGTTTTCTGCCCAGGGCCCAAGTAGCAGATTAAAAGTTTGTCTTCGGGGACCTATCGTATAACTTTTGTATTTATTGGTAAACTGTTTGAGTTTTCAAATCGAAAAGAAGGCCAGAGATTCCAAATAATTTGAACATTAAAATAAATTTAAATAAATAAGAAAAAAAAGAAAGAAAAAAGAACCCATTTAGCTAGAAATTTAATATTTTTTTGACTTTGACTTTGGGATATATTTATGCAAGTATACACAAAACTTTTTATTTGTTTGCAGCTGTCGAATTTTTCCATGACCCTGTGCATAATTTTGGTTGAATTTTCATCGTTTTTATACCCTTGCAGAGGGTATTATAATTTTGGTCAAAAGTGTGCAACGCAGTGAAGGAGACATCTCCGACCCTATAAAGTATATATATTCTTGATCAGGATCACCTCCTGAGTTGATATGAGCATGTCCGTCTGTCCGTCTGTCCGTCTGTCTGTCCGTCTGTCTGTTTCTACGCAAACTAGTCTCTCAGTTTTAAAGCTATCGTCTTGAAACTTTGCACACACCCTTCTTTCCTTTGCACGCAGTATATAAGTCGGAACGGCCCGGATCGGCCGACTATATCCTATAGCTTCCATATAACTGATTGATCGGAAATGACCCAACTTTGACCCAACTCGTGTTTTTGAAGAAAGAAAGCTGGAACTTGGTACAGATTATATATTTGGTCAGTTGATCCGACCTACCAAATTTCATTAGGATCGGCCGACTATATCCCATAGCTGCCATATAACTGAACGATCGGAAATGACCCAACTTTCGTGTTTTTGAAGATAGAAAGCTGGAATTTAATACAGATTCTATTTTTGGTCAGTTGATCCAACCTACCAAATTTCATTAGGATCGGCCGACTATATCCCATAGCTGCCATATAACTGAACGATCGGAAATGGTATTTGGTAGAAATATCAACTTTCGTATTTTTGAAGATAGAAGTTTGGGATTTCTTTTAGATTTTGTATTGTAAAAAATTGGATTACATATTCCTATTGCCATAAGGATCGGCCAACTATATCCGATGTTTGCGATATATATCCGGTTTTAACTGCAAGGGTATATAAACTTCGGCTCCGCCCGAAATTAGCTTTCCTTTCTTGTTTTTTTTTGCTGTTGCTGTTGCTGCTACGCAGTTGGTTATTGTTGTTTGCACAAATTAACGATGCTTCTATAACGCTTTGTCTGACTGTCAGCGAGCCTTTCTGCAGTGGTGTGTGTTGCTTTTTGTGTATCTGTGTTAATTTAATGTGAATTCCGCAGCGGAAATGCTCGCACAAGCAGACCGTCCGGGACACAGGACATCCTGGAGAAGAGACAGTAGGGGCTGGGGGGAGGGGCAGGAGGGCACGTGCAAAAGGTTAAACTGGTCATTGGGCGGAGGCAATGGTGCTATGGCGTTAAAGGCATCGTAAATGTAATCTAGTGATGGGAAATCATGCTGACAACGCACCTCCTATGTAGCTCTCTCTCTGTGTTGCATACTTCAAGGTCAATTTGTGGCACACTAAGCCTCTCTATCTTTGTAAGTGTGTGTTCGTGTGTGTTCGGAAAAGGCCTGTTCTATTTATTGCCTAGCGGGCGTAAAATATTCTGGTTAATAAAAGGGTTTCTGCATTGAAATTTTTCCCCATTACGAGCTGAAAAACTTCACAGGCTTACGGCGAAGAAAATCCTTATAGAAATTCCACACTTAATAGGTTTCCCAACCGAACCGGAAAAACTTCCTACTGCCAGGCAACCATCTAGCTTATATAAGCGAAAGTTTCTCGAACTTAAATTAAACCTTAGCAGAGTTGGCGAAAGAAAACTGAAATCAAGGTTGCAGGGTCCTGTCTTTCCTAAGAGTGTATATATATACCAGAGTATATACCATAAATAATGCATGAAATAAGGTAAATAATTCAAAACGTTTTTATAATGCAGACAAATTGGTAACACGAAACCGCAAAATCCCATCCGACAGTCGAAACAGTCAATCATCAATCCGGCAAACGAAATGGAATTCGGTTATTATTACGTTTTTGAAGAAGGCGCACACACAGTCACCACCCAGGACCCGCCAGGACCTACGTACATACATACATCCATGACCGCAGACACACGTGTGTGCATTGCGGATGACTCCTGTGCCCCTTGGTGTCGCTTGGGGTAACATTTCAGAGTATCCTTTTCCTTACCGTTGTCGGTGAGCCGTTTTATTGCCCCAAAAAGTATGCAACACCCCTGGAACAAAATGGCAAAAACAAATTTCCGTCGGATGTGCGGCTGTATGGGTTGTATCTGTGTATCCTTTTCTGAGCTTGGGTGCGTGTGGCATAACATGGCCTTTCATCCAACTCACTTGTTGTGCCCAGCTGCCAACTTTTCGCCTATAACTTGACACACAGGCAGCCTGAACAACTAATAAAATGGAATAAAAATTTTTCAAAATGTGTTTGTATGTGGAGAAAGGACGACAACGACATCGAGTCCTTTCCACAGCTAGCTGTGTGTGTGTGTGTGTGCGAGTGGGCCTTTTGGAAACATTTTTCAAGGTTGGGTGCTCTTGAAAAGTTTTCGCTGGCTTCTGATTAACGTTCTATAGATCAAACAAACAAGTTCAACTGGTTTGGTTTTACCTTGGGCTCTCCAAATGTGGTTCACTCTGCTCTATTTATATTTTTAGCACCAACTTTCCAATCAAACGAAACTTTCGTAATAGTTTTCACGCTTCTGCCTGTTGCACTTTGACCCGCCAATCTATTTTCTTCTTTTTTTGGTTGGCTGGCGAAACCAAAAACACACGACGGCCAGCAGCACTTTGGGGGTCCGTTGTCTGGGAATGCTTCCCAGCAAATGATGGGCCATGAATTTTTGCTGCTGGTGCTGCTGCGGCACACACATGTTACCTGCCACTGGGGGCAAGGGCGCATGCGTGGGCGAAAGCGCGCGTATAACGGTAGCATAGCTCCCCCAGCTCCACAGCTCAGCTGGCATCGCTGCAGCGCCTCGGCCACGCTCAGCTGATTTTGGGTCTTCAGGGCCGTTGCGACGGGTGCTTTACTACGCAGCCCTGCCCCCGCCCCCACAGCTACCCCACAATTCCTGCCACATCCTGGCCACCCGCTGACGTAAATCGGAATGCACTTTTGGGGCCACCCGCAGGAAAGCTTTCGGGCCAAAAAGCTTGGCTCACCATTTTTTTTTTCGGCCTGTCCTGGCCAACCAACTAGTGCATAATTAATGGCAAAGCTTCGTCCTTACAGGACACACACATACACATACTCCTAGAGAATGATGGTCAAGGCCGCTCAAGGCCAACACTTGGTGTTTTGTATGGAAAATAAGGCTGCAGGGGGGGTGTTGTTGCGAATTGTGTGCCAAAAGCTTTTCTCCAAAAAGTTTGCGAATATTGTGGAACTATGCACAAAAATCTATTCACTTGATGGCCTTTTCAACAGTGGGCCATTAGGGCTTATTAGCCATGTGTCTGTATGGGTGTGTGTGTATGTTTTTGGTAATTAGCGATAACGGCTGAGTTGTAACGGCTAATTGAGTTATGCGCCTACACAGTGATATTCAAGATTATAGGACACTCGGCTTGGATGAATTATGCAAGGGCGTTGAGGACATAATTGATTGATGACTGTCATATGTAATAAATATTTAATAGATGTACTACCAATAGGGATGATTATATCATAAACTAACATGCATCCTGTACTCGTCTAATTGAACTCGTCTTTGTTCCTAAATCATGGCATACTTAATGGTGCAATTAAGTTAATTGAGGTTACTATTATAGCTTCTGGATGCTTTCACCTTTGGTCAGGTGTCAATGAATCGCCAGCCATTACAGTTACTTTTCATTGTCAATGTCAGAATTGCAACCTTGACCACGAATATCGATTTCCGGTGCCACATAGTGTGTGTGTTCTGGCCGTTTGTGGGTGTGAGTTCCTTCATTTGAATGGCTAACTAGCTTCCTGTTACCGTTACACATTATATTTCAAACAGTTGCACAATTAAAATGCGTTTTCGCATTTAGCTTTAGCCTTTAAGCTGACAACTAGTCGCCTTTGCAATTGCCTTTTGCCTTTTGTCGACAACGCTGCGTATACGTAATATTTGCAAAAAAAACAAACAAAAGCTAGATAGATGTTTTTTGTGTGTTTTTTTTTTGCTAACTGTAACGCGTGTGGGGCACTTTGGCATGAATGAATGCATGATTAGGCGATCTGATCTAGTGCTCTGAGTACTCGCACGAAAGCGAAACTGAAATCGAAACTGAAACTGAAATCGATTTGCTGGAAACTGGAAACTGGTTTCTAAATTGTGTCAGTCAGTAGCTGGCGGGCATGCCGGCACCCAAAAATAAAATAAATAATAATAAAAACAGCATACACACACTGCGGAAATTTGTGTAGAAAAGTAAACAACAAAACTGCACAACAAAAAATCAATAACAATTACTTGACATTACGCGCTGGCGGCTGGCGAATGAATTATTCACAAATTGGCAATAGCCGTGTAGCTATAGCAAAAATATAATTCATTTAAAAAGTGATTTTTAATGGAAAACTACCGGCACACTACTTGAGCAGCAAAAAATATTAATTTTTTCCTCGGTATTATAGAGTTAGAGGTACGTACTACCTTGACTGGGTAAAAGTTGTATCGGGATCATCATCACCCTGATGGGGCTATGAGCTCATTCCCCACATTTGCCTAATTAATTTTCCAGACAGAAGTCAGAAAGACATTAAGTCCGGCTTATTTATAGCCGAAATCTATATAGCCAAATTATTATATAATATCCGTTTGATGGCTTACTCACCTTCTTTTTGGTATTGAATCCGAGGAAGGAGAGTTTACGGACATTGTTCTCCCTCCCGCTGGCCGAACTGAAGCTCATCTTGGCTGTTGTCCTTTAACGTTTTATTATTTGATTTCCAATCCGAAGATTTTCTTTATGGTTTCAGCTTTCCTATTTGATAATCAGGTAGTAGATGGGCATCGAGCTGAAGGTGTGCTTGGTGATTTGCTGCGGCCACTGTGTGTGCTCCAAGAATCTCGGCATTCGGGGCAGCAAAACTCAACGCCCTGTAACCAAAAAAATTAGAAAAAAAATACTGAGTACTCAATAAACATAACTTGGAACGCAATTTCATTAATAAACAATTTCGACTGTTGCTGGTTGTCACTGGTAAGGAGGCCAATTGAAAGCGATGCCGCACAAAAATATAGTATATATGTACATATACCAGAGGGACGCCATAAAAACGGTTCGACGCGACTCAATTAAAGTCAAATGGCCGCCACACGCATAGGATGGGCGGCTGGCAGAAGGGGGTGCCCCAAGAAGGGAGGAGGTCGCTGGAGCACGCGACTTTCGTTGACGGCTCGTGATCAATTTGCGTTATTTAAACACTCAATTATTATGCGGGAAGGGGCAGGGAGGCTGGATGCCTCCAAGAATGTGAATGCGGCAATCAACGCCTGCCGCCTCGTGGCGGTATGCCTTTGTTTCTAATGATCACTCACTTGACTTGATCTGCATCTCAATTTTGGTTACTATTCGGTGTTTTATCATTGGTACACAGAGAGAAACAAAAAAATTGAAAATTCGACATTTTCAAAGAAGATTAAAAAATCTTTGGAAACTATTTACCAAAATATATTCCATCAACTGATCTATTAAATATTAAAAAAAAAAAAGACCATAAATACATTTGTTAAACCAAAAACATTATACATTTTTTAAGTGCTTATTTAACTCATATAATTTTCGTTGATTTCATAACCTACCCTCGAAACTATTCAACTTGAAAATTAAAATTTGTTTAATTTAGACTTCAGAATCATTAGATTCTAAAAATTAAATTAAACAACCACAGTTTGAAGCCAGAAACCATAAATATATTTTCATGTTATTTTACTCAAAATCTGGTAATTAATTTCGTAACATATTCTGGCTACTATTTAGCTACAAATTTTAATCAAAATTTATATTAATTAGGCCTTATCTTTTAACTTTTTTAAATTTTTATTAGAATTAATAAAAAACACAGTTTTCAGCCAAAATTACAACGAATATTTTAATTCATTTCGTAACCTACTCTGGCAACGATTTAACTTGAAATTCAAAAACAAAAATTAATTTTAATTAGCGGCTCAGTCACTTGACTTTAATATCTGCCCCTTCGATGGCCGAGGGCGTGGCCGGTCAATCATACTAAATAAAGGCAAACAGACAGACACACACACACACAGGACACTCAACTGGCTGCAGCTGTTAAATGTTTCGTGTCCGCAGGTCCTCAATAATTCAGTAAGCACCTTTCAGGATAGAGCCGCCAGACTGAGTGGCAGGACGAGGCGATGTGGCAATGAAGACGAAAACCAAACTGTCATCAACTAAATTCAATTAAGAAACAGCACTACCGAACCACTACCAGGGTTACACGTCAGCCAATGTCGCGAATAGGGCGAAAACGAGGATATGACCGGGCAGCGGGAACACCTGGCGGATACGCGATATTCAGGACACGAGGCGAGGCTAGCTCCGTGGCGACCGATTGCCGTGTGAACCTGTTGCGGCTGCGAATGCGCTGATTTATGTGAGCTTCTTTCTGCCGCCAAGAACGTTTCGAATGTGAGCCGAAGTACGTCTACGAGCACCCCGAACACCCCAAAAAAAAAAAAACAAAAACAAACCAACTACCTCAGTATTTGTTTGCATTTTGTAGCCATTGTATCTGTAGCTGTGTATCTACATACATAAGTATCTGTGTAAGCGAGTGTGTGCGGTTGAGCTTCGTATCGTATCGCCAATATCGCGTAGACAATCCAACATGAGTCTCGTGCTTAGACGCAGCGCCTTAACTTAGTCGCCCCCATCGGTTGGGCGAAAAATTTTCACTTGGCCACCTTGATTATGTAAGAAAATGTGACTAGTATTTGTCTTGGGCAGGGGTTTTTTGTTTTATTATTATTTCCTTTTGCGGTATTTAACAGGGAACTACCAGCCATGTGCCTTGGATATTCTGGGGCTTGTTTGCCATATGTGTCCACGATAAAAAATTGATGTGCCTCCTTCGTCTTCGTCCCCGTCTTCGTCACCGTATCCGACAGGCCACGGATTAAAGTTAAGTTTCTGGGCAAACAAAGAAGCCAAACTTTGGCTTTTGTCAGCCTTGATATTGCCAACTCGCTGCATAAAAGTCGGTGGCGTGTTACGGTAAAGGTTATTAACTAATAAAAGGATTTCACAACTTGATAAATGGCTAAAAAAAAAGAAAAACAAGAAGGCGGAAGCTCTTTCAAGGTTGTCGGTATTTAAAGTGTATAGCCTGTCTATCATATCAGTCCTTAATTTACTTAACTGATCCTTGGATTTAATAATGTTTGTAAAAATATTTATTTAAGTTAATTAGGTAATATTTAATATTTTAATATTTAAGTAATAGTTTAAGAGTGTTCAGTTGAGTAATACATCATACATCAATCTTTTTTTATTTAGTTTTAAAATAAAACAGAGCCTGGATAATACAACTTTTGAAGTAACTAGTGAACACAAATTAGATAATCTTATAGATATATATTTTATTGTATAATATTATTTGGAAAGTCATACTATATTTGTAGCCCCAGAATTTCAATGAATGTTACTGAAGCTTAGTGCTATTTTCACAGGAGGTATGAGCCGTAATTAGGTTCTAATTTCAATAAACATTCTTGAAATCTAGTGATTAAGGTTCTTTCATGAGAAAAGTGATATCTCTCTCCGTCAGCTGATTTCTTTTATTTTCTTTGAAAGATCCATTGAGGATCGCGTGACTTTAACCAAAATTCGATACGTTAAAGTGCACCTAGCCGAGGAAAACAAATAAATTTACACATTTTATGGCAGTTAGACGACGAACGGCAGTCAGTCTCAGGTCTCAGGTTGCATGTTATCAAAATTAGAGGCAACTCAAAGGCAAACACTAGCCGAATGGCCACAGGTTTCCATAAAATCCCAAGGTGTTACATTTTAAATCCCCCCAAAAAGTCGGGCTGGCTGAAGGGGTCTTCAGTGGCGGCGGGGGCGTTTCAAAAAATTAACGTGGTGATCAATTTTATGGGTTCATTAGCGTTCTCTGGCGAAATGACGCCAAACGATCGATCGTACGGCGGTCGGACTTAATTTTGATTTAAATTATTGTTTGTATACGAATATACGTTTATGTACCATACCTCTTATTTATACATACATATATGTACGTATTTATACTTTTTTGAAAAACGATAAACAGTCTAAGGCAGTCAGCGTTATCAGGGTGCTGTGTGTGCTAGCCATTCATTTCGATTTCGATTGAGATTCCGCTCCAATTTATTAAAACAATTGACAGTAATGTATGGGATTTGCCGTTCGGCGGCTTCATAAATTATCAAATTATCAAATTGTCTATTACGTGTCGGGATCCTAAAATTGATTTGATTTGGCTTCAAGACACGTCAATTAGCCGCCTTGCCTGATGCCCGATATGAGAGAAAGGTTTTTAAATAGCTCGATTATGCAATTGTTAAAAATGGGCTAGGTCCAACAATCAGTTGGAATTTTTTTTTGTTGGCGAAATAAAGAGTCTCGTGCCAGGGCATCTTATCACTCAGGTTTTCCACCCCGATCACAAAATATCAGATCTAACCGGTTCCTGGTGGTTTGTCAGCTGCTGGTCCTACCTACCTACCTACTTCTGCTACAGTTACCACCGAGATTTTTGCATTCACGTGCTGCCGCAGCGAACAAGTTGCAAAAACCGGTTCTGTCGAATTGCAACAGTCACCACTCAGGCTAATGCTGTGGCAGCTGCAACTGGAAATGCAACTGCAGCTGACATTGAACTTGAAATCACTCAAGCGATAAAGTGTCTTTTATTACAGAGTTAAAAAATATATATAGAGTTTTTAAACTTATATACTAAATAGAACTATAAATTTTAATTATATGTTTTGGCTAATTACTTTTAACTGTTTTTTTTTTTCAGTGCCCTATTTCTCTGACCGGAAAAGGGTGGCCCTGTTCCCCGCCCACTTATCGCCGGACACAATACGGTAGCAGAACCACTCGAACGTAAAAATGTCAGTTTAAAAAGTACTCGAGATATGGCCTACCTACCGATATGCATATCTCCCTAGAATTCCGTCCACGACGGTAATTATTCTGGAGTGTGCCCATATATTAAGTGTACATGAGTGCATTAAAATATTTGATAATTGAAAACGCATTGCTTGAGTGCCGACATAAATCTTGGCACTCCATAAATATTATTTCCACCGATTCTAGACAGATTATAAGACCACCTGATATGCAATTTATGGCTATAAACCTAGAGTTAGAGAACTGGGACTTGAGGCAACAAATTTTAGGGGAATTTGTTGGAATAGGTTAGTAATCTTGGCTATCGAGAAGTGTAAACTACTTGGTAGTTTAGAGTAGAATACTTATCAAGAAATTCCGAATGACTCTTATCGGGAACCGAAAGTAAAGGTCTTTTTGAAGTGGTCTTAAACTTGCCTTACACTTTTGTTCAGCAGCGTACTTCCACTTTCCACTTGAGTGACAAATATTGTCAGGCCATGAAGGATTTATGATCGGCAGTGTGTTCGATCGTTCAAAGGTTCAAAGCACTTGGAGCCAGTTGCAATTAAAACCAACAAACGCACGACATTTGAAACGAAATGAAACTGTTTGGCAACGCTCCACCACCCACACAAAAAACAATAAATAAATAATAAAATCAAACGAAATCGACTGAAAACCAATTCCAACTGCAAACAGCAAACAGAAAACGAAACTTTAATTAGTCTATTGCCGTTCTGGTAATGACCAGACCGATCGAACTAGCTGACTGACAGGCGGATCGACTTTGGGGCGGGGGTTAACTAATAGAACCTGTAACCCCCAATCTATGACTTGTGCCCGCCCCGTAGGTTCTATTTCTGTTCCCGATAAGCAGTTGGCTATCACGATCTGGCCAGAAATATTCGTCAACTGTTTTTAAAAATACATATGGCTTTCCCAATGGTTTATTATATCGTTTTTCAGCTGAAATCGACACAGTTGGCAATGGATGTTCTTACCCGAATGCGAGTCAGCAAATAAACTTCTTTTGTTTTGATACGATATACGTTGTATATTATTCTCAGAGTGCCATATCAATATCAGAGATTTCTGCGGATTCTACAGATATATATTATATACATTACGAAAACAAATGATTAATTCTGGTGACAGATGTCGGTGAGTTTGTTTATCTAAAGGGCATGACTAAAGGCCCGGCCTTATCTAAAGGGTGTTGCATCCTATGAATAATTTTTAGGGGGTTTATTTTTAAAAGTGACTAATATTGAAAGGCTTGTAGTAGACAAAACATAAGTTTGAAATTCTATTCGGATGATATTCCAATTCAAGCAAGTGTTGGGGGCTTTGTAATCTGCTTTCTAAAAGTTCATTAGCATTTCTTTGATAATTTATTTCTTAAATATTACAGTAAACTAATTGACAGTTGATACTTTTCACACCAGAACCGAATGCATAAATAATTAAATATTTGTTTATTTCACTGAATTACTGGCCAACTATTGTTATTAAATACTTCGATTTGCTGCTGGCCGATGGAGCAAATTCTGTGAACCGTGCAGAGGAACAATAAATAGTATTCGCGAAACACAACAACAGCAGCTTCGCCGCAAGTTGTGTAAACAAAAGTGTAAAGCCACAATTACTGCAACGCCGGCAGAACGGCAGAACGGCAGAAGTGTCGACAATAACAATAAAGCCCAACTTTAAGCGTCATGATACATTTTGGTTAAATATCAGACAAGAGCCAACAACAACAACATACCGCGAGAATCGCACAAAAACAACAAACAAACAAAAAAAACAGAGAAAAAGAGTACAAGAGTCGAGTGGAGATAAACAAATTCTAGTTAACATTGTGTGTTTATCGGGGGTCGCGACTGCAGCAACAACTTTTGCAAAAAAACGTGGACTTTCTAAGGGAGGGGGGTGGGGGGTGTGCTGGGGAAAGCCAAATTATTGAGCCATTACTCACCAGCTGCAACCGCTGGGGAGCTGGGGAGGGGCGTGGTTCAAATGGGAACCAGGAGGGTGCCATCTACAAATATTTGCCACACAGTAAAAAACAAAAAGCCAATATGGCCAATTGATTGGGCATTTCGGGCTCATATCACAATCAGCTCTTATCTATGCTTTATCAGTATGACGTTTAAGATTAATATAGTACAAAGATTTCGTCACAAATCATAGAATCCAACTATTTTGAGCTTTTAAACGTTTTTTATGGATATTCAGAATATCTGTTTCTAAACTTTGACTTGAAACGATTAATGGTTTTAAAACCTACCCTAGGTTTAGATTAAACAATGCATATATTTCGTCACAAATACTTAAC